TCAGAGTCGGGGCTTGAACCATCAACCCTTTGATTTCAGGGCAAACTCCTACATCCAACGCCACCGTCGGCCACCTTAAAGTATGCTGTCACATTTGAGTCTGTCAAACACTGTGCCATTTGTGGCTTCAAGATAGAAATACTTCCCTTCTCAAATCATCAGCTCAAAAAATGACAGAAAATTATAGGCTATCTATCACTGCTTCCATATTGAAAGGCTTTATTTAGTAGCAACTTTTTTTCTTCTAAATTTATAGCCCTGCTTAAAAACAGTCAAATTGCTGTTCAAACATGAGAGATCTTCTGATGCCCGCCATCTAAGCTTTAACATTTTATAGCCTAGAAACAAAAAATAATGGCTGAAAAGAAATCTTACAATCTAATGCTTTAAACAAAAACTGTTTTCTCTTTAAATCTTCTCTATTAGATTAATTTAGGGAAATATTTAAAACAATCAGATTTCTTATTCTTCATGGTTAAAAACTACCTTTGAAAAGAAAAAATAAAAGTTAGATTTTTAAAATGAACAAAAAAAAAAAAGTTTTTTGTCCCTTTACCAGACTTTTCAAACAAAAATTCAGATATTTATTATTCATACATTAGATTTTCAATGTTATGAGCTTATGAAAACAAGTCTGCTCCAGTTTATTTATTACATTTTGCATTTTTACATCGTTTATACTGAGCCAACTAGATGCATGTCTGATCAATATTTTGCAGGTTTCTAAACAGATGTACCTCTGGCTTATCTATGGTGCTAATTTCTTTGTATGATCCTATGGCTTTCTGTAACATTTTCAAAAAAACATCTGTATTAACTGAGTGTTTTCTGAGGTTAAAATAAACACAAATGGACTGGTTACTAATTGGTGACTTTTGAGGATACTTAGTTTGACTGGATTTATTTTTTAGTTAAAAGAACTAGGGGCATTTGAACACAGATCCATGTGAGAGTTTTCAAATATTTTTAATAAAGAAAAAAGGTATTGCTTAATAGCTTATGTATGTATTTTATGGGATTCTTTATAAATAAGATTGATCTTATTAAAAATAAGATCATAAGCACTCCTCTATCCGCGATTGTACCTGAGGTAGTCATGGAATCTGAACCGGGTTTAGACTGCTTTGATCCAGTTGAACTCTCTGAATTAGCAAAATTATTGTCTTCATCTAAGCCTTCAACTTGTATGTTAGATCCAGTTCCAACCAGGTTATTTAAGGAGGTATTCCCTTTGATCTCCTCCTCCATTTTAGATATGATTAATCTATCTCTGTTACAGGGATATGTACCTAAAGCTTTTAAGATTGCTGTAATTAAACCTCTGCTTAAGAAACCGTCTCTTGACCCAGATGACTTGGTCAATTATAGACCTATATCCAATCTTCCTTTCTTATCCAAAATTCTTGAGAAAGTAGTTGCCAAACAAGTTTGCGATCACTTCCACCATAATGAACTTTTTGAAGAGTTTCAGTCTGGCTTTAGAGCTCATCATAGCACTGAAACAGCTCTGGTGAAAGTCACTAATGATATTCTCATGGCCTCAGATAATGGACTTGTATCTGTGCTCGTCCTGTTGGATCTTAGTGCTGCATTTGATACAGTTGACCATAATATTCTTTTAGAAAGACTTGAATATTTTGTTGGAATTAAAGGAACAGCACTAGACTGGTTTAAATCTTATCTATCTGATCGAATTCAGTTTGTTCATGTTAATGATAGATCTTCAACACGCTCAAAGGTTACCTGTGGAGTACCACAGGGATCAGTGCTAGGACCAATTCTCTTTACTTTATACATGCTCCCAATTGGTAGAATTATTAGACAGTATGGGATTAATTTCCACTGTTATGCTGATGATACCCAGCTATATCTGTCTATAAATCCAGATGAAGCTAACCCATTACATAGATTACAGGCATGTCTTGAAGACATAAAAACCTGGATGACTCTTAATTTTCTGCTTCTGAATGCAGACAAAACAGAAGTTATAGTCTTTGGACCAGAGTCTCTGAAAAAGAAACTGATTAGCCAGTCACTTCATTTGGATGGGATTAAACTGATTTCAGATAATAAAGTAAAAAATCTTGGTGTTATTTTTGATCAGGACCTGTCATTTAAATCCCATATCAAAGAGGTTTCTAGAATTTCCTTCTTTCATCTGAGGAACATTGCAAAAATTAGAAATATCCTGTCCAGGGGTGATGCTGAGAAACTAGTCCATGCATTTGTTACTTCAAGGCTGGACTATTGTAATTCTTTACTATCAGGAAGTCCACAAACTGTAGTTAAAAGCCTTCAGCTGATCCAAAATGCTGCAGCCAGAGTTCTAATGAAAATTAAAAAGAGAGATCATATCTCGCCTATCCTGGCTTCTCTTCATTGGCTTCCTGTTAAATCAAGAATAGAATTTAAAATCCTCCTTCTCACATATAAAGCCTTAAATGGCCAAGCTCCATCTTATATCAGAGATCTGATTGTTCCTTATGTTCCTAACAGAGCACTTCGCTCTCAATCTGCAGGTTTACTAGTGGTTCCTAGAATTTCTAAAAGTAGAATGGGAGGCAGATCTTTTAGTTATCAGGCTCCTCTCCTGTGGAACCAACTACCAGTTTTAGTCCGTGAGGCAGACACCCTGTCTACTTTTAAGGCTAGGCTTAAAACTTTCATTTTTGATAAAGCTTATAGTTAGGGTGGCTCAGGTTATCCTGAGCTATCTCTATAGTTATGCTGCTATAGGCTTAGACTTTTGGAGGACATAGGGACCCCCATTTCATCATTCTGCTTCATTCTCTCTCTGTTCTCCTATTCTGCAGAATCTGTTAGTTCAATCTCTAACCTTCTGCTCTCTCTGCTTTTCCTCAGAGTAGCTTTGCCTCGTCTGTTCCTGTTTGGCTGTGACGTCATCCTGGAAAAAAACATCAGCTGTGCTGCTTCTATCAACACCCTTGTTAATAGATGTTGGAGATCGGCCTGTTTTCCAGTGTGGTCCTGTTTCTCTGACCGTGACTGAGTGGATGTGCTCTCTTCGTCCTCTGGCATGGGAGCTGCCTTGGAGCTCGTCTGCCTGGCTGTGTGTTTCCTGGACGGGGCCGCCTTTTACAGCTGCTTTTTGTATCTCTGCTTCTGTCTCCTTGAACCCCAGTCGGCCTCGGCAGATGGCCGCTCACACTGAGCCTGGTTCTGCTGGAGGTTTCTTCCTGTTAAAAGGGAGTTTTTCCTCTCCACTGTCGCTACAAGCATGCTTAGTGTGGGGGATTGTATTTGAGTCAATGAGTCAATGCAATCAACTGGTTTTCCTTAGATAGAAAACTTTGTATCAATTTGACTGTATGATCTGGTTGAACTGTAAAGTGCCTTGAGATGACATGTGTTGTGAATTTGGCGCTATATAAATAAACTGAATTGAATTGAATGTACCACTTTGTGTTGGTTTTTTAACATCAAATTCAGCAAACCTTGTTTAATTCTGTAAATGAAGGCAGATAAAATCTGGAAATATTCTAGGAAATTCTACTGCAGAGCTCTTTACCTCCACTGCTGATCAAGATGTTAGATTTAAATTGACTATTGTTTACTGAGCCCATTGTATAAAGAACCTGATCATAAAGCACAGATAAACTTCCTGCTATTTAGATAAAAAGTGAGGTAAACATGTTTAGTCCTCATGGAAATAAAGTGCTTTTATTTTAGAACATTTTCAGACATTCTCGTCTTTTTTTACCATAAAAAAACAACATACTTGCTCAAACATTGCATTACAAAGATCTGCATTATTTTAACCTTAGCTAACTTCACAAAGTTGACTTCTCTCCAGTTTGGCAACTTGATGCATTACAATTAGTTGTTGGGTTGAAGCTCCTAATGGAGCCACAGAGACAATGGGGAGGTTTAAAAAGTAGTTGGCTGTCAGGAAGATCAACTATAGTGGTTAAGTCATGTTACTCTGTTACAAGTGAAGCATTTCCATCAGAGTTTAAAAAAAAAAAAACTATAAAAAAGTAAATTTTTTTGTCTAGTGGCACTTGATGAAACTTCCACCACCACACCTCGGGCATTTTCAGAGCAAAGCGATCCTTAGCACATGCTGAAGCTACCATTTCTAATCACGCTGAAGTAAGTGATGTCTTCTTTAGACGTCTTTAGTTGTTCACGGCACGAAAACGTAAACTGCTACATTGGTTTCTGTTAAAGTTCGACGCCTCGTCTCACAGATAAGACCGGTCTCTGCTACTGTAATTTTTTAAGCTGCTCAGTGAAAGGATACAAAAATAAGTTATTTAGTCCCTCAAGCTAAGTTTCGGCGTAACTGCAGCACAGATCTGTCACCATGCAGTTACTTAAAAAAAAAAAAGTCATCTCCCATGGCAACATGCTTTGTTTCACAAGCTGCAGACCTTTACATTCACAAAGTACATTAAAACGCATTCATAAACGGCTCTAAGATCACACCATTCATCTTTTTTGTTTAGCATGGTGTGATGTTTGAGAAGTACCGATTTTTGCACCGTTACATTTTACCAGGATAAAATAGTTCTGCAACTCATAAATAAATCCAACATGTTGGAAAAATATCTAGGAAGTTGGAACCCTGAGATAGCTCTTACTTGATGAGCCTACGGTTTCTGTAAGTTGTGAGTTTGTAGGAAGACTTTGCAATAATACTCAAACCTGCTGCTTTAAGCTTGCAAGGTTGAAAAATATAATAACAATCAGACAAATGACAGATACTTTAACATCCAAGTGCTGAACCATTTGGGGATACTACCTCAAGAGACTGACTCTGACTCATCCCCAATCCAAACATTAATACACTTGAAGGCTGCAGTAAATAAAGAAAAAAGAACAAAATAACTTTAAATGACTCCAGCTGTCTGAATTGGGTAAGATATGAGCAGATAACCTCATAGGAATATAGGAAAGTGTATGTTCTTATCAAAAATATATTTAGGAAAATAATGAAGAGTTTTTATTGCCCTGTACAGTAAATGTAAAAATCTGTGTTTGCATAGGTGGAGTTAGAAAGGTTAGGAAGGGAAGACTGAGGTGTGGTGGTTGCTTAAAATTCCCTCTTTTTTTTTTTTCTTTTCACTTCTCAGTGAGTGACAGCTGCAATATCCGTTCCAGCTCCTCTTCCTCCTGTTGCCTCATCTTCTCCTCCTCTTCTTGAGCTCGAGCAGAGAGCTCCATGGCCAGGCGGAGCTCTGAGTCTTGGCTGGAAGCAGAGGGAGAGCTAGCCGGGCTGACGCTGTCTCCAAACTCCACCAGCACCCCCTCTGGGATACTTCTGGAATGACATTAAAGGAAAATAAGCGAGATCTGCAAGGTCACCTATTTACAACCAACTGGCTGAGAAAAAGCAGATCCCCCTGACCTTTTCCCGTTTTCCACAAAAGCCTTCATCTAAACAGGTTTATAGCTAACTGCTTGTGGGCTTAAAAGTTCAAATCATCCAAACGAACCCACTTTTTATGATGTTCTCCTTATCATGTCTGGGAGAAAACAGGAATTCCCACCATTTTCATCCAAGAGACCAAATATTAAGATATTTTGACAAATATCTCAGGAAAAAAATTTTTGTAGGGCAAAGAAAGGCTAAATTAATGGAACAATGTCTAATGTATCTACCAAAAATACATCTGTATTTAATAAACTGATATTAAAGTTAATAAATGAAGCCACAGATATACACATTCGATAAACTTAATTCATTTGTTTACATTGCAAAATAAGATGAATTTTAGAAAAACAGTAAGAGTAGTAAATCTTTGTCAGATTTAAAAATATGTTTTGTGTGTTAAAAAGTGTCTTTTTAAAGAAGTTCTTATGTTTCTACATGACAGCAGAGATTCCCAAGGTGTGGCGCAGAGGTGCACGTGCTGTCACTAGAGGGAGTACGAGATTTTAAAAAAATTTAATGGCGGTCTGAGAATTGCACAATTCCATTCATTTCCTCACCCAATAAAAACGTTTAACCTCGGCTGGTTCAACAACTGCGAATGTCACCCCCACAAGAAACCCCCACTGATAACGAGACCATTGGAAAGAAGGGAGTTTAGGTTTTAATTAATAGAACAGTGTTGCAATACCATTGGAGAGTTTTTCCACTTCTATTCGACTATTTTTATTTTCATTCAGCTGCTTAGTGTTTAAATTGGGTGTTGTGCATGTCTTTTGATTCATTTTGTTAGTGAATGTGCTGAATCCCTCCTACCATGTTAAATAACAACACATTGTCACCTTTGCCTGAAGGTTGAAGTAAATCAGATACTCATTCTCCTTGCGTGTCTGCTGTAAATGCAAAGTACAACTAGATGTCTCACCACTTCATTCTATAGCTGGACATGTTGCTCCGTCTTTTTTTTTCTTCTCCTTTCATCAAAATGCTTATTCTTTCAAAAAGTAGATTTAATAAATTTCAGTTGTGAGACTTCAGGAGTTTTCAGTGAAAGCAAGATTGTAGGTAAATATTTGCTTTTTTTAAGCAATGGATGTAAAGCAGCAGTAATCAAAGAATAAAATAAACATTCTCACAGTAAGATTTCATAGTCATAGTCAGCAGAAGACTCCTCCTACCCAGATGCACCACAAAGCGCCACAGGAAATCATTCCTACCTGTGGTCATTTTTTTTCTTATTTTTATCTTTATTATATTGTATAGTTGGATGTGTGTATATATCATATAAAACTGTAACTGGAGCGTGTAACAAAAGTAATTTCCCTCTGGGATTATTAAAGTATTTCTGATTCTGATTAATCATGAGCAATAACAACAAAGATCAAGACCGCTCTTGAGACCTCCATCGCTGCTAAAGATGTACTAAGTTTAGTATATTCTCTTGAAACCCTCACCTATATGCTTTGTTCTTTCCTTTATAATGGTTTTTATTTATTATTGAAACCAACTTCTGATACGATCTCAGAACTAAAAAAATTTGGCCTTAAGCTTGAAGGTCCGCATGGCCAAATTATGTCATTTTGGGCTTCCATGCCCCTCCGAACAGACTCTGTGCAGACAGAATTTCCAGGTAGAGCAACTAGGAAAATATGTAACTATGTAGACGGAACCACGCGGAAAACATGGTGAGCAAACAGAAGCTCCTGCTGGCGAAGGTTTGCAAATGTAAACATCTACAGACATCCCTTGATTTAGCTTATAAATATACTCACTATCAAAACATTGTGGAAAAACTCCAGGAAGAGGTTTTGATAAAGTTGTGAAAGGCTGTGTTTACTACTTCCTCGTGTAATCATTTTCCATGCGTCAAGCATAATGAGCCCTTTAGAGGGTAACTGGATTTTATTTATATGTATCGAAGTAAAGAGGTCTGAATAGAAAAGTGTGCTGCATTTTCGAGATTTTAATTTTGAAAAAAAAATTATATTTCTGCTTTTGCAACGATATGTGTTGAGCTAAAGACTCAGACCTACCCATCACTCTGGCTGCCAGTCATTGCATTTGGAAATCCCCCATTAGCATCACTCCAGCTCTCCTCCTATAAACACAAATAAAAAGGGACATTTAGGAAGGAGGGTGCAGACCATTTTTAAATAAGCACTGAAAAGAAAAACAAAGCACTTCTTTTAGCATCATTAGAATGGTTCTGACCTGGCCTGAGCCTCTCTGAGAGTCGAGGAGGCTCTGATGGATGGCATACTGCAGAAGCTCGTCGTCATTGTTGGATATGGGCGTATGGCGGCTGCCCCCTCTCCGGAGATAGTTGGGAGGTACCTCAAACACAGAGGGAGAGACCTGGAATGGAGTTGGAGCTGGGTGTGGGGAGGCGGAAAGAAAATGAAATACTCAGGAATAAAACACATGAAGTTTTTGTTTTTAAGATGGTAAATGTTCTGGATGGACCGCTACCGGTGGCTGCTTCACATTCTTCCGAGGACGGCGTGGCTGCTGCCTCCTCTTCGGTGCAACATTTGTTCACGTTGCCAAAGGTAATCCTGGCATTCAGCACATGAAACAGGGGAATCTCTGAGAAAAAGGGAAAGGTGTCTTTAAAGTGTAAACTTTAAATAAGAACACTTTGTATTCATGTATTATACCTATTTTAACCGGAAATCCGGGGGGGAACTTCAGGGTTACAAAGTCTCTTAATCGTGCAAAATGGGAACTGGTTCGAGCCATGAGGTCAATGATGGGGGTCACCTGCTCCACCAGAGACAGAGGATGCTCCTCACTCATCCACAGTGTCCCTTTGAACCTATTCGGATCAATATTACGCATAGCATTCACCAAATGTGCATGATAACTGATGGAGATGGTGTAACAAAACTAAAACGGAAACTTTATTTTACTTTTGCGTTCGAATAGTCAGTTCAATGGGACGGCCGATGTCTCTGTTACCCAGGTCGAAGTCGGGATTGAAATATTCCTCTGGAGTGATTGCGGTGGGGTTGGTGGCTGTGGCGTACTCCAGAGTCAAGTTCTGTAAATCGAAGCAATCGTCTTAAATAACCCATTAACTGTGGGCAAAACAAATGCTTTGATCGCTGATCGATTTTGAAATGCACATCTTACCCCCTGAGCACTTATGTGCTGCTCCACGGTTCCCAGCAAAGACTCCAAAACATTCCTTTCACCTTTGAATAGAACATTTATTGTCAGTGTTTAAATCTGGAGTTACAAATATATAAAAGAAATGTTCTTGGCCTACTTTTAATCCTGGCTTTCTCTTCATCAGTTAAATGCTCTGTCCTCGTTCTGATGACCACATTTACATTGTTCACACTAAAAACCTGAAAAAGAACACCAACACGACGTAATGTGAGAATTATTCAAAACGGTTGTAATAGTGATAGCAGATTTTGAGTTTCTTTTTAAAATGTAACTCTTTGATGTATGCAAACCTTTGCTTCAAATCCATTAACCACTTCTGTTTTGTCAGTTCTCCAGCCCAAAATCCCAGATTTGCATCTGTTGAGAAAAATAATACCAATTTCAGAAAACAAGACATAATTTTTGTTATTTTAGAGCAACTTTATACTAATAAACTGTCATATTACAACCACACATTTGAATGCCAAATAGTTTTTATGTGAAAGGCTAACAAATTATCATGCATAATAAAAAAATTGTACAGTTTTCTAATATTTATTCTGCAACAAAATTATGCATCATCAACTGGTTTAAGGACTTGTTTAATAAGTAAATGAAAAAAAAGACCAGGGTATAAAGCCATCTGTTCTGTAAAGGCATCAGATGTTTAAGAACATCACTAAAAAAACAGCATCATGGAGACCAAGAAACACAGCAGACAACTTAAAGAGAATAACATTTAAAGCTCTGAAAATCTCCCAGAGCTTTTTTCAATCCATCATCCTAAAAAGGAGGCAAGGCTGCAACATAAACCTTACTAAGATATGGTCTTCTACCTAAACCGTCAGAGAAGCAACGAGGTAACTCAAACTAAAGTTTTCAGAGCTTTACTGTTAATGCGGGAGAATCAGTTTATAGTCAAGCACCACAAATCTGACCCTATGCATGAGTGGCTAGAATAAAGAAGGCTGTTGAAAGATTAGCAAAAACAAACAAAAGTTTGCACACGCCATCTGTTTTGCTAAAAGCCAGAGCAAACATGTGGAGGAGTATAATGCTCTGGTCAACTCAGACCAAAATCAATCTCCTCAATCTAGGTGCTTGAGAAAAACTAACTGTGCACCATCCCCACTGTGATGCACGGTGGTGGAAGCATCGTGCTGTGGGGATTTCCTTCATTAGCACTGACAGGAAAAATACTCGGATGATGGAAAAACAATGGATGGAGTACAAAAATCCTTGAAAACCTGCTAGATGGATCAAAAGACATTGGGAGGAGGTTTACAAATGCACCCCAGACTTTTCATATTAATTTTCAGAAAAATAATTTTAAAACCAGTTATCATAAAGCCTCCTTCTCACAATTATGCAGTACACCCTGTTGGGTTATCACCTCAAACAATAATAAAGTACACAGATGTTTGTGGTTGAAATAGGACAGATGCGGCAAATTTAACCCTTTAAAGCCTGGACCATGAAATAATACACGAAATTCTATTTAGTTTTATTAGAGTTGTCATTTAACTTGTGAAAATAGATAATTTTTTTGCATACATTTTGATACATTAGGCATTTCTTTATAATACCTTATACATTTTCTGTTAATTACATGTGTCAGAATGTGTTAGTCAAGGTTTTTAAGATCAAAAATATCACACTGGTGATGCGGATGGCTCAAAAACTGATTGTATCAGATATGATACTCTAGACTTTAAAGGGTTAAAGTGTATGTATATCTTAATGAGGCTCTGTGGGTGGGTTTGTTTGGCATAACAGAAATGAGCTCTAATAAGATGTTAAAACATTCACTCCTTCAAATATTTCTACACACAGAAAATACAATTAAATGCTTCATAGAATAGGAATGATTTCCATGGGAGAAGTACTAATCTTCCGAAAACGTCCCTAATTTGGGGTTGACAATAAAACTTAAATAAACAAAGATCATTAGATCTATCTTTTGTTTATAGAAAAAGCAAATAGAAATAAATTACTTGCCTTTCAAAAGCTATATCCTTTGTGTCTAAGTAGGTGTTGACAATAGGGGTTGTCAACCTTTTGGCAACTTCCTGTTCTGCTGGCTGCATTGACTCTAAAGTGACGTCTTCAATTTCTTGGGATATGTTGAAGCGTTCTGTGTCAACTACCCCATCATCATGGTTGACCTCCATCAGCTCGGCATGGGAATCTATCAAAACAGGCAGTCAATATAGAGAACAGCTTAATATGAAGGAGTTAAAAGAAAGGAAAACCCACCATCTCCTTTGAAGATGTAACTCCTACGCCCTCTGATCCAGGTCATATTGTCGAACCCCAGAAGGGTAGCGTCCACTCGCAGGCAGGCACCGCTTTTCCAAATGCGGCAAACGTCACTTGGACATATCCGGGACAGAAGAGGGACTGTTAAAGCAAATGGGAGAAAAAATGCAACTCTGAGCCAAACAAAAACAGCACCGACAGGTATGTTGTTTTGCCTGTATGACCTGCTGAAGCCTTTATGCACGAGAACTAGCCTCTGCTCTGCCTTTCTAACTAGCATACAACAGAAAAAAAAGAAAGAAAAAAAATACCACTCACTCCAGCTGGTGAATTCCCACTTCATTTCCATATAGAAATCTGGAGACTAGGAAGGATTAAAAGTTAGGTCATTCTAAATGTTTCCAGACTTACAAACATTCTGATTAAAAAAAATATATATATATATGAAGAAAAACCTCCTTGATCTTCAAAAGCAGCTCAGGCACTCCTCCCAGAGCAGTGGAGGCTTTGAGGTAGTCTCTACGCTGAAGCACTAACTGAACCATCTCAGGGTCTCCAGTGCTGACGGCCTCCTGCAGCACTGCAAAAATACACACCAGCTCAGGGAAACCACAACGCCTGTTAAAGTATCAGCATCTGTCCCACATGTATTGCAGTTATCCATTAGAAAACCTCAGTAATGTGAATGCTGGCTGTTTTACTGTATCTGTGGGAGTGTGTTATGCATCTACAGGAAAGTCCATTAACAACAGCTGAGGAGAAGATTTAGGAGATAGATCAACCAATAAACTGGTGTGAAAAGCCTGTGTGTAAGAAAGGATGAAGGTTGCAGTGTTTGGTGGCATGTGCTGGCTGATATGCAGAAGGCTAACCTGTCCAATTCTTGGCATTTTCTTTAGTCACCGAAGCACCGTGTCTCAAGAGAACTCGGACTAACTCCAGGTGTCCAAGTGACACAGCCAGGTGCAAAGGTGTCCGACCCCTGGGGTCAACAGCCTCGATGTCATCCTGAGAAAAAAGAAAAAAAAAAAAAAAAGAGAAAAACAAGCATTATAACCATTACGCTTGCAACCAATAAGATTTAACAGGATCAGAACAGACCACATTTGGCCAAATGACATCCCTCTGCGGTTGTGCACCCTTTAATTTAGGCAATAGCTGATAATTACAGAGGCTTGCACCCTCTGCACCAGCAACAAGTTGGTTTTATTTTGATATGAGTCATGCTGCAACTGATGAGTAATCGTTGGATGGAAGGCAAAGTCTCTCTGTTAAAAGTTGGTATTGATGATAATCATGTTCTACAAATTGGAATAGGTTTTCTGATGAGGTTTGTAAATCAGACTTTAAGTACTTTGGCGGATAACAACCTTTACGGTAAGTAGGAAACTAAACACACTATACATTCTATTTATGTAATGAAAATGTTTTCCTCTATTAGTCTGATGTAATCTCAAATATCGTGTTTGCATTAGCTATAAGTATAAACATTTAAAACATTTGTCTGTAATGCAATCCGCTTAGTGATGAAGTTTCTGAAATATATTAGCTTCCAATAATATTCTACGTTTTTTAAACAGGTTTGAACACCATCATAGAACAAGCAACGATATTTTGATTGCCATTTCTCTTACTGATGAAAAATAAATTATCTTTCTATATTCTTTCCTATGTAAAGTCTTCATTTAATTTATGAAGACTTTACATATCAGACTTTGCATATCAAACATTTGTTTATGTTTGATATGCAAGTATACAAACTGACCGTCTGGCCTCAAATCTAAACCTACTTTATAACTGATGATTAGAAATGTATTAATGTCACTTCTAAGACTGTAGATAACCCAAACAGACACCAAAGAAAAAATCCCCCATCAGTGGGCTACATTTTTTTATAGACTCCTATAAAGAAACAAAAACAATTTTGGTTCTTTGATTTTGTTTTGCATTTAAGGTTTTAACGAGAAGATAAAGCTACGGTCAGTTTACTGAGCAATACAGAGCAATGACACCACTGTCATTAAAGCACATAGCCATAATTTTGGCTATGAAGCAAGGTACAAAGTCCTCCTGGAAAAAATGTAAATATGCATTTTTATAAAGCTTGTTAGGATAGGCACCTAAAAGGTTTATTCACAGGTAAACAATAAAACACAGACGACCAACACCTACAGATGATTTTATTCCCAGAGCACCTTTAATATAGCAACAGATCTCTACTTTTTTTTGTTCAGATGTTGGGACCTTAACTTATAAAGAAGAGGAATCATTTACTTTTTAAACTTTCTGCATCTTTAGCCGTGGTTAGTTAAAGATACCCAAAAAGGGTGGCCCGACCAGTTAAAGCTCTAAAGAGCCAACTTGAACTCAAGTCAATGCACTGAAGGGGCGTCCTAGCAAAACTGTGGTTATGTTTATAAAACAACAGTTTTTTCCTTCCCCTCAACTTTCCAAAAATATGCTAGGATACAGCCTTGTGTGAGTTCAGCATCTTTTGTACTGACAGCTGGGCAACTTTAAATTCAGCGATGTTCCCATTTTTTATTTTATTTTTTTGTAGGCTCCATTTCTCTTTTCACAATAAAATTCAAATTGGTTTGATTTATAATGTATTCTAATAATGTGAGGCATTGGATTTTAAGCTTCAATAAGCTTTCAGCATTTAGCAACAACAAAAAAAAAACATTCCTGTGTGTGTTGAATCTCTGTTTTTGAAGTAAATTTCAGATTATGCACCTGTTGTTACTTTCTATTTTTTAACTAAGTGTTGTAAGCCAGCTGATAAGTCATCAGTTAACTTTAGTCTGTGACAGCAGCAGAGCATCTGTCAACATCTCTGGCCTACTAACAGGCTACAAACACACCAAGAAACTAGCCTCTGCTTTCATCTGGTGGTTTCACCATCTACCTTGGCGTTTCTACTAACCTGCTGTGATCGTATTTGTTGTTCCAGTTTCCTGTAGTCGTTCTCCCAAACTGCGGCATGAAGGGGAAACTTCCCTCGGATGTCTTCGCTAATGCTAGCCGTGGACATCTTCCTCTTTCTGGAGCCTTTCACTGCTGTAAGCCTGTGATTATTTCATCCATTAACCAAGCGGCGGTGGTGGCTACACGCTAATTAAAGGAAAATATGCGCCGTAACTCCATCGCTCTACCGCTGACAGCAAGAATAATAATAACACCCAGTCAAGTGTCCAACTTCTGCCCCCAAGCCTTCCTCTAAATAAAACTTTTGAACAAGGAAGTGCCCTGAGCAGTACCCACTACCAGCAGCAGGGGGGTCCTACACAGAGAAACAGCCACAATGCTAACTATATCAAACAAATCAAGCTTCACAGTTGCTTGCTTTACATTTTAAATTTCCTGGTTCGTCTAAATATACACGTTAAGGTCGTCCATTTAGCGCAACAACAGATTTATCATCTACAACACGTCTACACCGAAAATAATGGACGGTTCCAGTTTGGGCTAAACCATTTTACTTGTCAGCAGGGGGAGGGGTTACGTTAACGCTTCCTGAAACTGGTACCGAAATAAATTAATAATATAATAACATATAAAACATAAAACTATGGACGGTTAAATAATCTACTCATGTATTCATGTTAATTATTTATTAACAATAAGGAATTAGTCGCATGCAAGAAAGGGGGGCAGTGCAGCTTAGGTTTGAGTGCTTAGTAATACATCTCTCATTATTCTATCACATTCCAAACTTCACAGTTTTAAGCTGTATCTTATTTTCAAAGTATAAATAAAGATCAATACTATGACTTTTACGTAGGTTATTATGTTTTCAAAGAGGATAGATTTCAAATACAGATATTTTTAAGTGGGGTTGGGTGGATTAATACAATATCTAAAAAAATGTAAAAAAATTTTTATTTAATTTGGAAAAGACAAAATCTTTTTTTTCTCCTTACTAAACCATAAAATCAAATTTTATGTTCTGGACTGCATATGAACTTTTCAAGTGAGCTCTTGTATAAATAAGCTTGCTGCCTGTCTTTATCCTTAGAGTTTGTCAGATTATTTTTATTTACATGACAATTCAAACCTTATTGGAGGTTTTAGTGCTTGCGTGGAAAGGTTTCCAAAGGCTCTGAGTAACAGGTCAGAAAAAGAGTTCAAAAAGCCCTGATGATGACTAAGAAATCGAGGCATGGGATTTCAGCTGGAGCTGGGACCTTACCCTGGGACAAGACATAGGATGGGGTACATTGGTGAGTGAGTGATGGTTGGGCTCCTCTTCATAGGACCTGGCCTATGAAGAGCCTGGAGGTTCAATGCATGCCATCTCCCAGTGGGCCTATCATTTGCAGATGGAACCGTGAGAAATCAATTTAGAAATTTAGACTACAGTTATCAGCAGAGTTATTTACCACCAACCAAAAGAAATTGTGTCAGCTTTTTCCAGCGTTAACCAAAAGGGACGTGGATCTGGCTCTAGGTGATGAATCATTCACTGTATAAATAATCACAGATGACCATGGGTTAAAAATATCGGTACCTTTATTGCTTAATAATATTACAGTATTATTGTACCTAATAACTATGCAACATTACGCATTAATGACAATGAGCACAAGGTAAATGAAAGGCTAATAATAAAAGGGAGGAGAAAAGCTGCTTAAATAATATCTGTCACAGGTATGTGATGTCAGGTGTAAGTTGCTCTCGCTTATCACATATGACATTTAATATCATTATTGTCCTTATCATCATTGTCAACATCATCATTGTCCAAGCACAATGATGGTGCAGTTCTACTCCTCCATCATTGAGTCTATCCTGACCTCCTCCATCACCATCTGGTACAAGGGTAGATTGCAGCGTGTCATTTGGTCTGCAGAGAAGGTGATTGGCTGTTGCAATCTTCCATCTCTCCAGGATCTGCAGGGAAGATTGTGGCTGATCCCTCACACCCCAGCCACAAGCTATGCTATCAGGACCAAAACCTCACACCACACTTACAGTTTCTTCTCATCCACTACCAGCCTCATCCACAAGGCCCAGAGACCCCTGTGTCGGGGCGACAGTGGCGTTGGATGTAGGAGTTTGCCCTGAAATTGAAGGGTTGACGGTTCAAGCCCATACTCCGACTTTCAGTGTTGTTGTGTCCTTGGGCAAGACACTTCACCTGCATTGTCTGCGGGGCTGCAGTACACTGGCGCCACCAGGCCAGTGTACGGCAGCCCCGCTTCTGTCAGGGAGCCCCAGGGCAGCTGTGGCTACAATGTAGCTTGCTACCGTGAGTGTGTGTGTGAATGGGTGAATGAATGTAGTGTAAAGCTCTTTGGTCAAGTCTGCAGACTTGAATAAAGGTGCTATATAAGTACATGCCATTTACCATTTACACTGACATTGCCTCTCTTTCCCTCCCCCAGTCAGGACCTACAAGCTACACCTACATAGCATCTCCTGCGTTACATTAATGGACAGTCTACTGTGTATATAGTATATGGCTATATACTATATATATAGTATATTGTATGTTTTTGTACTGTACTACACAGCTATAGATTCTTTATTCTGTAAGTATATCGAATTTGTCTGCACCAACAGTGCCAAGTCAAATTCCTTATAAGTGTAAACCTACTTGGCAATAAATAAATCTGATTCTGATATGCTCTTCAACATTTTACTATTGAGAGGCTGGATAGCCCCCCTCTCAGCAAATCCATAATTTTGTCGTGGGACTTATACGTCCATGTGGGAAATAACAGTGACACCTGGAGGGGTGTGATCAGGAGGGTCAGACCTTCCCCTCTGAATCTGAGTTTGTTTTATTGTTAGACTTCTGTGCAAGTTATGGATTGTCCGTCATGAACAATATGTTCAAGGATATGTCCATCAGTGCACTTTGCACCAGGACAACCTTGGATAGATGAATGACTTAATAGTCATATTTTATGAGCATTGGCGCCTGTTTCGGCGATTTGGCTGAAGAGAGAGGTGAAGCTGTCCATTGGTGGAAGAGGAAAAAGCTGGAGAGACTTGGCAGGCTCAAAAAAGTAGAGAGGGTCTGCCGGGAATATCTGGCAGAACCATTGGTCGGGGACATGAACAGTTTCCACCTCAGCGAGAGCTTTTCTAAGATTCTGGGGGAGGTTGAGAACATGGAATCTGAGTGGAACATGTTCTCCGCCACTATTGGCAATGTGATATTCTGTAACTGTGGGTGTTAGGTCAGTGGTGCCTGTATTGGTAGTAACCCCCAACCCTGGGGGTGGACACAGACAGTAAGGGATGCTGTCAGAGTGAAGAAGTAGGCCTATTGAGCCTGGTTGGCGTCTGGGACTTCTGAGGCAGCAAGCAAGTACCCTGACAGGAGGCAGTGCTTCACTAACCCATTTTTTTGTGAAAGTATGAGCTGCTGAGTTTGACCGAGGATATTGTTGGACAGCAGAAGGAATACTTTTCGGATATCCTCAACCCAGGTGACACCACTTCCATGACAAAAAGAGAGACTTGGTGCACTGGTCTAGACCTGTTTATCACTCATTCCCAAGTCACAGCAGTGGTCAGAAAACTCCACATTCTCAGGATTTTGGGGGTAGATAAGATCTGCTCTGAGTAAACTTGGTCTCTGGATGTTGTTGGAGTGTTGTGGCTATCACATCTTTTCAACATAGCCTGTTGGTCAGCTACAGCAGTGTCAGCATTAAGTTGGGCCTGTTCCCAGTGCATGCTGGACTCTGGCACTGTTGGCTTCTATCATTTAAAGGTGCAACTAAGAGCTGGAGGTGGTCTGGTTTGGGAATCAGCAGATTTTGCCCCAGCGTTTTGCAGACAGATTGGTTCTACTGGCTCCCCCCTGCCAAGACTTATAGCATGCAATGGGGGGATTCGTAGCCGAGTGAACCAGCCTGAGGGGGAGAATGGAGAGGGTGATCAACAGATGGATTCTTGCAGCTGCAGCTATAATTCAGACGCAGCAATGATTTGCTGTGATGAAGAGAGAGCTGAGCCAAAAGGAAAAGTCCTCGATTTGTTTGCGCACAGTCTGCACTCCCACCCTCACATATGGTCATGAAATCCATGACAGAAAGAACAACATCCTGGATTAAAATGGCAGAAATTGGCTTTTTCTACAGGGTGGCTGGGCACTCCCTTAGAGATAGGGTAAGGGGCTTGGTCATCATCAGGGAGAGGCTCAGAGTAAAGCCATCTCCTTCCATCGTTAAAGATCAGATAAGGTGGCTTGGACATCTTTTTTTGGATGCACTCTTGACGACTGTCTTGGTTGGTGTTCCTGGCACGTTCCACTGCGGGGAGGAAAAGGGAATGGGCCAGGATGCACTGGAGAGATTCAGTTGGCCTGGGAATGTCTCAGGCTTTCACCAGTGGAGCTGGAAAAGGTGTCTGGGGAGAGGAAATTAGAATACTGCACCCGTGACCCGGTCCCGGATAAGCAGAAGATGATGGTGACCATTATTTTTGGAGTTATTTTTGACCTCTGTCACCTTGCATCTTGGTAAACATTAAGGCTAATCTTTAGTTAGTTTTATAAATCTTTCTCGAAAGAAATGTCCAACTTTAAACTTGCCAATTTTATGTTAATGGTAAATGCTAAAAAAAGTTTCTTTCCTGTTTAACTAACAGGCCTCGCAGTCAAAACTCGTCATTTTTATTTCTTAACTACTTTGGAATAAATGAAAAGAAAAGAATGCCACCCTCTCCTTATTAACACATGTAATGATAAGTTCTTGGATTTCAGATTTCATTTAACAAGAGACAGGATCTTTGTTTATGTTTGCCAAAGAAATACTCTAAAAGGAGTCCATTTTTTTTTATTAGCATATCATGATTTTCTGTGTCTAAAGCATTAGTGTCAACAATAACTCCAGTATAAATACACATTGTAAATTACACTCTTTAATATTTTTGATAAGCAAACAAAAAAACGTGTATAATTAGATATTATAATTACATTAGTATATTAGTTTTGTGTAACTATACATTTGCAGGGAAGGACACATATTTTGAGCATTTTCTTAACAAACATTCCTAAAATATTACATCAAGCTTATTTCTACTCAAGATGAATCTGTGTGATAATTGTGACCCCTGCTGGACCCTGTCAGACGGTGCGTAAATCAAACTCACCTCCCGTGCAGAGGTACATAAAATCATGTTTTTTCTTCCTGAATATCGCCTATCAGGTTGTACGGCACTAAATATTCTGTATTGTATTTTGCCTTTCTGCTTAGATACAGGTCTACAAACCCAAGAAAATACAACTATTTTAGTATAAACTAAAGTATTACCAGGGGGCGTCACTGGTATATGTTTTTAGTTGTGCTTCCTGACAGCCCAGACTCGGGGCTTGCTAGCTCTTGTTAGTAGGTCACAGTCGCAGCTGCTCCTTCTGCTTCTAACAGAAACTCACAAATGGGCACAGGCTAGTTAGCGAGGCAGGTGGGTGCCCTATTAGCTATAATGCAGGCCAGAAGCTTGTTGTAAAATCTTGAAAGGTAATGTTATCATGGTGGCGACACAAACTCGCTAAATAAAGTAGCAGGTCCCCCCCTTTTTTCCCCATTTATTAGCTAAGTGTAGCTAACGCGGAAGGCGTCTTCCTCTAGTGTAAAGCAATGGTGACGGATTTAATGCTCTGCACCTTTTAGAAGGCATTTCCTCCACTTTAAAGGATGTCTAAACGCCTGCGAAATACTGAAGTGTGCGCAGATTGCTGTGTTTCAGGTAAGCTCGTTCACTTTTTTTTTAAGGTTTGACTTTTGTCTGTTGACTTTTGGTTATTAACGCACCGGGATGTGATCAGATTATGGTTCTCGCCCCGCGGCGCTTCTTCTACTTAACGGTTCCTCCCTGCTATAAAAAACAAGCTGATGGGGTGTCAATTAGATTAGAGAAATTACTTCAGGTTTAATTTTTGTAATATTCACCTGTCCTCTTTGAGTCAAATCTGAAGTTCCCTTCATTTATAAATCCAAACAAAAAAGTTTTTTTTTTCTTTTTTTTTCTTTTTTTTTTGCAAATCTACAAGTTTATAGATATTATTGTTCAGATCTGTTTAGACATGGGCAGTAGTTGTAGCACCAGAAACATAAATATTACTTTATTGTTATCATCACTGGTTGTAATAATAGCCAAGGTGGTAAAAGGTGATATTTTAACTATTGGACAACTCCTTCTTATAAAATGGTTCAGTCTTCTTGTTGAAGACATTGTTATAAGCATTCAGATTGCAAAGGTAAGTTTTGATTAGCTCTTGAAGTTAAGAAGACAGTCTATTTATTGTAAGTTAGGTTTGAACCGAGATCTGGTATAGTTTATCTGCTGTATGTATTATTTTTGCTCAAACAAAAACCCATATATCATAACTTCTCCACTTGTAGTCTAGGAAATTGGTAATAATTACTTTGCATTTTTTGCTGGGCGACCAGAGGCATATCCTTCTGCATTTAGAGTACATAGTTCTTCAACAATGCTTCCTTCTCTAATTATAAAGTCCATATAGGGTGATATTTCACTCATTGCACATTTTGTCTGATAGGAGATCAGTTTCCTTAAATCCCCCAAAACATTAACACAGGTATTATTACCTATAACTTTGGTCTTTTTCTCATGGTAATCATTGAAAGCATCTATTGTTTTATCCTCTAGCCTGAATGTCATTCTCTTCACTTGTAGAGTATTTTTTTCTTTTAAATAAATGTAATGGCAGAGTAGTGGGCAAAATCCTAGGATTGTTTACTATTTTTATTTATTTTTTGCTGCCTTAAGATTGCCGAAAGGATGTATGTTAGCAAAATTTATACCCAATCTTTAAGAATAGTAATAAAAAATTTACTTGTTATAGTGACTGGAATGAAAACTAGAAAAAAAAAATATTTGTTTACATTATAGAAATTTCTTAAACTGAAGCCTGCTATGGCAAATCGCAAGCTTTTTTGACTGGACAGCAGAGCCTGTGGTTGGTGAGATTTAATACATAGCACAGCTTGCAAATTTACTCCGCCTAACGTGACTTGAAGGAACAGCAAGTACTTTTAATGAAAGTTATTGTTCAATTCGACTCGCATTCAAGCCCACACCTACTTCAGTCCAGTAGAGACCGTACCATCATCATCCTACGAGGGAGATCTGCTCGTTGAAGTAAATTATAGGCCTGGGAGAAGCTTGGGGCGAACTTTCACACTGTAATGGGCCTATGAAAGAGGAACAAATAATAGCTGCATTGTTTCTCAGATACTTTTCAAAAGTCCCATTTAAAGGAAAAAGAAGTGACGTGATGCTTTCAGCATGCACAGGAAGCAAAACAGGATGCAGAGCGCATTGACTGCATCACTGCTGTTGCAGAACAATTCTCTTGTTTTATAGTGTTTGATGGTTTAATTTGCTTAGAGACTCTGCGATACATAGCTTCCCTTATTTAAAAAAACAAAAAAACCTTGCTGTGCTTTAATTTATGTGAACTATCTTTTGCTTTTATTGCTATATGAGCAAGTTCACAAAGTATGCAAGACTTCATCTCTCGTCACTAGGATTGGTTAACCCCGGGGGTTTTTCAGCAGCTGCCCCAGCATATGGCTGGTACCGGTTGTTGTCTGTTTATATTTTTGGAGTTTTGGGATGCAGCATTAAGTTTAGCCCCTCTCTTTGAGAAAAGCATGAAGGAGGCATGTCAGCAACTCCCTGTGGAGAGTTGTTAAGTGGAGAAAAAGAGGACCCAGGAGACAAAATCTGACCGCCAACCCCAGCAGCTGTTGCTTCTGCACCTCAGCTGCTACTTAGACATTTACAGTCCTCAGTGTCTGTCTTCCCTTTCACAAAGCCAGATACATTGTATGCCTGATGGTTTAGAGGATGTGGGGGTCTTATGAGTTCATCGGATTGTTTTGGTCTAATTTAGTGTTGGAAAATGAATCTGATTGAAGATGGCACTGGAGAAAACTCTTTTACATCCAAACTCAATCTGCTATCAGATTGATTATTTACCCACATGTATATGGCAGGAGCACAGTATCTCTTCTTAGCACCATATATTACCTTCATACACAGCTTTTTTCTGTTTCTCTTTTGTCTCAACATGGCTTTGAAAGAGGAAGCTGCTCTTTCAGAAGGTGCTTCCACCTCATAACTGTTGGTCCTCACTTCCTTTTTACAGTTAAAACAACTTAAAACAAACAAAAAACTTAATTGCCCTATTGAATGTTTATTTTTTTTAGCCATCAGTACTTGACTTTATGCTCCATCACACTTTGGCTCTACACAAAGACAAGGGGCCAAAGTACATGAGCAAAGCCACCTCTGAATCACTTAAAAACCAAACTAGTTAGTTGGTTTAGGAGATGTTTTTTTTATTTTTATTTTTTACATAGGAGCCTCCTTTTTTGCACAATGAATACATTTTTTTTTCTCCAATCAGATTTTTGTATTTACTTGGGTTATCTTTATCACCTTTCGTGATTTGTTTGATCAACTGAAATATTTAAGACGGCCATAAGGGGGAAAAAAAACAAGAAATCTGTAACGGGGCTGACACCTTTGCACAGCACTTAATGTGATCCACTATTTAAAATAAAATTTAACTTCTCAATTCTATTCTAATTTACTTAGAAATACCTGAACATTTTACAAAAAGCAAAAAAAAAAAAGTTTTTATTTCCCAGCCATTTCTGTTCTGTTCTGACCTTCTAAATGAAAAGTTCTGATGAATTTTTCTTTTCCTAAAATGTAATTTCTGTGACATGGTTGCAAGTTTCCTGATTTTGGCTTTGTTCCCCTGCTTTCTAGAGCCTCGCTGGGCCTCTGTGAACAGAGGGGTGTTGATTTGTGACGAGTGCTGCAGTGTTCACCGAGGTCTCGGAAGGCACAGCTCCCAAGTCCGTCACCTGACCCATTCTCCATGGCCCCCAACGCAGCTCCAGGTTGATGAGACAGACAGAATACTCATTTATGTTCAGCTTTTTTTTGCAAACCTCTGTGCTATTCTATGCAATTGTCCTCTCTGCACACCTAGGCCTTACACATTTGCACAGCAAGTATTCATGGAGGCAGTTTTTATTGAATTTGACAGGTTTTAATCTTTAATTTAATCTTTGTTTTACTTCTATTAGATGGTGCAAACGTTATACAGCAATGGTGCAAATTCAATATGGGAGCACTCCCTTCTGGACCCTGCATCTGTGATGAGTGGAAAACGTAAAGCTAATCCTCAGGACAAGCTTCAGTAAGATATTTTTCTTGTGTTTTTCTGTCTTTATTTTTAAATGAATTATCAAATGCAGTAATTGTCGCTGTGATTCAGTTTGCTTCTTTGCCAGTTTGTACCTCTGTTTCGTACTCTGTGTTGTCCCTTCTGACACCCGTTTCATAACCATGTATTACATATTTTTAAAACATTGTTTGTGTTTTCCTGAATTATGCTGATAGTCATAAAAAAATTCAAATGACACTTCTTGTTTGTTTTGATTTTTTTTTTTTGTATTTTTTATATTAAAAAAAATGAAAAAGTAGAACTGTAAATTTACAGTCATACAGGTGCTGGTCATAAAATTAGAATATCATGAAAAAGTAGATTGATTTCAGTAATTCCATTTAAAAAGTGAAACTTGTATATTATATTCATACATTACATACAAACTCATATATTTCAGATGTTTATTTTGTTTAATTTTGATGATTACAAATGACAACAAATGAAAATCTCAAATTCATCATATCAGAAAATTAGAATATTACTGAAGACCAATAAAAACAAAGGATTTATAGAAATGTTGGCCAACTGAAAAGTATGAACATGAAAAGTATGAGCATGTACAGCACTCAGTATTTAGTTGGGCCTCCTTTGGCCTGTATTACTGCAGCAATGCGGCGTGGCATGGAGTCGATCAGTCTGTGGCACTGCTCGGGGTTTATGATAGCCCAGGTTGCTCTAATAGTGGCTTTTAGCTCTTCTGAATTGTTGGGTCTGGTGTATTGCATCTTCTTCTTCACAATACCCCATAGATTTTCTATGGGGTTAAGGTCAGGAGAGTTTGCTGGCCAATTAAGAACAGGGATACCATGGTCCTTCAACCAGGTACTGGTAGCTTTGGCACTGTGTGCAGGTGCCAAGTCCTGTTGGAAAATGAAATCTGCATCTCCAAAAAGTTGGTCAGCTGCAGGAAGCATGAAGTGCTCTAAAACTTCCTGGTATGTGGCTGCGTTGACCCTGGACCTCAGAAAACACAATGGACCAACACCAGCAGATGACATGGCACCCCAAACCATCACTGACTGTGGAAACTTTACACTGGACTTCAAGCAACGTGGATGAAGTGCCTCTCTTCTTTTCCTCCAGACTCTGGGACCTTGATTTCCAAAGGAAATGCAAAATTTACTTTCATCAGAGAACATGACTTTGGACCACTCACCAGCAGTCCAGTCCTGTTTCTCTTTAGCCCAGGCAAGACGCTTCTGACGCTGTCTGTGGTTCAAGAGTGGCTTGACACAAGGAATGCGACAGCAGAAACCCATGTCTTTCATACGTCTGTGTGTGGTGGTTCTTGAAGCACTCACTCCAGCTGCAGTCCACTCTTTGTGAATCTCCCCCACATTTTTGAATGGGTTTTGTTTCACAATCCTCTCCAGGGTGCGGTTATCTCTCTTGCTTGTACACTTTTTTCGACCACATCTTTTCCTTCCCTTCGCCTCTCTATTAATGTGCTTGGACACTGAGCTCTGTGAGCAGCCAGCCTCTTTAGCGATGACCTTTTGTGTCTTGCCCTCCTTGTGCAAGGTGTCGATGGTCGTCTTTTGGACAACTCAGTCAGCAGTCTTCCCCATGATTGTGTAGCCTATAGAACTAGACTGAAAGACCATTTAAAGGCTTTTGCAGGTGGTTTGAGTTAATTAGCTGATTAGAGTGTGGCACCAGGGGCCATCAATTTTGAACCTTTTCACAATATTCTAATTTTCTGATATGATGAATTTGAGATTTTCATTTGTTGTCATTTGTAATCATCAAAATTAAACAAAATAAACATCTGAAATATATGAGTTTGTATGTAATGTATGAATATAATATACAAGTTTCACTTTTTAAATGGAATTACTGAAATCAATCTACTTTTTCATGATATTCTAATTTTATGACCAGCACCTGTATATTACTGTTTATATATATATATTTTTTTTACTATTTTCCAAGGCTGCACTTTAAAAAAAGATGGAATTGTCCAGAGAGCTGTTCCAAACGTAATTTCTTTTTGTTTTACACTTGTGTAAACAAAATGATAAATCTGTCTAAGTCTTAGTCTAATATAAACAAATTGTATTTAATGTCCACTAATCTAAGTTATGATCATTTGATTAATTGAGTTTAATGTTAATGTTAGAAATAAGGATAAAAACATAATGCTGTATATCTGGCAAAAATTTAAGCATAAACATTAAAATGTGTAATCAACAGACCGGAGATTTTCAGGATTTAAATGATGATGAAAATAAGATAATTGCTGCTTACTCTTTCATGTCATATTTCTCTTTTAAAAGCCCAAACAAATCGGAGTTTATTAGAGCCAAATATCAAATGCTGGCGTTTGTCCATCGTATGCCGTGCCGTGAAGATGACAGCTCTACAGCAAAGGATTTAAGCAAGGTAAGGAGAAATGGCTGATCACTGTGGAACATTCAGCACACTCATTGGCCTATGATGGATCTGTTAAAGCCTTAAGAAAATAATTCACAGATTGCAGAACGCTTTTTAGATGAGTATGTTTGTTTATTGAGAAAAAATATAATGCAAAATACTTTTAAACAATAGTCAGAATTGTAGCAAAATAGCATAGCCTTGAGTCTGTATATAATATTTGTCCATCTCAAGGCCTGCTGGCCGAATCTGGTCCGCAACATAATTATCTCCCACTCCAGTGTAAAAAAAGCCATATCATGTTGTAAAATAGAGGTACCGTATTTTCACGACCATAAGGCGCACCGTACTAAAAGGCGCACTCTCAGTTATGTGTCCCATTTCTGTATTTAACACACACATAAGGCGCACCGGACTATAGGGCGCGTTTTTTATATACAGGTACATGTCCTCTACTACCTTTAAATACCTCTACTGCGTATTTAAAAATACAGCGGGGGCAAAACTGAGTATGACTGTGCTTTATTCATGTATTTATTACAAAGTATTAGTCAAACCTGGGTGCTGGCCGTGAGACAGACACATCGCAGATGACACAGCGCTGTGATCACTCCTAAATTAACTTAAAATCCTGAAACCTGCCGACGGAATATGTTCGCTTTTATGGGTGCCTGCAGTTTAAATTATTTAGATGAAAAACACCTGCCATCCACCGCGTGAACCCGGAGGCTGCCCAGCCTAGAGGCTGCTGATGAAGGGATTTCTGCTGTCGGTGCACCGCTGGTATGTGGGGGTCTGAGCGCCTCCGACAGAAATAGATAATCTGGATGAACTGACTGCAATTATTACGTTTTCAGGTGGACTTTCTCACTTAAAAACATAATAAAACTACTTAATTCCCACTGATCACAGCAAATATAGCTGCAAGATTTAGATTATTTAGATGAAAAAACACCTGCCAGCCACCGCGCTGAAGAGGAGGAGACACGCCCAGAGGCTGCTGTTGAATTAAGTTTTCAGGTAGAAAAATAGAGCGGGAGCAAAACTGAGTATGATTGTGCTTTATTCATGTATTTATTACAAAGTATTAATCAAACCCATCAAAGTCATCATCCTCTGTTTCTGAATAAAACAGCTGCGCTAAATCAGACATGCCAATTTCCCATCTTCGCTGTCAGTCACTTTCCGTGCAGCGCAGCTCCTCAGAAATAATGCCGGCTTTTGCAAAAGCTTGTAGGCCTACAACAGAGCCAGCAGACACGTTAGTCCATCTACAATCCATCCGCTAACGGTGGCGTAACTTGCCCCGCTGCCTTCCACTTATCCTTAAACTGTGGTCTCAGTCTGTCATCCATCGCTCCCACGCCGCTCGCAGCCTTACTTTGAACGGCCGCTTCACACCGATGTCGAGCGGTTGAAGCTCCTTTGTCAGACCCCCCGGGATAACGGCGAGCACAGTATCCATTTGATTCACCTTTTTTTTCACATCGGCTGTGAGATGGGCATGCAGCGATGGTGATGCGTGGAAAAAACCACCTGGTCTCCTCACATAGGCTACACCTCCCTCAGCTACACTTTCATCATCTCCTCATCCATCCAGCCTTTTCCATTTGCGTTAATATCATATGTCATCAGAGCGCTGTGTCTGTCTCGCTGTCAGCTCCCAGATCAGCTTCTCTGATTGGTTGATGCGGCGCTTCCAGCAGCAAAACTTCAATTTTTCCATCTCGAGCAGCAGCAGCGCGTTGGCGGTGCGTTAGATGCTTAAAGGCTGCAGGACCTTTTGCTGCACCTATACGCGCGTCAACCATTGACTTTGCATGTAAACTCGCTGCTTCTGCTGCACCTGCTGGGTCCGGTTCACACCGATGTCGAGCGGTTGAACAGCGAGCACAGGGTTAATTTGTTTCCCCATGTTTTTCACATCAGCTGTGAGATGGGCACGCATGGAGTTACATATTAACAGCGATGGTGATGAGTGGAAAAAAAAAACACCTGGTCTCCTTACATTCAGCCACTCTTTCATCATCTCCTCAATGAGGTGGTCTCAAAAGTCGCAGTTACAACACACATAGGGCGCACCGCACCATAGGGTGCACCGCACATTTTGAGGGAAAAAAAAGACGTTTAAGTGCGCCTTATAGTCGTGAAAATACGGTATGTGTCCTTTAAAAGTGTGCAAAGTAGTTAAAACTGATAAATAGTAGTAATGTAATACCATAACGGTTTGCTCCTTTTAAATGCAATGGTGAGATTAAAATTTTAATTTATACAGCTGCAACTTGCCCTTTGAAAGACTCGATTATGCTCATAGAAATGAGTTTGGCGGAGGAAGGGATGGTAAAGGAGGATCTTTTGCAGCAAATCATTTGGTGTTTGGATCATTAAGCCGTTTATTTTAAGGCTGCCCAGATTAGAGGAAGATGATTTACTTAGATTTTTTTATTATTTTTTTTGCCTTATGTTTTTTTTTTGTAAGCTTACAGTAATCATTATTTTCCAGCAACTTCACTCAAGTGTGCGCACAGGAAATCTAGAGACTTGTCTGAGGTTGCTGTCTCTGGGAGCACAAGCAAATTTTTTTCATCCAGTGAGTCTTGCTTTTCTACTTCAACATTAAATTTTTTTGAACATATATTCATGTTGATTGTTCTCACTGTGTTTTTGGTCATTGTCTCCTCCAGGAAAAGGGAAACACTCCTTTGCACGTAGCTGCGAAGGCAGGCCAAGCATCTCAGGCAGAATTGCTAGCTGTTTATGGGGCCGACCCTGGAGCTTTAGACAGCTATGGCAAAACCCCCATTGACTATGCAATGTGAATCTTGTTACATATTAACACATTGAAGATATTTTTTTAAACTCTTTTTATGACATTTCTGGATTTATGCAATTTAACTGTATGCGTACCTGTTGTGTTTTTTTTTTTTCAGAGACCTTGGTCACTTTGAGTTGGCAGACAGACTGGTGGAGATTCAGTATGAACTTACTGATCGACTGGCATTTTATTTATGTGGCAGAAAACCAGGTTAGCAGTGACAGGAATGTTTATTGGAGAGTCATCTAGGATTTTGCTTTATCAAACTGAAATGTTAACGGTCAACGGTAATGTGGAGCAGGAAATGTGTGGTTAGCGTGATTATTTTTCACCTCTGGTTAAGCTTTTAGCTTTTTTCATTCACTTATTTCTTACTTTAGCACAAAGACGGGTAAACATAAAAGCAAAAGGGTACTAAATTGTTTGGATGTTATAATTGGAAGCCTTAATTTGAGGGTTGATGCACAACACTGTCTGCACAACAAATAAGTAGTGATGGCAAACCCTGCAGCTTTATTTGTAGTTCATTAGATAAAGAGTCATTTAGTAATTTGAGCTGTAAGGAGTAGAAAGTCAGGAGAAATGTGGCCTGAATGTATTAGCTAGGAGACCTAACAAACCTGCAACCGACACGCAAGTTTAAAAGTAGCCTGGTTGTAATTTGTAGGTTTTTTCTTTATCTAGCGCAGTGCATCCCAGCAGGTGATAGACTGCACTGTGTAAAGAAGCTAATAATTAAATTCAGTTTATTTATATAGTGTTAATTCACAACACAACAATTTAACTGTCAAAGTTCACCATAATGACTCCCTTTTAATGCAAAATCGCTGCACTTTGTTGCTGTAAGATCAGTTAACCTTGTATCAGTGTATTTTAAGGACAATTGATTATATAGAAAACATTTTAAGACATAATCAGTTAATAAAACAACGTATTAGATTTTTTTAAGATACAACATTTATAGTGAGTTAAAAATCTATTTTTTTTTGTCTGTTGTGCAAACAAAGTAGAAATGAGGTTACTGTTATTTTTAATTTATGTTCAAGACATTTAAAAAAAACCTCCAAAGAGCTATTGCCTTTTTGTCATAATCTGGAACCTTTAGTTGTGTTTATCGATTTAAACTTGAACAGACAATCTAACTAAATTTGAAGCACTTCGATCTGTTTTTCACCTCCAGGAAAAAAAAAAAAAAACTAAACAGAACTGCCTGTATTTGAGTTCAGTATGTTTTAAAATAAAAAGAGAGTTAAATAACTACTCTTTTTCCTTTTTAAAATTTAATTACTGGTCTCTTGTTACAAAATCCAACTACCAAAACATACATGGACTTGCAATGTTTTTTTAAAGAATGGTCATGTACATTCATGATACCTTTTTTTTCCCTGTTAGATCATAAAAACGGCGAGCACTTCATTGTTCCCCAGATGGCAGACAGGTATGTTCAGTTCATGAAAGTCCGACTTCAGGTCTATCACCAGTGTGTGAATGACTGAATGTGGTGTAAAGTTTGTTTGCATGTACACGCCATTTACCATGTACCACAATTGACTTGGTTCCAGTTTCCATTGATGCAGTGCAGTCAGGCTTTTCTTTATAGCTTTTTTTCTCCAGCCTCTACCAACCCACTCTTTGCTGCCTTCCTAATCTAGTCAAGTGACCCTTTGCAGTGATTGTTATTCCCAAGATCTCTGTAATCTTAGGGAATAATACAATTATTCTGAAAAGAGCTGTAAACAAATCTGCCTTAAATTAACTTCAGTCAGATAAATAGTTTTCAGACTTTGGGCTTTGAGTAATTGATATATTTGATATTTTTCACTTGCTGCCTTTTGATGGAACAGAAACGTGTAAGTATAAGTTGGGGAAAAAAAAAAAGATCAATTTGATGTTTGATGCCAATCATTTGTATATCATTAAAATAGTTTTTTTGTTCTCTTTGTAGCTCTCCAGATTTAACAGAACTTGCAAAAGCAGCAAAGAGAAAACTGCAGTCGGTAAGTATTTTGTTTACCATTAGAGATTTTATTCTACCTCCTAAGGCTTAACCCAGCGTTATCACCCTTCATGCAGCTCAGTAATCATTTATTTGAGGAGCTGGCCATGGACGTGTATGACGAAGTAGACAGACGAGAGACGGATGCAGGTAAAGGAGAAGGTCATCCATGTGTCACCTTTCCAACCAGTTTACAGAAAGGTTCATATATACACACCTCTGTCTCCTGTTGTCTGCAGTCTGGTTGGCCACACAGCATCACAGCACCTTGGTGACTGAGACAACTTTGGTCCCCTTCCTTCCTGTAAACCCTGAGTATTCATCAACAAGAAACCAGGCAAGTCAGCTGCTCTGCTGCCATGCTCTGCTTTTTACTGCAAATATGAATTAGAGACTGCCTCTTGACTGCTCTATCTTTCTTTAGGGTCGACAGAAGCTGGCAAGGTTCAACGCACATGAATTTGCTACTTTAGTCATTGACATATTGAGTGATGCCAAACGCAGACAACAAGGGAATTCAGTTTGCAGCCCGAAAGGTTGGTGTCCTCGACGTTCCCCACCTGTCTCATAACAATCAGAATTTCGTTTCAAGAACAAGACAAAAATTGGTTATTGTAAAATGAAAAAAGCAAATTGCATTTTATTTTACTAATTCATGTTTATAATGACTTAAAATCTGGTGTGCATTTGTGTTTAGTACAGAAAATGACACCATGAGGAACGCAGTTAGGTCAGGAATACAGGGAGACGGATTTAATGCAGAATTTCAGTTATAAAACAAGATTCCAGCCATAGATAATCTCAGAGTTTGTGGAAGCTGCTAACCTGCCAGGACATGGCCTTCCACCTAAATAATAGATTGTGCAAGGTAAGAAGTTGGAGAAGGAGTAACTGCAGTAACTCTGGAGGAGCTGCAGAGATGTTCAGTTCATCTGTGTACCAAACTACTGTAAGCGCAATTAATTAAACACTTTGCTTTTCTGGAAGATAAACCAACAAGGCCCTCTTTACAGTTTGCTAAAATCTTGTATTGTACACAGCATACATGGTCCTCTGGTCGGTTAGACGTGGCGATAGCAATACTATGCTGTTTGGTAGACGGAAGCTCGTCCGACTTGACTTGAAAGTAGAGGAAAATACATCAACCGTAAACATACAATAATATAATTAGATATGCACTTAGAATAGGAACATTCAGTTTTCTTTTTTTGTTATTTTAAAAATAAATCATCTTATTTCACTGGGTATGGGCTATCAGGTCCCTGTATGACCGGTGTCTGAGTCTGGTCCGCATTGCCGGCAGTAAGTCGGGCTCGTTTCCGGTGAGAGTTGGACTCTGCCAGGGCTGCCCTTTGTCACCGATTCTGTTAATTACCTTCATGGACAGAATTTCTTGGCGCAGCCAAGGTGTTGAGGGGATCCGTTTTGGTGGCCTTAGGATTGCGTCTCTGCTTTTCGCAGATGATGTGGTCCTATTGGCTTCATCAGGTCGGTCCGCAGCCGAGTGTGAAGCGGCCGGGATGGGGATCAGTGCCTCCAAATCCGAGGCCATGGTCTTGAGCCGGAAAAGGGTAGAGTGCCTTCCCCGGGTCAGGGGGGGTGTCCTGCCCCAAGTGGAGGAGTTTAAGTATCTTGGGATCTTGTTCACAAATGAGGGAAGAAGGGAGCGGGAGATCAACAGGCGGATTGGTGCAGCGTCTGCCGTGCAGCGGGCGCTGTACCGGTGCGTCGTGGTGAAGAGAGAGCTGAGTCAAAAAGCGAAGCTCTCGATTTACCGGTCGATCTACGTTCCTACCCTCATCTATGGTCATGAACTCTGGGTCATGACCGAAAGAACGAGATCGCGGATACAAGCGGCCGAAATGGGTTTCCTCCGTAGGGTGGCTGGGCTCTCCCTTAGAGATAGGGTGAGAAGCTCGGTCATCCGGGAGGGACTCGGAGTAGAGCCGCTGCTCCTCCACGTCGAGAGGAGCCAGTTGAGATGGCTTGGGCATCTGTTTAGGATGCCTCCTGGACGCCTCCCTGGTGAGGTGTTCCGGGCACGTCCCACCGGTGGGAGGCCCCGGGGAAGACCCAGGATACGCTGGAGAGACTATGTTTCTCGGCTGGGCTGGGAACGCCTTGGGGTTCCTCCTGAAGAGCTGGAAGAAGTGGCTGGGGAGAGGGAAGTCTGGGCCTCCTTTCTTAAGCTGCTGCCCCCGCGACCCGACCCCAGATAAGCGGAGGAAGATGGATGGATGGATGGATATTTCACTGGGAAATTACTTACTTACCTCCTCCATACAAGGAAATACACCTATTTCCAGAAAAAGAATGCATGCGTTTAATTTCTTGCAGTGGGGCTTCAACCGAATAATGAACATGTTTTTAAGGTGCTGTATCAAACACGCAAACACTAACTTTGCAACTTTTCTTTGTTCATTTCAGACAATGTTGAACTTTTATTGAAGGGTGTGGCTGTCAGACACAGCAGTGATTATGACAGTGTAGCTTCAGATGAAGATACAGATCAAGAGCTCCCTTCAAGCAAAGGAGACAGGACAAAGGTATTAAACCTATAATACCCGAGTTTTACAAGAGGACAAATTCTCCCAGTTCTTGGTTTGGTTTTAACCCGTTTCCTTAACAGAGCCTGGACTCTGACCTCTCTGACGGCCCTATAACTATGCATGAATACATGGAGGTGAAAAACGCACTTACTGCCTCTGAAGCTAAGATCCAGCAACTCTTGAAAGCCAACGACAATCTGAACGACGAGCTGAGGCTGATGCAGAAAAAGGTATCCACTGCACTCCACCAATAAGATCACTAACCCCGGGGAGTAGGGGGGGGCGGGAGTGGAGGTACAGAGCAGCTTCTGCTGCACAGTGGGAAGTGATCCAAGTCAACCAATCTGCACTGATCAACCTTCTTTTCAACCAGCATGCTTTAGACCCTGAATTGAACAATGGACATTTTCTTCTTTTTTTTTCTTCCTTGTTTTATGTTAACTTTAAAAACTTAATTAATGCATCTTTCTTTTTTTTCATTTAATAATAGGTTACATTTTTATTATGTATAAGTTGGAGTGAGTTATGGCATTTACTGTTACTAACAAGCATGTTGTAATAATGCATGAAATAATTAACTCTGGAATTAACTTTTTGTGAAATAACAGTGATAAACTGACTGTTTGTATGTGTTGCTCCATTGTGAATGCTGTTTTTTTTTTTTTATTACAGAAATATTGCAGCCAATTTCTTTTAGCTGCACTTTCAGATCAGTTCACATAGAAAATGATCCCTGTTGCACAGGTTTTGTGCAGTCTCAATTTTCAGTAATTGTGTTTTTTTTAGTGCTTGTTTTAAATTCTTAAATAGTATTTGACCCTTATGAATGTACAGTTCTCAATAAATTAGAATATTTAGAAAATATATATTTTTTTAGCCATTTCAAAACCAGAAAGTGAAATTGCTTTCACGCAGATAAACTTCAGCGATTTTTGTTTTACAGCAAAGTTGTTTTTTTTAAAGTTAGAATATAACTTAGGAATGTACTTTTTTTTTTCAGTCAAAAACTGTGGGGCCATGCTCATTGCAGCAGCCTCTGTTACCTTTGGCATTGTGGACAGAAGGGAAATGAAATCGGCAGGAATTGCTCTATAGCTTTAACATTAAACTGTGCTTAAGCAGGATGTTCCATTAAAATTAAACATCTCTTTTATATGGGAGACCTGTATGAGAAATACCAATCAGAAAAATACACAATTTCCTGCTAGATTTATGGTATGACTTAAACAAAGTGGACCAACAGCAGCTGAATACATGGCTCTAGAAGCAATCCCTTATTATGGAAGCTTTGATCTGGACCACAATCAATTGGGATTTGTTTCTGAATTTGAGTTTAAAATGAAATACAGACTTTAGACCCCTGATCAGCAGTCTGGTCCTTGTTCTCTCTAATTATTAAATCTGGATGCTTTTGTGTATGGGGAGGCATTGACTTGGGCTGTATTTTAAATTTTCCCTTAACTTGGGATTAGCTTTACTTCTCAGCCAACTTTAATTTTATACCTCACTTTTTCCTTCCATTAAACTTTAAAAGCAGTATTCTTGTATACAGCTTTCTTGAACAGCCAACCTCTCTGGAAAGAGTTTTGCAGCTTTGAGGGATGTATCAGTTTTCTACATCTTGATAGTGTAGTACACTATCAGAACACCACAGCTGGAAGCCCTAAGCATCTTTTTACCAGGAATTAAAACTTAGAACATATAAAGGAAATTCTAATTTATTGAGATTTACCTGTACTTCTTGTTTTTTTTTTCCTCTTCCTTTTGACTCTAGCAGGCCGTGTCCATTCATAGATAAGGCATTGTTCATGCCAACATGTTACTACTGATCATTTTCTTGGTACAAAAGACCATTTGGAATTAAGCTTTTAATTTTTTTATTCATAATTATCATATATCTGAACTATAGATTTTGTACCTCTTTCTTCTACCTATTCTTTGCTATCTTCTTTTTGTGGAATGCAAATTACTGCCTTCATTTTGGGGCCAGTTTTTGCTTTTCCTCTGAATTTCCTTTAATGATTCTCATATCAGCCTGTCTGTGCCGTCGCTGCATCTTTGTGCAATAGTCGCCTGCTTGCTTATGACTTGCTTGGCATTTTGAGACTGCATTAATTTAGTCGGCATTAATTCGGTTTGGTCACAGCCTGACAATACTGATGGACTTAATTTGGCATAATGAAGATGATTGGTAAATCTTTTGTCATTGGAACAGCTTTAGATTTTGTTTAAGGTTCTAAATATCAACAAAGATCTGCTTAATTATTGCTATATTAAATGTTTGTGTTAGTTCAAATAAGTATAATTTATTCCGTTTTAGACCAAATCTAATGTAGAAATGTATAAAAACTGTAAGTCAGAGAGGGTTTCCAGGATAAGTAATAGGGACCAAAGCTTGCTTTGCTCAGAGCGCCTCTTAGCACTGCTAACTGTCTCTTCCAGCTGCAATCTCTGCAAAGCGAGAACACCTCTCTGAGGCGGCAGTTCACAACAAATGTCTATCAGACCCCCAGCAGTACAGACTACCCTGACCCGTCCAGCCCCTCAGCCCTGAAACGCCGGCAGTCTGTGCGGGTCAGTCGGCCCATGTCAATGTACGAGACCGGCTCAGGCCTGAAGCCCTATCTTTCCAAAGGGGAAACTCCTTACCCAGAGGAGGGTCTCCCCTCCCTGCAACCCTTTCCATCCCATGTAAGTAAGACCTTTCCCCCTGCTCTCCTTCGCTGCTTCCACCCCCCCCCCTCCACCGCTTTCCATGTCTTCTTTCCTCATTTGGAAACATTTCTGCTGTCATTTAGGGTTCTGTTTAATTTTCTGGGCATTAAGTTGTTTCAAACACAATTATTGAAAATGTCAATGCCACACTTTTGTTTAATTTCTTTTTGTCCATTTTAGAAACCTACCTACATTGTCTCAGTTTACTGGATTGCTGCTTTATTTGGACAAACTGTATTTGTGGAAGCAAGACGGTTAGCTTTGCATTTTGTCCTGTTTTATGTGATTTGTATTAAAGCTACTGTTATAAACACTGTGTTTTTTTTTTTAATGCATGCATCCACACACACATTCCTCTACTTTTGTTTTGATTTTATATTCTAACATGGTTATATCTAAGACTTTTCTTTTAACAGATTGGATTCTAACTACTTCTTTTGTTTGGAGTTTATGCAGTTTTTTTGGATCTTTCTAAAGAATCATATTAATAGTTTTAATTTCTTCAAGTTTTAACCATTAAACAGCTTTATTTTTCATCAAAAGATCAATTTCATCTTCATGAGCTTTTCACATTTCACTCGGCCATATAATCTCAAGGGGACACCTCCATCTCCAGTTTTTTTTTATTTTTTTAAATCCTACACTTTGTCATTGAAATATGATTTAACTTCTGTCTTTAGACAGAAAGGGGTGCATTTGTGACCTCATCATCCCTTCCCTCATTTCCATCCACCCTGTCTTGGTCCAAGGACGACACTTCCCAACAGGTTAAGTATAATTTGCACTTGTGCTGCATCCCTGTGGGGGCCAGCAGATCCACTTGGAGCCCCCTCTATCTGTCCCTCTATCATAAGCTTCCTATGTTCTCCTGCTCTGCTGCATGAGCCGACTTCCCACTGGCTGCCGTCATCCTCTGTTAACAAGAAGAAGAGCACAGTTAGCCTTGCAAAAGTATTTCTTCTCCTTGAACTCAAGCATTTTGCCATGTTTCAATTTTCACTGTGGTTTTTGGGAAAGACAGACATGTCTTTCTGTACATGTAATGAAGGAAAATGATCATCTAAATGTCATAAAGCTGCAAGTGATTTTAGGTGAACCTCTATCTGCTTTAAATAATACGTTCATTCAGACTAGATGAAGAGCATCAAATAAACATTTTCTCATCTTTTTCAGGTTCTTTATTAGATTTAGGCCCTGGACCGTTTAAGCATTAATGTTCTTCGCACTAATTGAAGCTCTCGCTTTATATTTTAGGTTGTTTTCCCAGTGAAAGCAACACCGACCAGTTTCCCCAGCTCTGCTGTATTATTCTAACCGCATGATTCACACACCGCCATGTTTGACTAATGAAATTATGCGTTCAGGGTGGTGTTCTCACGACACATGGTGTTGGGCAAGTTGGCCCAAATGAAAACGATCTCTTCTGACAGGACCACCTTCTTCCCATGTGTCCTTAATGGCTTTTGGCAAAATCTAAATTGGATTTCATTAAGCTTTGGTCAACATCTGCTTCCCTATTCTTACTCAAACTGACATTAACCTTTTATTAATGAGAAAGTAAGAGTAAAGAGGTCTAAATACGAAGAGATTCCACACTCTTGAGATGGTTTATCACATCTAACCCAATAAAATAAAAGTGTAATTTTCAATGCATTGTGGCAAAAAAAGTACAAGGTGTGATTTCTTTTGTAAGGATATCAGCTGAACCTTGAGTTAAAAAGCAAACTGCAGCAGCTGCTTTTTTAACAGTTCATTCCTACACTTTGAAAATAATGTAAAAAGGGATGTGATGCAAAAGAAAAGTATATATAATTGTTTTTTTTATAAATGTTTGCTGCATTATAACATTAAAAGCAGTTAAGCTTAACTTAACTTTACCTTGTGGGTGACAGCTTTGGCACCTAAAGAATGAAAATAGAAGCTTCCCTTTATAGCAGCCAAACATTTTGACCCCTAATAAGTGTTGTTTAAAAGATGAATATTCGGTTAAGGTAGAGCAGGGATTTATTTCATGTCTATGCATGAACATTTATGGAGGTAACATTAGTTGGACTGTCATTTAAGTCTGATTTTGATCTGGGTTTTTAAACTTGGAGGTCTGCAGTTTGTAAAAATGATCAAAATGCTTGCAAGGCAAAATGTCAGTTTCCTTAATCCTTGAGTCTGAAATCTTAACAGTATCAACATTTGGTCTTATAAAAACTTTATTAAAGTGATACACTTAAATAAAAACAAGCAAATCCGTACCAGCGATGTAAACGGTAACCGCTGCAAATGTAAAGTTTTTCTGCAGTTTTGTGTTTGGAAAACTTTCATTGTTTAATTTCAGTGTGAGATTTCTTTCCACAACCGCTAACTGCTTTTACTTTGACTTATTTAACCTTCACCTCAGGAATCTACAAGCCTTCATGCACCTGTCAACTTTTCTACTGCACTGGATTAACAGAGAAACTGGATATTGATCATGTTCAAGCAGGATCAGCTTTGGCCTTAGACTATCTTGTTCCATATCTTGTATTTCCCCTGTTATGTTAAAGTTTGGTGCTCTGGCTTTATAAGCTTTATCAGCCTGTTTTATTTAGCTTTGCATTTTTTTTTATTTTCAGTTACAAGCACTTGTTTAGCAAACAAAGGTTTTATGTTTAGCATATTTCATTTATTATTTAAAAGCTTAGTCTGCAAAGTCCTTACATTTTTTTTTTACTTGTTGCTAAATTTCTAACTAGACCTCAAAGTTGGAAAAGCAAAGCAGCGTACCAGAAAGTGACTATGACAACACATTCAATGACTCTGAGATGGAGGATTCTGGGTAAGACCTTGTTTATGCCAACAGATGCTTTTTTGTGTTTTTTGGTACATATGATTTATTTGTAAATCTATGGACATATCTCTCTTTAGTTTTTGCAGGAGGGGGAGGCTGAGAAGCAGTGGCTGGCTGGGAGAAGGCAGCTCTATCCCTGAGCTGGATGACATGGAGTCGGACCCTACGCTTCCGAGCACGGAGGACGTCATCCGCAAAACAGAGCAGATCACCAAGAATATTCAGGAGCTCCTGCGAGCTGCTCAGGATAATAAACATGACAGGTCAGACTAAAGGAGAGGAGAGATGATATTCAGCCTTAATGTCCTTGCATCCATTTCAAACCTAACTTCTCTATTCGTCATCATTCAGTTTTTTTTTTGTTTTATTCTTTTTATCCACTTTTTCCTGCCAACATCTCTTCCTTCTCATTTTACCTCTGCTATCCTGATCCAATTCTCATTGGCTTCCCCATCCTTCGCCACCTGTGTGTAGACCATGTGAGCGTGAAGGAGTCCGCCGACTCCGTCACAGCCTGGGATGTTTCAGCACTCTGGTGCCATGGGCCGAGAAGGCCCCCTCTCCCCTACAGTCTCTCAGCCTGCGGTCCCCTGACCCCACCTCCTGGTACTCTGGCTTCTGTCCCTGCCTCCCAGGCACAGTTTTATTCTCCTCTCCCTCACACGGTCTCTTTCCTCTGCCGTGCCTCACCTGCTAACAAGCTCTGGTTTTTTTTTTTTATTGATTTTCCTTTGCATACTTTAGTTTTGTGTCTTAAAAAAATGTTTATGCGAGAAAAAAAGGTATGTTTAACCGTGCAACAGCTGTAAACTGACAGGATATCATATTTCAGGTGTATGCTTTTGCTGTGGGGTGAATTGTTTCTAATATGGCATGTAAAACATTAATTATATAGCTTTACATAATGGTTAAGCAGCATATAAGTTTATTGCTTGTGTTGGATTTGTATGATTATGATTTTTTGTAATTATTTATATTTTAATCTTAAACTTTTTGTTTTATTTTTTCAGTTTTCTCCCCTGCTCAGAAAGAATCCATACGGCTGTAACAGAAATGGCTGCCCTCTTCCCCAAGGTTTGATTTAAAAAAAATGTTGTACCCGTCTTGACAGAAATGATTAAATCATTGTATAATGTCATAATATATTTAAATGAGATTTTACTTCTTGCATTGTAGTTGAAATTATTTTACAATCTATAGCCTCAACAGAATGGAATGCCTAGGTTTAAATTTATTGTTCATACAGGTAAAAAACATATATGCACATCCTATTAATGTTTTGATAAATGCACCTTAGCAAGTTTTGAAGGAACCAATAAGACTCATATTTCCTTCCTGATATTTGACCTGTTCTAACAGAAATGACAGAGCTCCATTAAATGTGTTGATTTATATTCATTAACCCCAGCATATTCTATATTTATTTAATAGATTAATGGCAGGGATTTTCCAGGGGCCTAATGGTAGCCTTTTTTATCCACTTCGGAATCAGTTTGGATGTGGTTTGGGATCTTTGTCCACCAAGTTTCAGCCTTCTAGATTTAAAGTTGAGAAATGTATTTATTCAAACCTGTTTGTGCAATTCACCAGAACTCACTGGCAGTGAAACTGACCAATCATCAGATTAGAGTAGCAAGAAACAGATCATCCTTTGGCCCTGTGATGTGGACACGCAGAGACTGTTCATCTGCAGCTGTCTGTGTCACAGAGTATTATTCTTACATTTCATAGTGGTTATCCATTTGCAGCCACCTCCTGAGGTAGATAATGCATGTACCAGGGATGGAGTATTTTATAAGTGTTTACTTCTACCCACTCCTTTTGGAGCAGGGATTTAAGGCATTAGGGCCAGATGGGATGTCCTGAGGGAGTCCATCATTGTCTTGTTATTTTGTTTTCTGCCATTGTCTGAATTGTTGTAAAGCAGTCGATCATCATTACTGATTCTAGGTCAACTTCATCCCGCATCCTGTGCTGGGCCACGTCAATTGGGTGTCTAGAGCAACGGCCCCCAAGCAGCATTAGCTTTGTGGTAATTATAGGTTACCAATATACCAGGCATGTCATTTAATCTGAGCGGTTTGGTTAAGGTGTTTAAAATTTAGACCTGGGGTCTCTTTAGCTACCAGGGAAATATGTGCATTACACAAAGTGGATGAATGGAAACAGATGGGAGACTCTCTCCAAATTCTTCAGCTTCACCTTATGGGTCTGCAATCTGCACTCTGGAGCCACAAGTGGCTCTTTTGGCCCTTTACAATGGCTCTTAATAGTGGCTAAAACATTAAAGAACCCACTAATGGTTTGGAATTCAGTATACTGACAAATACCATTCTTAGACACTTCAGACAACAGAAAAACAATACCAGAAATGTTTTATTTTTATTTAAAAAAAATGTTTTTGTCATTAGTTCATAATCTGTGTTTATATTGTTTTTATATAAAATAGTATCGTAAAGAGGAAATGATGAAGACATTTTTTCTTCATCATTTTAACCCCGTAAATACTAAACCATGGAATAATAAACAAAACATTACCTTTTTGAAGCTACTGTTTTTATTTAACATTCTAACAAATAAAAACAAAAGAAATTTTAAATTATTTAAGTTAAAAAAATATTTTTTGTCATTTCTCTGAAATTTGTTATGGATTTTCTGTTCACCGCATGCGTGTGATTTTATAAATCATTTTTTTTCCAAGAACAAAAATAACGCACAGATGATGTAAAGGTCTCAAAAACTCAAATATAAAACATTTGGTGCTAAATGGTTGAAAACTAAAAATGCAAATAAACAATAAATGGCAATTTCCTATAGCAGATGTTTAATGAAGATAATAAGTTGTGTCTCATCTAAAGATCATGTATTACACTCACCGACCACTTTATTAGGTACCCCATGCTAGTAACGGGTTGGACCCCCTTTTGCCTTCAGAACTGCCTCAATTCTTCGTGGCATAGATTCAACAAGGTGCTGGAAGCATTCCTCAGGGAGTTTGGTCCATATTGACATGATGGCATCACACAGTTGCCGCAGATTTGTCGGCTGCACATCCATGATGCGAATCTCCCGTTCCACCACATCCCAAAGATGCTCTATTGGATTGAGATCTGGTGACTGTGGAGGCCATTTGAGTACAGTGAACTCATTGTCATGTTCAAGAAACCAGTCTGAGATGATTCCAGCTTTATGACATGGCGCATTATCCTGCTGAAAGTAGCCATCAGAAGTTGGGTACATTGTGGTCATAAAGGGATGGACATGGTCAGCAACAATACTCAGGTAGGCTGTGGTGTTGCAACGATGCTCAATTGGTACCAAGGGGCCCAAAGAGTGCCAAGAAAATATTCCCCACACCATGACACCACCACCAGCCTGAACCGTTGATACAAGGCAGGATGGATCCATGCTTTCATGTTGTAGACGCCAAATTCTGACCCTACCATCAGAATGTCACAGCAGAAATCGAGACTCATCAGACCAGGCAACGTTTTTCCAATCTTCTATGGTCCAATTTCGATGAGCTTGTGCAAATTGTAGCCTCAGTTTCCTGTTCTTAGCTGAAAGGAGTGGCACCCGGTGTGGTCTTCTGCTGCTGTAGCCCATCTGCCTCAAAGTTCGACATACTGTGCGTTCAGAGATGCTCTTCTGCCCACCTTGGTTGTAACGGGTGGTTATTTGAGTCACTGTTGCCCTTCTATCAGCTCGAACCAGTCTGGCCATTCTCCTCTGACCTCTGGCATCAACAAGGCATTTCCGCCCACAGAACTGCCGCTCACTGGATGTTTTTTCTTTTTCGGACCATTCTCTGTAAACCCTAGAGATGGTTGTGCGTGAAAATCCCAGTAGATCAGCAGTTTCTGAAATACTCAGACCAGCCCTTCTGGCACCAACAATCATGCCACGTTCAAAGTCACTCAAATCACCTTTCTTCCCCATACTGATGCTCGGTTTGAACTGCAGGAGATTGTCTTGACCATGTCTACATGCCTAAATGCACTGAGTTGCCGCCATGTGATTGGCTGCTTGGAAATTAAGTGTTAACGAGCAGTTGGACAGGTGTACCTAATAAAGTGGCCGATGAGTGTATTTTGCTATTCTAAGTGACTTATTTTGTTGGGTGGTGGGTTAACTGGTTCTATGCATTCATAAGGTTGCAGAATCCTGTCTTAAATTAACAGCTAGATTGTTACAATGTAAAAAGAAACAAGCTATTTGATCCAAAATGAAAACGATCAATACACATTTACACTACAGTAGTTTGGGTGAATCATGCTTCCTGGATTGGCCCTGACCACAAACCTACTGAACATTTATGGACATAGTTTGAAAGCCAAACTTGTGCCCTCAGTAACCCAAGTTTTCTCTTGAGATCTCAAAAGAAATGCAATAAACAAATCATGAAAGGCACAGAATGTAAAAGATCATATCCAAGATCTGTTGTGTATTGAAGATGTCCTCTTATGTTAGTCTTCATCCCATTTAGTCCCACTGTCCACAAACCTGACTGTGTCCCTCCCACTTTGTGTTTCTGTGCAGAAGCCGCGATCAGAGACGATGAGAGGCTCCCTGCGCCTGTTGACCACCAGCGCCTCCCGCCTTCAGAACGAGTGCCGGAAAGCCGTGCCTTCGGACGGGTGCTCGGGGCCAGACATGCAGCTTGTAACCCAGCAGGTCATCCAGTGTGCTTATGATATTGCCAAAGCCGCCAAACAGCTTGTCACCATCACAACAAAGGAGAACACTAACTAGACAGCAGTTAACATGCTCCAAAGCCACCATCTCAGTATTGTTACATTTTCTGTGTTTTTTTTTTTTTATATTATTGTAAATGTATTGTGGTATATGCATGTCTGTTTTTGTATTTAAAATGAATACTGACTATATCTTGGGAGTTTTGGAGGGAGAGTGAAAAAAATACGTTAATATATCTACGGTAGTTATTGTAGTAGCACAATTTTCTCTTTAGGGTAACATTTTCCAGCAAGCACATCTGTATTACTCTATAACTGAGTGATTCTAAAAATATTTTTAAGCAGCTTAAAGTAGCTAATAAAAGGCATGAAGCTCATTGGACTCCATGCTGTAACAGGCAGTAATGAGTGTCCAAAACCTTAAGGTGTTCATATTCAGCGTTTCTACACATTACACATTACTACAATTTTATTTTTCCCATGCTAAACATTTTGTTTTTCATATTTGTCTTTTCTGCATGTTTTGATTTTTTTTAATGCAAATGTCCAGCATAAATTTTGAAGCATGTGTAATTATATGGTTTAGACACAGTAAAAATAAACCTGGTAAAGCTAATTATAAATTAAAATATTATATGAAAGAACTTTATGCTCACAAACAACACCTACAGTAATGTCATACTGATGGCTCGCCTGAATGTGCTGCTGCTTTGTATGTGAAATTAAAAATGCACCATTCTCTCAGTTTTGTAGCTCCTCTCCCATAAAACCTTGATTCTAGAGATAAGTCCGGTTTTCCTAAATTACGGGTATTTACCCATAATTTGAGCAGGTAACTATGATTTGCCAATGGAATTAGTATTTTTACTCTTAAAATAAGATAATTAGGTAATATGCACTTGAAATAAGACAATGCGACTTTTTTTTCTAACTTTAAATGTAAATTTTCTTCTTCCATTGGCAAAGTGTCTCACTTACCTCCTCAATTCAAGACAAAATGCACTTATTCTAAGAAAAAATTACTTCTTTAGATTAACATTTTTTCCAGTGTGTGAAAAATGTGCGCTTTTCTGTTTTGGAGCTCCTCTCATTTCAAAACCCTGATTCCCATTACTGTCATAATCCTTAAAAAAAGACTGTTATTGAAAGATGAGGAGAAATGCATAGGCTTATGTATTTATTGCAGCTCACCTGTTGGCTCCAAAAATATATTTGCACCAAAAGTGCTCTCCATATATATATATATATATATATATATATATATATATATATACACACACACACACACAGTTGTGCTTGAAAGTTTACATACCCTTCCATTACAGACAGGAAAAATCAGCTGCCAGTAAAATACATTGAAATTGACTAAATAAAAAAATGGAAATCATGAAATTGATTTTGAATATCTATATATATCACATGCATATAACATATGCATATATTGATAAATAAATAATCCTAATGGGGCTCCTGAACTGTGTTGTGTAACATGTTGAGGCAGTAATCACTGAAATCAAGTGTGTTCTGTAATGTTCAGGAAATGTTCAGCCAGACTTCTGCACCTGCTGAGAGGTATGTTGGTTCACTGTTTATCAGCAGTGTTGGGCAAGCTACTTGTCCAATGTAGTGAGCTAAGCTATCAGTTACTTAACAATAAATTAAGCTTCACTACACAAAAGCTACCACCTAAAGAATTATAGCAAGCTAAGTTACACTAACGTGTTAAAAGTAGCTTAACTACATCAGAAGCTACTTAACGTTGTACCAACCTAATGTCAATTCAAAATGAGTCTGATGCACTGGTTAAAATATTTATTAAAGATCAGCCAATGACATAACACAGTGTAAACATTACTTTATGATCAGCATATTAAAATAAAAACTAAAGTAATTACTAGTAGACAAACTAGTAAACAATCTGCTGTTATTAGAACCAAATTAAAGGTACTGTGTATTGTTCTACACATGGAGACATGGCTATGAGTTTGCATTCAATGGACATCTCTAGGGAAAACAAAACCCTACAAAAGACCTCAATTAAACAGTTGATTCAAGTAACAAACAAAACTGTTTACAAAAGAAGGTGAAAAAATAAAGAAGCTAATTAAGAGATACATATATATATATATATGTCTCACCATATAATTTAATTTCTACCTACATATTTATTCATTGTATTTTTGGAGGCAATAATTAAATGCTTATTTATTTATTTATTGAGCATTTATTTATTTATGTATTTATTTTATATACGGTAGAGCTGTTCCTCCATAAAAAATCTTATCTGTGCACAGCCTAAAAACAGATTTATGTAAACATCCTGTCAGGTAAACTGGAAATACAATATGGAAGTTTCACTACTGCTCTCTAATTAGAGTATCTTAGTGGCACATAGATATGGGAGAATTATCCTGCCATAATGCAAGAGCACATAACTTCAATTAGAGAAAAGAATTTCATCTTCTTGCTCTCAAAACTTATAATGCTCACACTCAAAACATGCGCTCTCTCTCAAATATTTTCTCTTCTCTCTCAAATCTTTGTTTCTTCTCTCAGATTTAATGCTTCTTGCACAGATATTTTCTCCTCTCGCTCGCTTCCTTTTCTTCGCGCACAAACCGCGCTCTGTTTGAGTCTCAGATACGCTCGCAAACCCGTAGGCTCTGCTTGCGGATTTGTTTTGCTCTCTCTCAGACTGCAGTTGGATCGTCGCCTAGCAACCTTTCCAGCCAATAGAACGACAGCCTCGGAAAGGGTGCGCTTGTTTAACCCTACTGAGTGTGCCTGTGCTACTACGCCACTTATAAAGCGTCAGCTGAAACTGCTATTTACAGTAGTTTTGTGGCTGATTGTTGTTTAGAAATAGAAAGCCTGGTTTCATTTCTTAGTTTTCCCCTGGATTTTGTAGCGTTTGTGGACGCTACGTCGCTACTTGATCAAAACAATAACGTCGCTACAGGAAAGTTACTTGATAAATAAAGCAGCGACGCTACGGTCAAGCTAATGGAAAATGTAGTTAAACTAATAGCTTCGCTACATGTAGCGGCGCTACTGCCCATCACTGTTTATCAGCATGGCACTTTACTTTGTGTGGGACTGTTTTCTTCGCTTTTTTATTTTAGAATTTTTGTTTAACAAAAATTCAAAACCAATATTTTATTTTACTAAATAATCATTTAAATAACTAGTATGAATTAATAATTTTCTTTAACCATAAGCCATTTAAACATTCAGGCACAACTGTGTATTGGTCGTCCATGGGATCACTGTGTAGGTGGTTCCAAAAAAAAAAAAAAGAGGCAAAATTTTATGAAGAAACATTTTTAAATTTTGGCAACTTTAATCCAAGGTAATGTATTATATATCCAGTGATGTAAACCTTATCAGCTTTCATAAGTGCCCATATTTGAGAACTACTAAAATACTGATTTTTGAAGACATTGTAGAAACCCTGTAAATAATAATCCACCATAAATTTCAGTGACCTTTTAATGAATTTCCATAGATTGTTCAGAATGAATGTTTTTGAAACTTTTAATGTTTGTTTCAATAAAAACTTTTTTATACATTTTTTCATCTGTCCGAGCGGAACCCTGTCTGCAGTGCACTTCTCATCAGCACCCATTTGTCCATTCGGTGGAAGCCAGTTGGATATGTTCACGGGCCAAACTGTTTCCTGTCTCCAGCACAAACACCTAGCATTTAACTTTCTATCTGATTTCTTTCAGCAGGCTCTATGTTGTCCTTCAGTGATTTCACCCAGCTTTCACTCGTACGTGTTTTGTTCTGTTGCATTTCTGCAGGTTTGGTATTCAATGTGCAACATGTGAACAAGAGCTCTACATGTGTCCTGTTTTACGGAGCAAACCAGTGTTAAGCTTCCCAAAGAGTTTCTGAATTCATTTATCATATTGAAATCTCTTCCAAGGGATGTATGAGGTGCAGCATCCTAGCTGGAATAATGAAAATAATTTTTTTAAATAAACCTTATATGTAAACATATCAAACCATTGGTGAGTTCTCTTTACTTTACTCAATTGCAAAAATGCTGCACTTTGTTTTAAATTTTTTATGAGAAAAAAGGAATCTTCAATCTGCATTGATATATTGTTCACTGAATGCCAGTTAAAGGCGATTCCATCTTCTCAATCAACACATCACCAACCTGTTGAATTTGTTGTCCTTCATCTCCTTGATGGCGGTTTTGGTGGTCATTAACTTTAAGACACTTTATGCATAACAACTGCAGACCAAATTATATATTTTTTTGTTGGGGAGGGTTTTCAGAGTATGTGATCCTCTGCTGACCACTGCACTGAGGTGGTTGTTGGTTTGAATGCTTTAGTGCTGAATCAAAGCACTGCCATGGGGGAGGTTATTTAAAGAAGATGGGAACTAGAATGTAAAGTAGCTTCATCTAAAGTGCTTTTGATTCACTTGGAAGTTTTTTCCTTCCTGCCTCTCTGGACATAAAGTTAGATAAAACACTTTAAACTAATTCCCTATGGATAAATAAACATCCCGCTCCACGGTGGTCATGTCCAGGCGGATCGAGGTCTGCTGTGAATCTGAAACAAAGACGTTTACTTTTTAAAATCAGTTTGAAGTGTTAGAATGCTGTGTATTTAGTTTCTGACTTGGGATTCTTTGTGTATTTACCTTTTCTTGGTAACCTTCTTCAGCCATTTTCTGCATCTCTAACTTCAGGTCTTCTTCTTGAATTTCAAGGGCTTTCCTTTCCTCGTCGTCCTCCTGCTGTATTCTGCACCACTCTTGCCACTGCTCCTGACGTTTCTCTTCCACCTATGTCAAATGCATATCTCAATTTAGCATACAGCTTTAGGGCAATCCTGTGATTGAACCCCCGCACAAAACAATTGAGCATTAGTTCCAACCTGGGCCTTCAGCTCCTGCATCCTTGCAGTTTTTTGGCCTTCGTCCGTCTCTTTTTCCAAACGCCTGAGCTTCCTCTCCAGTTCCAGCTCCTGGATCAACTCTTCCCTTCTCTTCAGCGATTCCTCTTGAGCTTTGCGGAGCTTTAGCATTTTTTGCTCCAGTTGCTGCTGCCTCCCCATAAGCACCTTACAGAGAAAATTAACACTGCACTTTTTAATTTTAAAGCTTTTATTGAAAGTTTTGATCATGTAAGACAATTTTACCTCATGCATTAGTCTTTCTCTGGCTTTCTTCTCCTTCTCCCATTGGGCCTCTCGTTTCTCCCAAACACGCTGAGCTTCTTCCCTAAATATTATATGGAAAACATTATTATGCACTGAACTGAATGGACATTCCTCTAATTTCACATTGTGAAATAATATAGCTCTAATACTGCCTGCTAAATACTTTTAGTTATGAGAAGAAAACACAGAAGCAAGCTGCTGCTGCTGCTGGATTCATAATTAAAAATAATGTTCTCTTACAGTGAGGTCTACCTGGTCTTCATGCTGATATGTTTCAGTTCAAATAAAATGTGCATATAGTTTAAAACCATATTATCACTTAAAAATACAAAATCTGAAGGTCAATATTGTCATTCAAACAAACCGTTCATAAACACTGAACTGTGTAACTAGAAGCTATTGGCTAACTTATGTAAGAAACACTGACGGACTTCTGTCCTCAGTTTCTCCTTTATGTGTTTTTAATGGCCTTCACTCAGACACAAAGGTCTATTTCTTCATGTAAATGCAATAATTTTATAAATAATACATTATTTTTTAATTCAATAAATGCTTTTTGTGTATGGAAGATCAGTAAAAATAATGCGCTGTCTTCTACAATCTGCAGTAGTTGAATGATTGATTTGGAGAAGCCTCCCTGGAGACATTTAAGGTGCACCTCATGGGATGGGGAGCCAGAGTTCTCTTTTAATTAAAAATAAGTAAACAATAAAAAAAATAAATTTATATTTCTTTGTCATTTTTGCAACAGCTGTATCTGTGGACAAAAAGAGATCAACTGTAACCTGATAAATTATCTGTGCCAATAGCTGCATGTGCTTGGATTTTTTTTTAAAACCTGCATGAGAATCCAATCCAGAAATTAAGCATCTCCTGCAAAGAAGATCAATCAGGGAGCAGCTGGCACTGCATCATAAATCCCCCTTTAGCATTTGAAGAATCTGGACACTGACCTGTGCAGGACGTCAAACTCGGCCTCTCTCTGGCGCTCCAGTTCAAGCTGCTCCTCTATGACGCGTTTCATCCAGGCAGCGTCGGCCACCGCTCTCTCTCTTCTTGCCATCTGCAGCTTTTTGTCCTCCTCTTCTTCTTCAAGTAAGGCTGCCAGAATCTTGCGATCAACTTCCTGAAGTTCACAAAGATCTTCAGCTAAAAACAACAAAATCTTGGATTTGAATACTCAAACAGCTTATCAATCAGACTCACCAGTTCCTCCTGGATTTGCTGGGCTCTCCTCTTTAACTGAGAGCGGTACTGACGAATCAGGAAATGCCTGGGGAAAGGAAAATAACCATTTAGCCGCATAATTTAAATGTACACACTAAACCAGGAGTTGTGATTAGTTGTCTAAATCCTACCCAATTTCAGCTTTCCGTTGCCTCTCCTCTGTCTTCTTCCTTTCCTCCTCCATCCTCTCCAGTTCCCACTGCTTCAGCAGCAGCTCCTCCTGCTCCTTTCTCAGATGAGTAGCCTCAGGGACAAAATTAACACAGCTCATGACACTGTTTTACACAGCAAATACTGCTAAAATGACTGTGTTACATCAGGTAAACCCGGTGAGAACATTGTCAGTTAAACTATAAAAGGATGGACACTATAATAACAATCCAGGCACGTCATTTATATCTAGAGGGATACTTTTTTATATATATAAATTCCTGATGAAATGGTCTAATCCCACAGTATTTGCAATGCTTTATTTTCTTTTATTTAAAATCAATGTGAATAACTGTGTTAGATGGGCAGATAATATCGCATCACACTGATCACAGGATTGTGAATGGGACTGAATGAAAATCTTGTTACTGCATGCTTTGTGATATCATGACATCATCATGCCATCACCCAAATTAATTGATACTTTTGTATCATGATAAAAGTGGTGATTCACACCCCTAGAAAATAGTATATAAAAGAACCTTCAAAACTTGCAAAAGAACTGTTGATATATGGAGCTTTGGCCATCAAAGCATGTTCCATGTGAAATGAGATGATTGGATGCTAACAGCGGTCTCTAAGAGCACTAGAATGGATCTACACCTGGCTCTGTTCATTATCTGAAGCAGAACTGCTGCAACATAACAGTGACGTTAAATTTTGACCAATATGTCCACCAAGGTCTGAATGAGAACTGAAAAGATCTTGGCCCAATCAGTGCAATAATCTTAATGATGCTGGTTTGTAACTTTTACAAGTCAGCAGATGGTGGCAAAATTTAACCCTAACACCTAGAACAAGGCAGGAAACCATTTATGGGATGGGTCCCACTAGTTATTTCAGCTGAATGGGGTAACACTGACTGGTAGAAGTTGGGGTGTTCTAACCTTTTTTTTTTTTTTTTTTAGCAATCAAACACATGGATTTTTGTAATTAAACCAGGTGTTTGTCCAGACAATAATAAATAAATATGAATATACATTAAGCAATGGACATCTCTCTAATTGAAATTCCACATACCTCCTCCTCCCTCAGTTTCAGTTCTTCCATCTGTTTACGGAGCTCCTCAGCCCTATTCCGCTCCTCTTCTCTCCTCCTCTCCTCTGCTTGCCTCATCCTCTCCAGGGCCTCTTTTCGACTCCTCTCATACTCATTTTCAAAGCGTGTCTTTTCCACCTGCTCCATCACGTCTTTCTGCATGTTTGATGAGACTTGTCACTAACAGCGGGTGTCAAACTTTCTTAATTATATGCCGTGTTGAGGGGATTTAATCCGAGTAGATCTCAGACATGATACTGTGCTCACAGACTGCGTAAGTGCTCTTCAATTAAAAATTCATTGTTCCATAAATAAAGGATGAGGTAAACAGAAACGGACACATTTGATGAATGGTTGCCTTAATGTGACATCACTGGGTCGCAGACAACAGAGGTTCTAAGTTAAACAGCAAGTACATAAGGATAAGTTAGGATCTCAGATGTTTTTTTTCAACTTACCTGTTTCTTCTCAGATATCTGCTCCTGCCACTGGTTGACAACATGATCTTTATGCAATGCTGACTCAACCTGGAAACACAGAAGAAGAGTGAGGTTGTGACAGAGCCTGGGCCGAGGTACTGATGACCCTGACCTGTTGAGGACAGCAACACAGTGTGTTTTAGTCTAAAAATCTGGACCAGAAGAAACAAAAGTCATGGAATCGGCTTCTCACAAGGAGGATACTGTTTCAGGATCAAATGGACATCTTGACTCAAAAAAGAGTCAATACCCTACACTTGCTGGGTTTACCACAAACACGTTATATTCCGCTGTCCTTACAGGGATTAAGTATTGAATTCCATTAATTCCCTATTTATTTCTATAGCCTAAACTAGACCCTCACCCTAACCATTAGCAATATATACCCAACCCTAAACTCAATTAACCAGTTGACTGGTCCCCAGAAAATAGCTTATTTCCTGGGAATTGGTCTTAAAGCCTCCCCACTGGGTAACAAAGACACGGCCACACACACAACATAGATCAAAGCTATTGACGATGTCACCAGCTATCAGTCTTTAAGGTAATTTTACTCACTTTTGAATGACTAGTTAAAGCAGCCTACCTCACGCAGGTCTGGGTTGTTTCTCTTCCAGTGCTCTTTAAGGAGCTCCTGTGCAACCTGAGAGAGCAGAGGGAAAATTTTTAGGAAAATATAACATTTACTTTTTCTTCTATCATATTATCCAAACTCTTACCTTTTTCCTTCTTTCCTCTCTAGCCTGACGGAGCTCTTCAACTTTGTGCACCTGCTGAGTTGCCGTTTTGCTCCTGTCAGGAACTAAATCCCGGAGCTCGGCCTCCAGTTTGTTTCGCTCCTCTTGAAGCATGGCCCTGAGCCGCTCTCTGCGCTGCTCTAGCTTGGCTTTCTTTTCTTCCTTCAGCTTTTCTCTGTGGTATGCTGACATACTGGCACCAAGTGAAAAACAAAACAAATTAATATTTTTTGCAATCTTTGTCTACTGATACATTCCCATACCAAGTAAAATTTCCAGTGGACAAACAAAATCATTTGTAGGATTGAAAAAAAAACCCTTTGCAAATTAGAGAAACTGGAGGTTTTATAAGCATTAAACCAAATGGTTCAGTGGTTTTGGATTATCTTCACTGCTTCAGTAACAGAGACCTCTCCTGGTGAAGAGCAAGACTGCAGGTTAGCTGGTTTTAATTACACACACTCAGACACAAATACATCAGAAGCAGATTCACTGTTTTTGAAAAGACTTGTCCTCAAACCTGTTTGGCTTCATTACCCTGCTTTACACAAACAAAGTCTAAACATTATGTTATATCTACAATAAATACTGACAAATATGTGTGACCTGTCACTGAGGAGAGAACGCTCTTTACCTGGTCAGCGCAATGAGGATTTAACACAAACACAATACAACAGTACATTTCTGTTAAAGACTGCAGAGGGGTTTAACTTCCAAACTTCATTTTTCAGTTAAAAACATATTTCCATCTTACTTAATTATTGTTGTAAAACGTCCTAGTTTGTGGATTTTTGGAGGCTTCTTGTTGTTCAATAGCATGTTGAAACAACAGGTTTTTCTTTTATGGTCAGCATGTCTTTACAAGTAGACACTCTAGACTTCTTTGACAGGATGATGTTTTTTTTATTCAATTATTTATTTATTAGGTATTTAGAAACAGCATGCACTAAATCTATGAGCTGCAATTGAATTTGTTTTTTCTTTTTAATAAAAAGGATTCGATGAAGCATATGTCTGACTTGATGTTTTTGTTTTGTTATGATTATTTATAAGTTAATGTAAATAGTCTAATTTTTCAACAAACTTAGCAGAATTCTGGGACAATGAAGTACACTATATTGCCAAAAGTATTTGCTCACCTGCCTTGACTCACATATGAGCTTAAGTGACATCCCGTTCCTAATCCATAGGGTTCAATATGACGTCGGTCCACCCTTTGCAGCTAGAACAGCTTCAACTCTTCTGGGAAGGCTGTCCACAAGGTTTAGGAGTGTGTTTATGGGAATTTTTGACCATTCTTCCAGAAGCGCATTTGTGAGGTTGCACACTGATGTTGGACGAGAAGGCCTGGCTCTCAGTCTCCGCTCTAATTCATCCCAAAGGTGTTCTATCGGGTTGAGGTCAGGACTCTGTGCAGGCCAGTCAAGTTCATCCACACCAGACTCTGTCATCCATGTCTTTATGGACCTTGCTTTGTGCACTGGTGCACAGTCATGTTGGAAGAGGAAGGGGCCAGCTCCAAACTGTTCCCACAAAGTTGGGAGCATGGAATTGTCCAAAATGTCTTGGGATGCTGAAGCATTCAGAGTTCCTTTCACTGGAACTAAGGGGCCAAGCCCAGCTCCTGAAAAACAACCCCACACCATAATCCCCCCTCCAACAAACTTTACACTTGGCACAATGCAGTCAGACAAGTACCGTTCTCCTGGCAACCGCCAAACCCAGACCCGTCCATCAGATTGCCAGATGGAGAAGCGCGATTCGTCACTCCAGAGAACGCGTCTCCACTGCTCTAGAGTCCAGTGGCGGCGTGCTTTACACCACCGCATCCGACGCTTTGCATTGCACTTGGTGATGTATGGCTTGGATGCAGCTGCTCGACCATGGAAACCCATTCCATGAAGCTCTCTGCGCACTGTTCTTGAGCTAATCTGAAGGCCACATGAAGTTTGGAGGTCTGTAGTGATTGACTCTGCAGAAAGTTGGCGACCTCTTCGCACTATGCGCGTCAGCATCCGCTGACCCCGCTCCGTCAGTTTACGTGGCCTACCACTTCGTGGCTGAGTTGCTGTCGTTCCCAAACACTTCCATTTTCTTATAATACAGCTGACAGTTGACTGTGGAATATTTAGGAGCGAGGAAATTTCACGACTGGATTTGTTGCACAGGTGGCATCCTATCACAGTTCCACGCTGGAATTCACTGAGCTCCTGAGAGCGACCCATTCTTTCACAAATGTTTGTAAAAACAGTCTGCATGCCTAGGTGCTTGAATTTATACACCTGTGGCCATGGAAGTGATTGGAACACCTGATTCCAATAATTTGGATGGGTGAGCAAATACTTTTGGCAATATAGTGTATCTATTGTAGTTTAAATATGGCTCTAGAAAATGAAGCTCTACATCTGTATGGGGTGAAAATTGTTTTACTTTATTTCACTTTCGGATCAACAACGTATTTTTCAAGTGAACTGTGTGGGCTGAATAAAAATGCACATCACACTTCAATTTTATTTGTAAAAAAAATAAAATAAAATATGTAAAAGGGATTTGATTGGCTTTCAATTTATCTTGCAGTTTAAAATTGTGCACTGCTTTATGTTGGTCTATTAAATTACATCCCAGCAAAAGATGTTGTAGACAGACTGTAGATGTAAAGATACAAATGTGAGAAACGTTGGGGGTGTGAACAATTATTAAAGGCAGTGCAACTAATAAAGCAGTGGGAGGATTTGTGGCTGGGGTTTGCTTTTTAGTTTGTTCCAATGTTGAGCTGATTTGTCCAATGTTTTGGTGGATCTCTGGGTTGTTGATGTGCAGGAACATCCTGCTTCAGACTCATTTACCTCTGCTGGAAGGAGTGACGGGAGCTCCACGCCTCCTGCCTCTGGTTGCGGACGTCCTGCTCCTTGAAGTACCGAGCATGCAGCTCCCATTGCCTGCGCCACCGAGCCTCATGCTCCCGCTGTCGAGCCAACTGCTCGGCCAACGTTCGCGACCGACTGGGACCATGAGCCGAGAGAGTAGGAAGAGCCATTTGTCTGAAACATTAGGAATGGATGAATGAGAAAAAAATTAATAATAAACTCAATGTACAACAACAATCACTCGCTCTCTTCAATTTGAATACACTAACAACATTGTATCGGGTTCCACCAGAGGACTGCGCGTAAAGTTCGTCCGCTGGATTCAAATTATCAGGAAAAAAAGCCGAACGTCTTTTTGCATTTTTATTCAGTCTTCTATATTCCTCACACAAAACAATAAACATTCACAAACCCATTCAATGTCTCTCCGCCTTTTCCCCCCCACTAGCCGCTCACAGGTTTCCTTTAGTGATGGGCTATCTGAAGCCAGGCTTCGAGGCTTGTACCGAGTAATAAGGGGGCGTGTCAATGAAGCCCCGCTTCGAGGCCTGTGTTGTCTTGTTGAAAACCACGTGACTGGCAACAAACGAGGCCTCGCATTGCATTGGTCACGTGACTGCTTCATTTTGCGTGTCGGTTTTCAAAATAAAAGCGCGATGAATCCTGTTGCTTTGTGGGTTGTAGTAGGTGGTTTGGTCTCAGCAGAACAGTTTTCATCAGCAGTGGTTGTAATGGAGCCGTCAAAAAAGAGAAAAACCTCTCATATGTGGGAGTATTATGAGATGACAGATCACAATCACAACCTGAAACAGTGAAAAAAGTCATATTCCTAAATAAAAACAATTAAACCTAAAATCCAGAAATTTCTATATTTTCTTTTGTTTAATCAGGAGATGCATCAGAATCACACATCAAAACCAGACTAAAAGCCATTAGAAGAGGCAAACTCTATGTGTAACTTGATATTAAGAATCAGAACTAGAACTCCTAGGAAGAGATGATTTTAAACAAATTCTGTCTTTAAGGAAGCAAGTTTCAAGCTCAAAGTACACAGAGTCTGCAGCAACAGTCACTCAGTTCTCAATACATTAAAGTAACACATATCTTCATTGTCTAATAAGTCCATGTCATAAAAGAAAACCTAACACCACCACTGATGGTCAAGGATTAGATTGGCTACAAATCATTTTAATCATTAAAACATGACAATTGAATAGGATTCTCCTCTTACTAAACATGAGTTTGATGAAAACTTTGTGACAATATTGCATTTCCTAATATTTGGAAGTATGATCCAACTGAGTAACAAGGCTGTTACAGTTTCACCAGCAGATGTCACTAGTGAGTGATGAATGAAGCATCGAGTAATTAACTTTTTTCAACACTTTGCGTTGGAAAGCTTCATTGCTTCATGAGGCTTCACTTGCCCATCACTAGTTTCCTTAGTTACGGAAACGCTTCCTGTATTACGGAAAACGCGAAGGGCCAAAAGATTCGTCCTTAGAAAACGCGAGAAAACTTTTATCAGGAAGGAATACTGCATAAATTTAACTTCACATACATTTTGCAGAGAAAGCACACACGACCAGCACACAGAAAAAAACACTTATATAAAATAACAAACACCATAAAATAAAACACAAAATAAAAACAAAAAATTCTCAAAAAAAAAAAAAAACACAGAAGAAGACATTATAAACACTTGTAGCAGATATTAACCATCCTCAGAAAAATATGCAAAAATGAATCTATTATTTACTCAGGAACATAGTTTGTAGTTTGTCCGGCCAATACCTATCCAGTTTATGAAATGTTTACTCATGCTAGTTTGTTTGTTCATGTGATCATTTTGTACGAGGGTGTGTGTGTGTGTGTGTGGGGGGGGGTTGTAAAGGTAGAAAAGTGGAGCTACAAAGGGGATGGGGGAGAGTTGCCTCAAGGGATAAGATGAGAGAGTCTGAGTATGTTATTTGTGTATTTGAGTATCCTACAATCCCACACAGTAAATTCCACAGTGTCAAATATGCAGTGTCTAAGTACAGTTATTGCAACAACAAGTGGAGTAAAATATACACTACGTAGAGATCCAATTTAACACTAATTCCGAGTGGGACCTAATGCACTCTTAAAGTTTTACTTTAACACTGCAAAATTTACTGTGCATGTGCTTCTTCAAAGCGAGGGCTAAGTCCTCCTTATGCTAGTTCGTGCAGCCTGCATTGTGCGCTGTCACCCTGAGGTGCTTTCATCACCCCTCAAATAGGGAACTGAATAAAGTTGTCTCACTTACTCTTAGAGCAAATCTTCTTGTAAAATATTATGCATGTATGTTGCTTGTTTATTTATTTATTTTTTTGGGGGGGGACAATAGTTAAACCTCAGCAAAGCTCAATTTATACCAATGTGCTATTGCTTTATCCAGTTTGCAGTTGTAGATAGTTCTCTGGGTGAGTAAATAGAAGGGTAGGTAGGTGACACCATGCTGCATATTTACTGATGTTCTCTGACATATGTTTTATAGAAAATCATTATTTACCTTTCAGTTTTAATTACACAGTGGAGTATTCTGCATAATAAGTTGATTTCTTTAGGTGTCTGATTAGGGGTGTCAGAGTAAAGATTGAATGTAAATGCAACCGCAACCTTATAGAGATTTTAACTTGTTTTAAACCTTTGCAAGAAATCCTTACTTCTTATAGGCAATAAATGAAGTACCAAATAATGATTCAAACTTTCAGAAACTGTTGTACATGAAGAAGGATTTCTTCTCATTGGATGTGTGTCTGGATGGCCCAGATCTCTTAGTAACCAGCCAATCACATGAGCAGGCCAGCAGCTGGATGTCCCTCCATGACCTGGACTCAGTGTAGGTAACCTGAGTGTGAGTGTGTGTGTGTCTTTGTAGATGTAAGCGTGTGTTGATTTTCATTCTCCTGTTGTCTCTGTGAATCTGCAGTGGAAAGAGTTTGGCAGTCTTTTGGCTTTCATTTCAAAGCTAACAGCACTTCCAGACTAAAGAGATGGCTCTGCTGATAGAGCACCAGTTCAGACAGCTGCCGGCTGACAGGCAGGTGGAAACAAGGCCGTTCCTGGATGCTGTGTCCTATCTTCCATCTTTCTTTGGTAAGTTTGGATAGTTTTTTTTTTCTTCTCTTTTTAACCAAAAAAAACATAGCAAAAACCATATTTGTATTAGAATACTATTTATGTAATTTTTATCATATATTTTAAGGGAATATATATATTAGGGAAATAGATTGAGAAATGTATATATTTCCTCTCTTGCTATTTAAAATTAACTGCTGTTGATTTGCAAAGATTTATCACAAATCACACAACCTGTAGTGGTCAAATCTGAACTAACAAATCCCCAAAGTTTACATCAAGAATGCGTCTCTTTCTAAATGATAATCTGTTTTGGATCGTATTTCTCCCCATCAAGCAGTCCACAGTCCGTCAGCATGCATAATTTAATCCACTGGCCTGGATTTTGAGTTGTGAAAATTGATTAGAATGGTGTGGAGTTGCTCTCACCCATTCAGTAGCGGCACGAAGCAGTGGTGCATCTTTGTGCAACTTCATTCTGTATTAATATGCTAGTCCCTCCATTGAATTGCCACGTGAAACCCTTGAAATGAAACAATTCAAACGCTGCTAATAAACTCTTTCCTCCTTGTCACTATTGTTTTTCCTGACCTAGAAATATCTAAGCCAACTTTCCTACAAGCCATTCAGATCTGACACATTGTTCAGACGAATTCACAATAATGACTGTCTAATTAGACTTGGCTGTTAGGATAGGGCTCAATTAAATTCCCTAATTGTTCCTTTAATTTAGCCAAAGTTGCACCAATTATGATGGCTTCCAAACAATCTCTGAAGAATTATGTAAATCAATAGCATTTTTATTTAGTAGATATCTTTTCAGCATAATAGAAGGTTTTAACCTGTGATGTAAAACTCTCTGAAACTTGATAGGGTGTCATCAGTGTCTGGGTGATGTGACACGTGTAAGTACAATAGATGACACTTATGAGTAGTTCCCACCAACAGCTGAGGGGTTGAAAGAGGTCAAATGTTGCAAGTTGGCTTGAAACTGTTTGTGGTTGGACCTTGACCAACCATTCAGCATCCCTTCATAAAAGCCCAGATCATCAGTAGAAAAACTATTTTTCTTGGTACTTTGCAAAAGTATTCATACCCCATTTGTGTGTATTACATCATGGTCGAGCCACAAGTAGTAAAACTGTTTAATGTTGGTCTTTACTGACCATAACATCTCGTTCTACATAACAGCAAAACAAACTTTTTATGGCCTTCTGTCAACACATAAATAATGCCACTCTTTCATAAAGTACAATTATGTGTATAATGAATAGCTTATATAGCCAATACCTATAGATAAATCATGCCAAGTTATTTTAAGATCATTGCAGCTCCTCTAGAGTTGACATTAGCCTATAGACTGTATTTCGGATCATCTTTTTCCTACTTGTTATTTTACTTGGACAGCCATTTCTTAGATTTGCTGTTCTGACATAGTCTCTGTTTTCAAAAGATGATTCTACATTTTCACCATGGTCATTTTTAAACCTTGTGATATTGCTCTTAACCTTACTCTGCCTTATATTTCCCATCTCTCTCCATGACCTTTTCGCTGTGTTCTATGGCACTGAAGAGGCTTTTTATCCTCTAATGTCCTCTAATGTTCCACAGGGTGCTTTACAAAACAGCCACATTTACACTGAGATTGAATTACACACATATGAAAGCAACTGTCTGCACTGGCTTTGATTATAGAGTACTGTATTAAAGGATTAATAAAAATCCATAAAACACTTTGTATTTGTAAAATACAAATGTATATGTCCTGTGTGACTGTAAGATATACATACACATTTTCTTTAAGGAAATAACTCACAGAAAAGTGTTTTTATTACTTATTTATTAGTACAACTTAGAGGACAAATAGCTTTTTATTACACAGGTTTAAGCCATTTCTCATCAACAATTTTGTGCTAGGCTTTTGTGGTCAATCATAAATGAGTAAGGCTTAGAAAGACAGGTTTATAAAAGGCTGAAATAACAGTGATTCACAATCAGTAGGTAATTGATTAGTAATCAAAGAGAAACTAATGTTTTCAATGATTACATTTGAGATTGGCTGAATTGGAAAAATAATCTGCGAAACTAAAGTCTTTCCTACTAAAAAGAACTTTTGACAAACCATTTCTGGAAGCATTTACTCGACTCTCCTGTATCAGCTGGTCTTAAGTAAAAGGCTCAACACTCTATGACAATGTAACTGGAGGTGTATTGGTATTTTTTTAACAGCTTTTCTCAGAGTGCAACTTGTTAAATATTCATATTCAACAGTCCCAAATGAAATTCTGCACAATAGATAATGTGCAAATTTAGAGATAAGGTACTTCTGAAAAAATGCCACATCAAAAAGAGGCAAATCACAAGAAGGGATTTTGGGCAGTGAGCAGTAGAAATGCATTGCAATGGAATAGGCAGGGCAAGGCAAGACAATATATAGTAGCATGATTGAAAGTACTGTACATGATAAAAACAGAAGAGCACATTGCAGTGGCATAAAGGCAACAGAATAGAGACCCTAGACAACGCTTTAGCTAGCATTCTTATATTCTCATTTTTATAAACAATGTAATAAACGAAAGTATACGAAAACTTGTACCCCTGTTTCACCTAATCATCTTGTCTGAACTTTCACAATAATCTTTGTCAGCTACCATCCTCTTTCATCCATCAACATCATAAAGGAATTGTCACTTTGTTGACATAAAGTGTTTGGAAATCGTTTGTAATTTTCCATGATAAGGAGTTGGCATTCATGCACAAACCGTTTTTGAATTGCTAAATTTAATCAAAAGCACAACTTAGCAGTCGTACAGTAGTACATTCCATTCAAATCTGAAAGTTTCATTTATCTGCATGCTTGCTAAAGCAAGAATTTGAACCTGGAAACTTAGAGGTGTGCAGTCCGATACGGTTTCAGATTCAATTAAACATTTGCTACAGATATAAACTATTTATTAGCACTTCTGATGGTTTGCAGTCATTAAACAAGAACCCCAGTCAACACTTTGCAACCTCTATTGCTCATATAGCTCCTCGGCAGTTGATAAAGCTTAATTCATTACTTACATCTAGAGCTTCTTGGACAAATCATCTTCAGCATAAATATGACCATTGTTTATTTTATAGGCTGAGCTCATTTACTTCTTGAGATAATTTGGCAAACTTACCTTATTTGTTGTTTTATTTAAATCTCTCTCACTTCTTTCTCAGACTGCCTTGGCTCTATTTTTGCACCAATAAAAGCAGATCTATGCAGTAACCTTACAGTAAGTTTGCTTTGTGATTTTCCTTCTGTAAATGCATTCTATTGCTAAATTAAAATGATGTCTCAACTGATAGAAAATTAAGGCCGTTTATGATACCAACCCTGGACGCTACAAGACTATTCAGATGATCTTAGAGACAGAGAAGGAAATGCATGGAGGTGAATGGCCTAAAGTCGGAGCAACGTTAGCACTTATGTGGCTCAAAAGGTCAGATGATTTGTTTTTATACATTTTCAGTTCTACAGTAGTTTAATATTTTTTTATGATACCACCTCCAGATATCCATACCCTCTCATCCATGGTTTCTGTTTCACCAGGGGTCTCAGATTTATCCAAGTTTTCTTACAGAGCCTGGTGAATGGGGAAAAGGACGACAGCAATCCCAACCTCCTACGAGTCAATATCACCAAAGCTTATGAAATAGCCCTTAGGAAATATCATGGATGGTTTGTTCAGCAGCTCTTCAAGGTCAGTTCAGAATTAGGATGTTACATTGTTTTAATCAGATGTGTGAAGCTGTCCCTGATTGTGTGGTCCCCTCTTTTAGGCCGCTCTTTACGCTGCTCCCTACAAGTCAGATTTCCTTAAGGCCCTCTCCAAAGGTCGGGAGGTGAAGGAGGAAGAATGCTTGGAGAAAATCAGGAAATTCCTCATCAACTTCTCTGCCACTGTGGATGCCGTTTATGAAATATTTAATAGAATGAACGCTGATCTCGACTACAAGGTGTGACGACTGTTACGGGGGAACCACTCATTTTCAATGTTGTCCTGTTTTTTTTTTTAAATCCTGTTTTATTAAAATGATTTTCTGAGTGCTATTCTCATTTCCTCTCGGTATTTTGTTGATAATTTGAGAAAAAAAGAGTCCACATTTTGAGGGATTAAAGGTTCCACATGAATTTGCAATATTTTTTTTATTTTGTTTTCCTTACAATAGTTCAAATAAATAAATCACAATGTTCTGTGAATTAGTACTGTTTTCTCTAAAATTTTAGTCACCTGTCTTTGTCCTATCAGCAGACAGCAAACTCATTAAAGTGGCCACACCACCCTTGTGTTCCTTTTATTCAAATAAATGTGTGTCTGTTTATCTTATGTACCAAAGTTAGTGATTCTTTGTAAACCTGCTATTTACATTAATTTAACCTTAACCTTGACCCCGTGATCACCCACGGGGTGACTTGAACAAGAATGCTCCATCTGATATAGTTCTATCGATCCAAAGTGCTTTAATGGAAAGTAGATGAACTTCTCTTGATTTTTAAAGAACACTGGATAGAGGTGATGTCTGAATACTTTACATTTAAGCTCCAAACATTATCCTCTGCTAGATGACTGAGAAGCAACCCCATATTCTTAAAGCATTTACAATATTTTCCACCCAAAGTACAATTAAAGTAATGTGCAACATACTGTACTAATATCCCTATTACTTTCCATATTTTTGTCACAAAAAAAGAAGAAAATTGAAACCTGAAACACCACCTTCACCAAAAAAAAAAGAAAAAAAAAGAAAAAAAGAAAGATAAGGTGGTAGTAGCATCATGCTATAATTTCCATCAGCAGACAGTGAAAGCCAAAGAAAGTCCTGGAAGAAAACCTTTATGGGTCATCAGCAGAGTTGAGGCTTAGGCAGAGTTTAGGCCTTTCAGCAGGGACACCACGCCCCCACATACAACCAGATCTTTAAATTAAAGTTCATTTACATTTAAGAAATGTCCAGTCATCTAATTGAATGTGTTTATGTAGGTGAACGAGACTAGCTACTCTCATCAATCTTATAAGCTATTTTGAACAGAGGAATGAATAAAATTGTCAGTCCTCAAATACGAGTCAAGTCTAAGGAAGCTGGAAAAAAAAAACTTGCAGCACTTTTCAGATTAGTTTGAACATTTCCAAAACTACATTTACTTTTGCTCCATAAAAATCTATATATTTGTGTTGGTCTATTTAGCAGCAGCCCAGTAAAATAGACTGTAGTTCCTGGATGCAAAATTTAAAAGATCAATTGTAAAGAGCAAGGCACTCTCAGATGCTGCGCACACAAAGATTTTTTTTTTTACCCACAATGAATGTAAAAATCTCTGTTAATACAAATAGTTAAGGCCATCCTACAGTCTTATTAAAGTGCTCTGATAAAAAAACATGTTACAAAGTACTTTATTGTTTAGAAAAACACATTTTCCATAAAATGTTTTAGGAAGCTGTTAAAACAGAACATACCCTAGAACCTGACTTTGTTCACACATTGTAGGGGTCATTGGTATAAACACGTTAATAATTTACAATAAACATCCGACATATGAGGAACCATCCAGAAAGAATCTGTGTTTGAACTGAGTCTCTGGAGTGACCTGTTTGTCTTTGGTGCATGTCAACATGTTCCCTTTAGGCTACGCTTGCCACACCCTGCTGGCAGACTATATCATTCTTACCCCCCCTAAACTGTGGATGTTTTATTCAGCAATGGTTTAAATCAGAAAAACCCTGAATTAAATACCGTTAATAGCGAATACAGCAACCCAGACAAGAAAGAAGAATCCAAACACTAAACCAAAGGCCAAATAATTATTTATTTAAATACCATGAAAATCTAGGAACCTATCTTCTAAATCGCTAGTGAAACTGGTTTCTCTTTTGTGCTTTACATCATGTCTCCCCTGTTGAGAGCAGACATGCTGACCTGAGAGCCCACTAGAGGCCACTATAGGCCCAAAAGAGGCACTATTTGTGAAGCTACAACCATAATTTGCTCTGCTGATATTTTTTAGCAATTGAATACTGAGGCAGAAGACTTGCTTGAATGTCAGAATAATATAATACTAGATTGATCTGTTTGAGATTTATCGAAATGAATTTTTAAAGTGACGTGAGATTACTTGCACTATAAATAAACTATTAAAATAAAATGAAATCAGTTATATTATTGGAACAAAAGTACAGCCTTTTTAAATTTATTTGTAGCCTAGGAAAGACTCTTATTAAAAGTAAAAATCAATGGATGTGACATTGGTCATCCATCTTGCATGTTTCCCCTTTACTTCACATACAGCCAATTTTTTTGTGTTCAAGACTTTGTTAAAGACTGTAAAAAGGGGGTGAAAGTAACTATCTGATGACAATGGTTGCAAAACACAAAAACTTTTTTTTTTTTTGCTGGGAAATAGATCTTATTTATGTTTTGATTATCTGTAAGAACAATTTGGGAAAATTCACAGAGAGAAACACTTGAAAGATCTCACTCTCGGTGACTAAATAATAAATAAGTTCTGTTTTTTGTATGAAATCCCTGAAAATATTTTGTGATTTTATTCCAATTTCCTTAAGCCTGCACGGTGGCAGGGTTTGCAGCAAGGTCTTGATTCCCAATTAATGGAAGTTTGCATCTTCTCTCTCTAAATGCATGGGTTCTCTCTTGGTTCCTCTCCCAGTCCAAACATTACTTGCATGTAAATTAGTGTCTCTAAATAGCCTTTAGAAGTGTGTGTGTGTGTGTGTGTGTGTGTGTGCACAGTTGTAAGACTTTGTGTTGCCCTGCGGTAGACAGGTGACCTGCCCAGGGTCTGCCCTGCCCTTTGTCCATAGAGTGCTGGAAAAAGGCACCGGCCCCTCCATGACTCTGATGGATAAGCACAAGAAGATGGATTCCACTTTACTAAGAAAAACACGTGGCTTGAAAATGACCTGCACTCCTCTACAGGATAAAATATTTATAACAAAAGTGGTACATTGAACATTTTACTTAAACAAACTATTAAAAGACAGTTTTCTGTGGTTTCTTTGTCTGTAGAAATGATTAAACAACAGAATCCTAATGCCCCAACGTCACCCAGCATTTAATTCCAACTGCCCCAACTTGTTCAGGTGTTTCCTGGAATAAGCAGAAGTTTTCCAAGGATGAGGTTGAGCCTCATTGAGTTGTGTTGTGGGGATTGAGTCCGCCTCTAGTGGCTGAACGAGGTACTGCACCTCACACTTCCGCGGTGTCTGCTAAGGCAAGGTAGTGGCTACTTCTGTCCCACCCAAAATCACTGAAAGCATCCGTTGTTCAGCAGAGATCTCAAATGTTCCGACTCACGAATCAGGGGAACATTATGGTTTAAATTCAAACCTTCGGGTGTAGACATTAGAAGCAGTAGAGAGAGACTGGGAGCGACTGGCAAGAGAGGAAATAAGTTAAACTGAGGCAAAGCGGAGTTAAGTGGTTTGAGGAAAAGAAAGAATGAATCAACTAACTAAAGAAGGGTAAGTCATATATTTTATTCCAGATATACTTACCTGTAAACATTTAAAGGAATAGTTCATCTTGACTCAAAATTGATGCATTTATGTTTGACTCTAAATCCTCTGAACTAGTGCCTTAATATTGTAAGTATGGTCATTATTTATTTCACTTCATGTTTTGTTTACATTACTGAAAAAAATAATGTAACAGTTTTTGACATTTACTTAATCATATTTAGTAACTTTAACACAATTGTTTCATGTTAGCAGGGTAGGACATAAAACAGGTGTGTTAAAGTAACTAAATATGATTAAGTAAGTGCCAAAAACTGTTGCATTATTTTTTTTTTCAGTGAGGAAGTTTGGGATTGATGTGTATAAACTCTAGGTTAGACACAACCCTCTGCTCTGGATAATGTCAGCTGCAGTGTCAGGACAGGAACTCTATCATCAGGAAACGGATCACTCCTAGTTGGAGACTGTAGATTTCCCCTTCCTGGACCTAACAAGTTGATGATATATGGATTTTGTGTGTAGTTTGCATTTTTTAATGCTCTGCTATTATCATTGTCTAATGTTAAATAAAGAAAGTTTCCCCTTGCCTGCCCAAAAGCCATTTTAAACACTCTGATGCATTTCTTCTAAGCCTCTGTCTTTTTTACTATCAGATGCCTGCTGGAGTGTAAAGGCATTATAATCCCTTGTGTCAGACAGAGTTGTGAGTCATTGTGCTTGTGTTACTCTTCGGCTGCTGGGGTCACAGTAGATATGATTAAATGAAAGTTTTTTTTTTTCAATCGATTTTGACTGGTTTTATATTACAATAACAGGAATAAAAAAATAAACACATTTCTGTTCTTGTCTTGAGTTTTACACATAGGGGCTGTGATTCTTCAACCTACAATAAACAAGTTTTGGGCTCAAGATGATTTCAGCAGGTCTTTGTCAGATTTTCCACATCTCTTTTTGAGTCCCTTTTCACACAAATAAACATTTTGTATGTCTACAGTTTATTTACTGGTTTCTTCTAATGTTTTGCAGATTGCCCATGTGCTTCCAGATATTTCCCTGTTCCTCCTGAAGTGGAATTTTGCACTCTACTGTGAAAAAAGGGATGAATGAGGTACAGAAGAGTTAAAACTCACTCTGTAACAGCTTAGTTTGGATCCTTTTCCCATTATTGTTCTGATATTTAGGATTTCAAAATAATAGTTTCCTCCTAAGTAAATTAATTTGTATTTCTTTGGAGAGAAAAAAATATATTAAGATTAAATTACTAGATATCATCAGGATTTGTTGAGGCACACAGTTATAACTAGCCGAGTGATATCAAAGGAATAGGAAGATTGAAAATAGAAAACTCTAAAATGTGTGGTTTGCATGTTCTTTCAGAATTATATAGCAAAACATGAAATAATGCAAAGGCACCTAATTAGTCTATTAGCCTTATTATTCTTACCAAGCTGTTTTCTGAAAGTTTTGGAACTGAGTGCTGTTGTATTCATCATCAGCTAATTAGACAGAGTATTGCACAACTTTAAACCTACCAAGTGAGAATCTATTGATTCCAGATCTATTTATTGATTCCTTTGTATGAATTAGACCTTTATGGAGAAGGATGATAGTGAAGAAACTGTTAAAGGAAAACATAAGAATTCTTATTGATCCCTAAATGTAAGCGATGAAGGAAGCACAACCGACATGTAAAGGAAGGTTCTGTGGTCGCCTGAGACTAAACGTTTTACTTTCCCATGCGAATTGCAACTGAACAAATAAAACGAAGAGACCATAGGCAGAAATGATTCCTTAGGTTTTTGGCTAATTGATTTTTTCAATGTCTAATGTTTTAGGGGCGCTCTGCTTTGCTGAGGAGGTGCCACCTCGTCTTGTCCAAGACAGACACCCTCAGTGCTCCCTCTGTCAGAACTACTGCTTCTGAGGATGCTGGAGAAAGTGTGACTGCTCAGGCTGAAAATGATACAGCTTTCCCATTGTCTGAGTTCTCAGACCTGTTTGAGAGTGAGGATGGCTCCCAGTCGGCTCAGGACACGAGTCTGGATACAACTCTGGAGAATGCTCAGTCCACCATTCAGCCCTGCCAGCCCACGGACAGTAGACAAAACCTGAAAATGAAGTTTCAAGGTGCCTTCAAGAAGGGTATTTCCAACCCGATGGACCTGTTAGAAACCACCATATATGATTCAAATGTGGTGCCAGGACCTAAAAAAGCTCCCATGGACTCACTCTTTCACTATGGCACCTACGGAAATACAAGCAACCAGAAAAAACGCAGGAAAAAGCTTCCAAGAGGGTGAGAAGTGCCATAGTGCTCCACCTGGGTGTTTCTTTGCTTGATCTAAATGTTTATAAATTGTAAAACCTGGAAAAACGCTGTCAGTATGCACACACACTGTAAGTTGTTTGAACCTAACTGAGAGTATGTTGTTGAATCCTCAGCAGTCTCTGAGGTAATACTTAGGCTAATGCCATTTCCTGGTCGTCATACCTGCACCATACACAGAGGTGCATTTATCAGAGCACTCAGGGGTGTTACTTTCCCTTAAAAGGTTCTTTGTTTTACCAAAACCTTTTCAATCCATAATTTTTATAAATGAACTGGAAAAACTGTAAAGGAATATTGACCAGTGACTTTTTTCTCCTTGCAGTAAAACTGAGACATCCTGTGATGACAGTCAAAGCACTGATCCACCAAAAGTGCTGAAAATATTCACTCGCTTTACACTGTTCGACTGTGTTTCTCGGGGTGACCCAGAGGCCCTTGAGGGCCTGCTGGAGTACCTGCAAAGTCAAGAGAAGAGGCTAACAGATGAAGAGTTCAGAGGTTAGTTGTATCCACCCTCTTTTCTTCTTACTATCTCTCAATTTTTAAGCTCTGCCTGGTATATAAGTGTCACTCTGTCCTTCCCTTTAAACTCTTGAGCTGTGCTGATCTGTGCTTCTCTGAACATTTCTCTGGGCTTTGTTGACCTCGAGGATGTGAGAAGAATAAGCCTGGACATTGTTAGCATTTGTCACATTGAAGTCAGTCAGGCCAAATAGCAGCTTCCTGTGTGTCTGAGGGGTTTTCTCAGGCTTATAATGGGGTGTGGTGAGAAATTGCAGCAAACTGCTGACATCCTCATGGAGATAAATATAGCTAACTGACAGACAGGTAAAAGGGATTTTTTTTTTACCCCTAGAATGCCGGGAATAAGCACTACATCTCCCCTTACAGATTTGTTCTATGTATTTCTGTTTTTGTTAACTTAAGGGTTAAGTGAACAAAACGATCTACATCTGCTATGGCTGCATGTGAATTTGTAATGTTCCCCTAAACCTGCTATTTCGACGACTGTGCAGTTGTTGGAAGCAGCATCTGCCGTCAGGAGTTTGCAATAACTTGATGTGAGTCTTTTACATCACTGTGGTGAACTTTGCTTTAAATAAGCCACAATTGCAGGTTTTCAAAGATGAATGGCCATGGGGAATGTTACAGTATCTCAAGTGTATTTAAGTCCAGATTTTGACTTGGCCATTTAATTCAATTCAGTTTATTTATATAGCACCATTTCACAACACGTCATCTTAAGGCATGTAACGGAAGAAATTCAACCAGATCATTCAGCTAGATTGGTTCAAAGTTTTCTATCTAAGGAAAATCAGCTGATTGCATCGACTCATTGACTTAACACCAAGGCTCAATGTTAGTGGCCATCTGCAGAGGCCGACTGGGGTTCAAGAAGACTGAAGCAGAAGTACAAAAAGAAGCAGAGATACAAAAGGCAACTGTTAACAAGCTCCCTAGGTGCATGCAGCCAGGTAGATGAGCACTGAGCCAGCTCCCATGTCCGAGGATGAAAGAGAGCACATACAGTTAGTCACAGTCAGAGAAACAGGACTACACTAAAAAAAAACAAGTCAAGCTCCAACATCTATAGACAAAGGCATTGATGGCAGCAGGACAGCTGATATTTCTCTCCACAGGCAAACAGAAACAGACTAGATCAAGCTACTATGATGACAAAAAAAGCAGAGAAATCATAATGTTAGAGACTGAACTAACAAATGGTGCAAAATGGGAGAATAGAGATAGAATGAAGCAGAATGATGAAAAGGGGTCCCTATGTCCTCCAGCACTCTAAACCTATATCAGCATAACTACAAAGAGAGCTCAAGATAACCTCCAAAACCTTTTTTTTTTTTTTCCTCTTACTGTGGGGGTGGTTCCTGTTATTGTCCTATTTTACCTAGTGTTATGGGCTTAAAGGATAGAATATCTCAGTTTTTCTTTATTTGTTGTTTTATAAGTTCCCTTCCAGTTGCAGACATTGGTGTTTTAGATGTATATTCTCCAATTTAAATGACAGTTTTTAAAGCTACTGGGACCAAAATTTTATTATTTGTCATATTTGTCAGGATTAGTGGAGATCAAACCGAAGGAACAAATTAATGGAGGAATTAATATAATGAAGAGAATTAAGCTATGAGGAACTGCTCAGGAGGTGTATATATGGGAGTTGATAGGGAGCAAGTGTGGATAGAAGCAACTAAAAGGGAAAGGTGTCTGGCACAAGGGGCAACAGAGAGTAACTAAAAAAACACAACTGCCTAAATGTAACTAGACAACAGCTAGAATGACACAATATGGAAATGAAACTAAAGACCCAGAAAACACAGAATGACAGAAATCAAAGTTTAACATGAAAGTCAAAAAGAAAACTTAAACAGAACCAAATAGTTCCCATAGGTCAGAATCATAACAATATTGTTTTGGTATAAGCTATGTAGGGGATATGGGGTAACGGATGAGTCTGTTATCTGTATCAACGGCTTTTTAGTTTATAACTCTTTAGCTCCTCCAAGAAAACAGTTAAATTATGCATTTATGTGAGCAGGAGTAACAAAGACCTAATGCATTAAAATGGCTTAAGAGACTATATCTGTTATACTGTTGATTATGCTGTTCTTTTTACATCTCTCTTTGCAGGTGATGAAGCAGACAGAAAGCGTCTTATCATTGTCTCCCTTTTATCTCCTCTTTCTTATATCTTTTCTCCTTTTTCTTCTTTTTCCTTTCCCGTTCTACTTTCCCATTGCAGTGTCAATATGAAATACTCCCTTCATGAATTATAATAAAGCTATTTACATGCCTACATCAAGCTTAACACTATGGCGAAAGCCGTACTGCTCCACTTGTTGAAGCAAAATCTGTTGGGTTCTTTTTGGCATCAAGACACTTATTCTTATTGCCACATTGCCAGACAGGACACTGTAAAAAAAAAAAAAAAAGGCTTAAGAGGACCCTATCCCATTTTGAAATATCAAAACTAACCCTTTGAGGAGGCAAATGCAGCATCAAGACAAACACACTATAAAATAAAATAAATGTGGTCTTTTTTAGTTCTCTAAACACTTTCCCAAAAGTTCAGGGTACATATGAGTGTTTTTAAGAACTTTAAAGCTACTTGCAATTAAACCACATTGGTATATGACAGCATGTGACAAAAACTCACACGCACAAATTCTTTGAGCTTTCTGGTACACTTGATCAGTTTTTACCCTGGTTCTAATCTGCTGCTCACAGGTGTCTCCTATTTTCTCCTGCCGGCCATATCACTAAATTGAGTAAACTTTCTTCTTGGTCTGGCTGTTGACTCCTAGATTGGGTTACTGGTTGTACCCATTACATACATTATGTTGAATCCATGTACCTCTGGTTTGGAAATAATTTCTTCCCACAATTCCACTTTATAATGCAAGACAAAGTATTTCTAAAGAGTTTCTCTGGTGGGTGAGAAGAGTAACTGTCTTTGAATCCAATCTAATTCCCAGAGCTGTCCACTGGAAAGACATGTCTACCTAAAGCCCTGCTCAACCTTTATGGTGGTCGGAATGACACCATCCCAGTGCTGGTGGACATTGCTGAGAAGACGGGAAACCTGAGAGAGTTCATAAACACGCCCTTCAGGGATGTCTTCTACAGAGGTAAGAAAATAATCTCACAACATAACATGTTATTAAACTTCATCGGTTTTTCCACTGATTAATTAGAATGTAGCTGTTAATGAACTGAGATCTTGTCATTTCTCTCTCAGCTGAAGGGAGTATCGCCTGTAGCTGTAACTTTATTAGATTCTCACAGCTAATTATTACCTCATATAGTTATGTTTAAAACAATTGCAGTCCAGCTATATTAACCAGATCTGTCACTGTTTCAGTAGAAGGCATGTTACTGCATATAAAATAATTTATTTGCATAAGTGAAATAGTAGTGGAAAACTGAGAAAACATACATTCATTTCATGCTTGCTCCTTCATTTGTGTAATTTAATAACTGAGTGAAAGAGGAATGTTCAAAAAAATTACCAGTGTAGAGTTCAGTTCAGTTCCTTGATACTGCAAGGAAATACAGGTGTTAATCACATCAGCATTAGTTAAGGATGAATCCAGCATAATTTCTTTCTGAAAACTTAACAAACCAGTTTGTTTCCATAATTTTTCAGAAGAAAACATTTATTTTAGAAAGAAAAACATGCAAAGAATTCCAAAAAATTATGGCCGTGCAAGGCTTATATGATCCTCAATGCTTTAAAATACAAAAACAAAACCAAAGAGACATGAAAAAAAACAAAAGACTATAATTCCAATGGATCAAATAAGAGCCAAACTAGCAAAGACTGTATTTAGTTATTTGAGAAGGTGCTCCGATCAGATAAGGCCTATGGATCTTTGTATCTTATATGCAAAATGCTATGTGCAGAAAAACTCTAATGCTAAATGATAGTCTGAATGAAAAATGAACAGAGTAAAACACGGTGGTGGTAGCATCATGCTGTTGGGGGGATGTTGTTTAACAAGGACAGAGAAGCTTTTCATGGAGTTATGTATAGCTCAATCTTGGAAGAAATCTGGGACTGCAAAAGGAGTTTGCAGTGGTGGGTGGATCGATGCATTCAGGCATCCATACATACAATGTATAATACACACATTCAAGATTTTTATTTCTGTGCATAATTTTTCCTTCACTGCAGTTATAGATTATTTTGTTTTATTATAAAGCACTATAAAATAAATTACTGAAGAATTTTATGAATATGATCAATGTTTAAAGAGAGTGACTTATTAGAAAAAAACACTATAAACGTTAAGTTTTTCTTTGAACAGTCAGTCAGTTCTTTCTCTTAAACATTTACCATGACTTTTTAAAAATGCATCTACCAATAATGTGGGGAATTTCAATGCAGAGCCAAGGATCTCTTCCTTGCTCAACTGCTCTTGCAAAACCTAAAAATCTGCTCTAAGTTTTGTAATCAAATCTGACGGTCTTCGTTAAGGTGAAATGTTTTCAATTTGCCACAATGTGAAGCAAGAATATGAAATAGTTTGAATAGCTGTAACTCTTGTGGGCTGCGTTTTGTCTTCAGGCCAGACGGCGCTCCATATTGCTATCGAGCGACGCTGTAAGCAGTATGTGGAGCTGCTGATGGAGAAGGGAGCAGATGTTCACGCCCAAGCAAGGGGACGCTTCTTCCAGCCCAAAGATGAGGGGGGCTACTTTTATTTTGGTAAGCAACTTTTTGCCATCAAGAAACAGATGTGAATATGCTTCTGTGTTTTTTTTTTTTTTTTTACCATGACAGCACCTCATTCTGAGTCTCACTGCATTCTGTTAAAGTTACCTCATAGCTTCCTGCCTTTTTATTTGTAATAGTGTGTTGTACTTGTGGTTTTACTGTCTCAATTTTTGGGCTACCTCTTCTTGGTTTCCTTTTTTTTTTACATCTGGGTTCACTTTCTCTTGTTGATGCCAGGATTAAAATATCAAATCATGGAAAGTTTATTTTAAGATGCACCACCTTCACTGCCAAAGAAAAAGAAAGTGACCTCAGAGCCCCACCCTCTTTTTTTCTTTCAATATTATATGAGGATGGTTTTTACAGGAGAAATGCAGACAGGGTGCTTTGCAGCACACCCAAATGTTTGTTAAGTATGGTACCAGAATTCGTTAGGAAAAATGCTCCAAAAACACATGAAAAGTCGAGCATTATGTTTTGTGCGCAAGTGACACATGCAGTGAAAGGTGCTGTGTTCTGCAGTTTGGAAAAGTAAACATCCTCTACTGGTAGGCAGAACCTCATTGACCCTGACACAAGAAGGAAAAAGAAATCAAAGGTGATTAACATAACTCAACACTGTCCTCTGCTGGCTACAGCGAATGTTTTACCTCGGGGTGAAATATCTACTTCATTCCTTATTCATATGGAAATTAAAAAAATGTTGCAATTAATCCCAAAGACTTTCTTTTAACATGGAGAGATTCTAAATATTGCAAGTTCTGGTAATCTCCTACCCTTCTCAAATTGAAATAATTACTTTTTTGATTAAAATCAGGTGCTATATTCCTCTTGCTGCACAGAGGTGAGGATTTCTATTTTCACTTAGCATGGTTGTCACTCTCCAATCCTAGCGTGTCCGGGGCACAGTGTGAGTAATTTGCTGCGGAGCTTTGCGGTGAGGTGAACAGGAACCTGGCAGGGCTGTTGGCTAATGGGATTTAGGCTCACGCTAACTCTCTGCATGCACCCGTGCAAATCCATGAAGAGGAGAGTTTCTATGTGAGGTGACAAAGTAATCTGTCACCCATAGCAACTGCTCATTTTCAGCAGCTGCCTTTGGCACTCTGGCCCCTCTGCACCCCTCCCTTGAACAGCCGCTAATTGTGCAGCTTTTATGCCGAGGATTTAAGTTGGATTTTTGATCCATGTTTAGCCTCCATTGTTGAAGAACTGCAGATGCCAGCTACAGCTCTTAATTAACCCAACAATTCATGTTTTTTTTCAAATATGTCTTGTCTCCCTTTTAGGTGAGTTGCCCCTCTCACTGGCTGCATGCACCAACCAGCCTGGTATAGTGCATTACCTGACAGAAAATCCTCATAAGAAGGCCGACCTACGCCGCCAGGATTCACGTGGAAACACGGTATTGCACGCTCTCGTGCACATCGCAGACAACACCAAGGACAACACCCGTTTCCTTACGAAGATGTATGACATGCTGCTGATAAAGTGTGCCAAGCTCTTCCCAGACTGCAACCTGGAGACTATACTCAACAATGACGGCATGTCACCCCTCATGATGGCGGCCAAACTTGGAAAAATAGGGGTAGATACATTTATAGTGTCATGTGCACTTAATGCATCTTTCTTTACGCGTTAAGTTCCCACTCTTACCTTGGAATGGTTCTATACGCATCCATCCTTTAAATCTAGAAATATGTAAAAAGTTTTAAAGAAACTAAGCAAAAGGCAGCACAGAAAGCTGAAGAAGAATTATGATGGTTAGAGTGCTAATTTACGGATTAACCCATAAAACAAGGGTCACATGTGACAAAAGACGTGATATCAAAGTATGTGGAGTCTGAGTTCATAAGGTGAACATTCGTTTTGTGATTTATGGCGAAGGAAATTTTGTTTTGCCTAGAGACCTAACAAACCGGCTCCTTGTAGAAAAATTTCAAAACAGAGCACCATCCGGCCATTAATATTCCACCAGAGCTCTCCCATTTTTTTTTTTTTTTTTTTTGCTTTTATAATATTTTTAGCCAAAATGGTGACTTAATTTTTTTTTTTACCAATGTTCACCCACATTTATTTTTTAGACATGCCCTTATTGGTCCTTTCCTGTTAACAGTAGTAGGGAGGGACAAACTTAGAGACGGGTCATCACAGTAGCAACATGTTCATGTCTTAGAGTTATTTGTAAGTTAGGGCTCTTTGTTTTTTTTTTTTTTTTTGTCTGATTCGATAAACAGCTTAAGTTTGCAGTGTAACCTCTCCCATATTCCTCCAGGTCTTCCAGCACATCATTCGTCGTGAGATCAAAGATGAAGAAGTTCGTCATCTGTCACGTAAATTTAAGGACTGGGCTTATGGTCCGGTGTATTCCTCCCTCTATGACCTGTCTTCCCTCGATACATGTGGAGAGGAACCATCCGTGCTGGAGATTCTAGTTTATAACAGCCGCAATGAGGTAAAATAACCCCCAACAATATTTTCTATGAAAAAATGAGCAAATTTATGTTTAACTCCTGTTTTTTTCCAGAACCGTCACGAGATGCTGGCTGTGGAGCCCATCAATGAGCTGCTGAGGGCAAAGTGGCAGAAGTTTGCTGCTCCTACTTTTTACATCAGTGTGGTGTCTTACCTCATCTCCATGATCATTTTTACCTTGGTCGCTTATTACCACCCAACCAATGAAATGGTTTGTTTAAATTTAAATTATTTCGCATAATTTCCACAGATCTGACAAAATCTTTTAAGTTCTTTTTTTGTAAACTACAAGCATGATGTGTACATTTTTGTAACATCATTTTGATTTTTCTGCTCTTAGTTAACATGTTTTTAAGGCTCCCCAACCTCTTAATTCTTAAAGAACTCAGGTTCAAATTTGAAGATATTACTGATAAGATAATTAAAGAAAACGATACAGATATATTTGACAGAAGTAGTATTTATTCAAATGCATCAAGTTAGAATTTTGTTTTTTCTATGTCTGTGCTCCCATTCCTAACACGAACTTTATTAAATCTTACTTTCTTTGTCCTCTCCCTGGTAGCCTCCTTACCTCTACAAGACCTCTTCCGATTATCTACGGATGGCAGGAGAGATCATAACCTTGGCATCGGCGATCTTCTTTTTCCTCACAAATGTCAGCTAATTGACTTTTTTTCTTTCTTACAATCACTGCCTCGATCTTTAGTCCAACCTCTAACAGAATGTCGCTAATTAAATTTCTCTCGGGTACTTTTTGCAGATTAAGAATGTCTTTCTGAAAAAGTGTCCAAAGCTAAACTCGTTAGTTTTTGATGGGTCCTTTCAGTTGCTTTTGTAAGTCGTCTCCATTTATTTTTATATATCTTAAATACTTTTACCAAGGGCAAATTTAACACCCTTACAATTAAGTCAATCAATTATTTATTCAGACGTTTTGAGATTTTTTGCTTTAAAACTGTCAACTGCTGTGAGGATACTTACTAGTCTATAGCTTCCTTAATCCATTCATGATTTGAACAAGTCCTTCCTCTCCAGTTTCATCTACTCTGTCCTGGTTATTGTCACTGCTGCTCTCTACCTGTCTGGCATTGAGGCCTATGTCACTGTGATGGTGTTTGCACTCATCTTGGGCTGGATGAATATGCTCTACTTTACCAGAGGCCTAAAGCTCACTGGAACCTACAGCATCATGATACAGAAGGTCAGTTGATAGAAAACGACACCTGTCCGAAAATCCACTCCTCTTAACATAATCTGAATTATCTTATTTTTGCTTAATAGATTCTTTTCAAAGACCTTTTCAGATTCCTGCTGGTCTATGTGCTCTTTATGATCGGGTATGCTTCAGGTGAGCCACGATTTAGCCTATTTCTGTGTTTATATTTCATGTTAAGAGCTTTACAGTCTCATTTCGTGACTGACATTGAAAGCAACCTACTCTGTTTTTCCTCTGTTTCCTCCCCACAGCCTTGGTGTCCTTGTTGCCAGTTTGTCCTACAGAGTGTGTCGGGGATTGTCCCACTTACCCAAACTGCAGGAACCCAGATACTTTCAGCACTTTCCTTCTGGACCTCTTCAAACTGACCATTGGGATGGGAGAATTAGACATGGTCTACAGCGCACGGTATCCTGGAGTCTTCCTCTTCCTCTTGGTTACCTATATTATCCTCACCTTTGTTTTGCTACTCAACATGTTAATTGCCTTGATGGGGGAGACGGTTGGACAGGTGTCCAAAGAGAGCAAGAAGATCTGGAAGCTTCAGGTGACAAAGCTGCTTTTACGATTACTATCTTTTAGCAAAAGTCACATTGATTCTAGGACAGTGAATATTGCAGAGTGTGTTCGACTATATTTAAATGCTTCACACTGAGGCGGTCAACCTGAAATGAAAAAAAAAAACAAACAAGCTTTGAATGATCAAATGTTACTTTCATGTCTTAACATTGGAAAAATGTGTCAGATTAGCTAATTTTATCTGGAGTTAATCACCACTTTGATCTTCACGTGAGTTTTTTTTGTGTGTGTTCCTTACAGTGGGCAACCACTATCTTGGACATCGAGCGCTCATTCCCAGTGTGCCTTCGGAAGTCGTTTCGAGCTGGGGAGATGGTGACTGTAGGGAGGAACTTGGATGGCTCACCAGATCGACGGTGGTGTTTCAGGTATTTATTGTGACACTTAACCCCTTCATTGCTGCATGCACCAAAGTAGGAAAGAATAGTTGAGTGAAAAAAAACATATTGATTGGTTTTAAAAAAGCTCATAAAATGGACATGGGTTTTTTTGTGTATGGACTTTGAGAAGACCATTATAACACATGGATATCTAAGCTCTTTCATTAACTCTGAATTACTTGGTATCAAATCTTTTAGAAAAGATTTCATTCAGTATTAGCTTGGTTTAACTGTCTTCAACCTCCCATCTTTCCTATCAGATCCTGTCTCCTCAGAAAATACAACCTCACAGCATGATGCTACCAACTAGGGCTGAACAACTTAGCCAAAAATCCACATTCCGATTTTTTTTTTTTGTTCAACCAATATTGTATTTGCAATTTTTTTTAATTTTTATTTCTTCTGCAATAGGAGAAGAATGTCGATGTTTCACTGCAGGGTTCCATTATTTTAATAAAACTTGGAACTCTATCTTCCCTTCTGTGTGGCAGCAAACACACTTTAAGCATATTAACACCTTGTCACAGGCTGGAATGAGAAGGTTTTACTGATGTGATTAAAAGTGCCTCTGCCATTTGGAAATTCTGCTTTGTTAAATTGCGATTACATAATGCAAATGGCATCGATTGCCCAGCCCCATGAATTTTAATTTTACTCTTTGGATGTGCAGAATTCATGTAGCAGCAAGCATTACATTTTGCTCTCATCTGAACAAAGCATTCACTTCCTTTGCTTCTTCTATCCCTCACAGTGGTTAGCTTAAAAGGGGTACTGTGTAGGATTGACTGTCATCTAGTGGTAAAATAGGGCTATTTCACTCAAATGAACACTATACCCTAGCACAGGGGTGGGTAATTCCACTTCCTGAAGGCTGGTATCCTGTCATTTTTAGATGTGCCTTTGGTTCAACACAGCTGAATCAAATTAGATAATTAAGTGGACTCTGGACTGCATACTGAGGAGGATTCAAGTGTACTGGAGCAAGGATGCAGGATACTGGCCCCTAGGAACTGGAATGGTTTATGGTTTATGTTGTCTTTTAAATTCTCCTTTTCTCTTTGTTTGGGATAATAAAACCCTTTCTTGTGCTGCTGCTGCATTTACATGGACCTGCTTTGTGCTGCAGTAGTGGAGAATATTAGTTTCTGGGTTAGCATCTCTGTATGGTCTTCACCGCTGCCTCTCAATCGCACTGAACTGCCAACAAGGGGAAAAAAATTAGTTTTTCTGCATGTTTGTACTTTTGTATCCTTTGTTGATATTTGTACTTTGAAGATGGTAGACTGTCATGGTGCTTTGCAAATTGGCAACCACCCTTATGTATAAACTAATATAGGATGTTTCGCTCATGACATTGTATCTGAATATTAGAGGAGGTAATAATACGCCATTAATAACATATATGTAAATGCATTGATGGATTTCAGGCAGTAAAAAATACTTTTTTACACAATATCCTTTTAACTTTAGTTTCTTTTGAATTTCTCATTTTGTTATGATTTTATTCTATTTAACTTTAAAACTCAAGGTTACTTTTTGGGTCTACAATATGTCATAGACATATCTTAGCCACTTGTTAATCAGAATTATTGTGTTGTTCAATCAGGGTGGATGAGGTAAACTGGTGCCACTGGAATCAGAATCTAGCAATAATCAGTGAGGATCCAGGCAAGACTGAGACCAGCCAAACCAATGGGTTACAGCAAAGCGTCAGAGGCCTGAGGAGAGGTGACCTTTGCTGAATGATTAAATGAATTTACATATAACAGTATTGTATCATGTGAAAGATATGACGTTTTTCCCTTCTTAGATCGTTGGTCCACTGTGGTCCCGCGGGTGGTGGAGTTAAGTAGAGGTCCTCGTTCTCATGATCTAGTGGTGGAGATGGAGCCACTGACACCAAGACACTGAAGCCTGCTGAGAATAAAGTCATTTTTAATTAGGAGAAAGGATCAAGACCATCTGATATGATGTTGAACAACAAGGAATGTTTTAGTCAGCAAGTGCCTGGATTCGCTCATGTCTCTAAGATAGGCTCTAAGATATGATAATAGGAAATTTTCCTGTTGGAAGACCTAAAAAATCTACTACAGTTTGCTTGGTTTTTTACTTGTACAGAGGAGTAGAACCCCTAAATACATAATGTTATGTACAGCTCTGCATATCAGACATCAACGGGTGATCACTCAGGGAAATCTGATCATTTCAGCATTTGGAGAGTTTTTGTATTCTTATAGTCAGCAGCTTTATAGCTTTTCTAAAAGCTGAAAGCCTAAACAGATTATCACTGCATTAGCACATTTGCATATTTTTTTTTTCAGCTATAATCACAAAACGAAATCATTTTTTCCAAGAGTGTTATCACTGAGTGTCTACCAAAGATAGAGGTAGCAATTAGAAGGTGTTAAGTTTACTTTATATTAAAAACTTTAAGTTAGAGCGAGTTCTCTACTTGCTATTCAGAATGTTTTTAGGTGGGAGGTTTCAGTAAATAGAACCAGGGTATCTCTTTTTATGCAACTTTTTTTTTATATACTGTATTAAAGTAATGCACTCAAATGAAATGTGCAGGCTTGAACTGGCAGCTTGGGCAGACCAGCTCTGATTTGAGCTAAAACAATGCACTATGCCAATTTCTGATGTGTGCATTATTATATGAATACAAAGACGCCATCCTGAATTAGATGGGCAGGTTATAGTTGTCAAGCAAATATGCAAATCAAGACAATAGCCCCTAGTGTTGTGACTTGTCTTTGAATTCTGAGAGTTATTGTTCCTTTGCAGCTGCAGTATTTGCATAATCAACTCTTAGTCTGTACCATTGTATACTTCCACCCAATTTGCTGCAATGTTTTCATGGTATTTGGCTTTGTGCCCTAGACAGCTTTTTCTTTCTTTTCCTAATGTGCATCAACTGCAGGCAGGGTTACATATGTATCATTGTGTTGCATGGCATGTATTTAATTGTTTTATGTTTTTTTTAAATCTTTTCTACTGTCTAAGGCCACAGATCATTGTTGACTGTATTTACATTTCTTCAACATATCCATACATTTGTGTATTTTTTTAACCGTGCAGCACAATACAGTAAACACTGATGACTTATATGAACTATGTAGATGTGTCTATTTTTACCCAAATGAAGGGTTTTTCTGTTGTCATTAATTAAGTATTAACACGTTTTCAAATAGCAGGCATTAGAAAACTGGAACAAATTAATAAATATATTAACAAAATGAAACAAAACTCTTAGAACCATAAACTTTTATACAAAAATAAAGTTAATTTATTACTTTAAATAGACCTTTTTTTAATCTGTTTTTTTTCTCTGTAAATAAAAAGAAACAATGAAAATCGGGTATGAGATCTTGAGCAGAATTGAGTTTCTGTCAAGTTAGCGTAATAAACTTTCGTTCGACATTTGCAACATCTGCTTTAGGGTAAAAAAATTAACTGGCTATTAACGTTGACTCCAGCATTAGCATCGATGCTAAACTAGTTAAAACTAAACACATTCATTTTTTTTTTCATTTTACCATGGAGAGCTAAAGTGAGCAGTTCATATGCAATTGATGTCTTCTCCAGCCAAATCAGTCACTAACTTCAGCACTTTATTTTACAATGGAAAAGCTGGATAGAAATCATTTGTGTTTTATCTAATGTGACATGTTCACCCTTTTTACTGATTAACTCAGGCTAAAAAAATGCTGTTCAGTAAGACTTGCAGATTTTTGAAAATTAAAGACAAGAACATTTCACTCTCGGAAATATAAAAAATTTAACTTGGATGGTTAGTCTTTTTCTTTTTATATTTTTATATAAAAGCTAACAACAGAAAATTGTTTCTTACTTTTTTTTACTGCCATAATATTTAGTAATTTGTTACCAAATAAAGCACATAATGTTCAAACTAAGCTCTGTGTGTCCACTAGATTTACGTTCTTATGCTTTGGTAACAAGTGAAAAGTTGTATTAATATTCTTTTTTTTTTTTTTTTTTTTTTTTTTTTTTACAGTACAGTAGTTTGAAAAATTCCGTGAGATATATGAGACATTTTAATATACATTTGTCTGCAGATCTATGTTACCATTCTGAAAATAGGGATGAATGTGTTTGATAGTCTTTGTAGTTCTTCTGTTGGCCTGGTGATGGCAGCAGAGGTCTGAGGTTTTTCTGCTGTGTTACACACTAAAATCCATCAGTCCTTGCTGTACTCTTCTTTGGCAGAAGTAATTATAAATTCAATTTCACCTGCAAATACTTTAAACTCAGCCAGTATGGGATTTACCATCTTTCAAATATAATCTGTAGAGGTCCTCAAGTGACCTAAATGAGTTTCTCTACTGCCTAATAGAACAAGCCTGTAAAGACATACAAACAGGTCCCTTCCTGTTTGCCTTTCATCATTTCACCTAATTTGTCCTCTTCCTCTTAAGATTTCCACATTCATGATGGCAAAGGCCTCATCAATCTTCTCACATCCTCCTCCTCTCTCCCATCTGTGTTCGAGGCCAGCAGTGCTGAAGGACATTGGGAATCTCTCACCACCTCAGAGAAGAGGCTAATCCTCTTTGCCCCAACTTTAACTGGGCCACTAATCCTGCAGGTTTATCTAAGCAGTGAGCACCTAGCGTTGCTGACAAGTTGGCCTGCCCTCTTCCCTTCACCCCGTTAAGTAGGGCAGGGCTTGGTCCATGCAAGTGTCACTGTCAGCAACTCTGGAACCACACGCTTGCACAGGAAGTGTGAGCTGTTAACAAAATGGCTCGTCTGCTTGCAGCAGGCGTCTGCTGGCTACCACAAAAGTGTCTCAACGAACCAAGTGACAGCCAGACGGGACTGTGCTGTAACGGCCCTCATTTGGTTACCGCACAGAAGGGAAAGTTGACTCCATGAGCCAGGAGGTCTGATAATGACTAACTAGCTAAGGTTTTTGAAAAGACAAATTGTTCAGCTATTGTTCAGCCAGTAAAGCTTTAAGAGGCCTTGGCTGATTGGCCTAATTAGGACTCAAGACTGTACTTATCCTAAATCAGTCTTTATTAACTGAATATCAATTCAGACTGATGGGAAGTTTCACATCACATGGTCTCCCCTCCAGTCTTCTTCCTTCCTTTTTTAATTCTTCTCAACAAAATCTTTTTTTTTCACCAAGAATAGTGACATTTCTAAGTAGAGTGAGCAATCACTAGAAGCACCGGGCGATGAAGAGCCACAGACATATTGGTCAGGTGGCGTGTGAGATGACCTTTCAGTCCATATAAGATGAAATGAGGCCAGTGAACCTGAAATGATTCAGAGTTTCTAAACTGACAGGCGAGGGCAGGGCCGTGGCAGAGTTTCGGCTCAGCTCCACCGGCCTCGGTTGGCGTCTGTTGTGATTTATTGTGAAATTGCCAAGGACTCAATGTGGCGTGCAGGTGAATGAGTTTTGCTAATAAGAGAAGCATTTCTGCTCCACGGAGTCCTTTTTCTGTCTGAGCGAGCGTGTGTGAAATCACTGTGCGATGTCTCCCAGTACCACCACATGCTCTGGGAGAGGCAGCTGCCTCATCAGTCTGTGGATTATCTGGTGCTTTAGGTAGGCTGAGATACAGAAAGGGTCTGCGCTGACTTCTTGAAGCTACATGTTGTTAAATTTACAGATTAGCTGTGTAATTACAGAAAATATGGCTGCTGAAATAACACAATGAAAATATGCTAACTGAACCTACAATGTTTTCAATGCTTGTAACTTAACAGACATATTATAGTAGTGCATAACAATATTTTTATTGACTACTATTTATTGCCTAATATTTATGGAATAAATGTCTGCAAGTGCTGCATGAGTTCAACCCCCACCCCCTTTGACTCCATCACCCTAAATAAAATCACAGTTATTTCACATTAAAGTCCACACATCTGATTAAGCGTCAATATAAATGTAATTTTTTAAATAATAGCTTATTTACAGTTTGGGACACAGTAAATATGTCAATGTTTTTTCCAGTGTAGTCCTGTTTCTATGACTGTGACTGGCTGGATGTGCTCTCTTCATCGTCTGACATGGGAGCGGGCTCGGAGCTCGTCTGCCTGGCTGTGTGTTTCCTGAATGCGGCCGCCTTTTACAGCTGCTTTTTGTATCTCTGCTTCTGTCTCCTTGAACCCCAGTCGGCCTCGGCAGATGGCCGCTCACACTGAGCCTGGTTCTGCTGGAGGTTTCTTCCTGTTAAAAGGGAGTTTTTCCTCTCCACTTTGCTGCAAGCATACTTAGTGTGAGGGATTGCATTCGATTAAATGAGTCGATGCAATCATCTGGTTTTCCTTAGAAAACTTTGAATCAGTTTGACTCTATGATCTGGTGAACTGTAAAGTGCCTTGAGATGACATGTGTTGTGAATTGGCGCTATATAAATAAACTGAATTGAATTGAATTAAATATTGCTTATACAAATACTGTTAATAATGTGTTTCTTGATCAATGGCAGGGAAGCTGGTCAGAGTTGTTGGGAAGTTTAATAGAGATAAAATAAATTCACCTCTGGAATAAACTGTTTTGGGCTTCAGGTGACTCAATATTTGAGCATAACCTTCCCACAGGACAACCTACAGCCAAAGTTGGAGGGGATTCTTTGGATCACAGCTTAAATCATTGTGAAAATAGGTTTGGTTATGGCACAGACAATCTTTTGGAAGCCAAACATAAAAAAAAAAATATTACATTATTTTATCAACATTTTAAAAACATTTTCAATTTCTTTTAGTAAAATAGATTTTATGTTGGTCTTTCACAGATTATAATCTGTGGCTGTCATTTGGCAAGATATGAAAAAATATCAATTAATATGAATTCCTTTTTACACCTTTGTATTGCAAAATATCTACAAAGGCTAGATGCAATCAGCCAGCACTCGGAATGCTGTTTTCAAAATAAAATATCTTCCTGTTTTTTTTTGTTTTTTGTGGGTACTTACATTTTATGCACACATTTGAGATGCATTCATAATAGGTCAGCGTCTCTTTCCCACTGCTTAAGATCAGCCACTAAAGAACAACTCAGAAAAAAAAAATGTTAAAAGTTACCAAGGCATAAATCCAGCACTATACCTCTTTTTTCTGCCTGTGTCTCCCTGAGGAAAGGTTGTTACCACTGCAAAGGTGAAAAAGGTCAAGTGAACAACAAGATTGTCGAGGCAGGCATATGGCAGTGATGTTAAAAGGAAATCCTCAGACTAATATGCTTACCTTCTTTTATCAGAGAGTCCAGTCATTTGTCTTAACATAGAATAAAAAAGAAAAAGTAGAATGGACTTAGAAGTCATCTGCTTTATTTCCTTATGTCAAACATTTTACATAAGAGAGGAAAGGTCAAATGAAAAACAGCCAAACTACATTAAAGACACTCCAGTCCTGATATTGACAAAAAGCAGGGAGCAGAGAAAATGTCTCCTGTGATGTTAAGGATGGAGAAGTGACTGTGGCAGTTTCAGCAAATTGAAGATGATGGTTGAAGATCTGGAGAGGGTAAGCCATCTCTGCGATGCTTGGCTGTAGGCACATTCAGAAGCTGAAAACCCCGCGACTAAAGGATTTTACAGCTTTTCTCTTTATATTCAGACTTGTTTTCTCGAAATCTAAGACTCGTATATTATTATTATTGTTTCAAAAGAAGAAAGAAGCATTGTACTTTTTACATTTTTTTTTCATCCTGAGCAGACAAAATAATTTTTTTAAACACAGTACTGCAGGGAAAACAATAAGAGAGATGCTTTATAGATTTCCCATTTCCATATATATTATTTTCTCAAGGTTGCGCCACCCTCGTACCTTGGCAGGGTTGGTGCACTTGAGATCATCTGGAAAATAAAACAAACAAAAAAAGAAACAGAGGAACAGCCTCACAAACCGTAAAAAGATTCAGGAGAAAGGAAAAATAGGCAAAATCCCCAGACTTTAACGTTTAGATTGGATTCGATAATAGACCTGCCACGTAAGCCACATGAATATGTGGAGGTCAAAAGCTTTTTCAGCTGAACATAGAAATAAAACGGGTGTATGCCTCTGGAATTACACCCCACTACACTGATGCTTGCATGTGTCCAGGCAATGGTGTACAGGAGGTTCTAACTGTATTGAAAAATTATTTTAAAAAATTCCATGATGACAGGGAGACAAAAAAAAGTACAAAATTATCTAGTTTTTTAAAAGAGAACACCTGAAGTCATATACTTTGCTAACACACATAGACACATTTTTAGCATTTGATTCTTGCACCTTAAATTGATCCCTCAATGCAAACAAACAAAACATCAGTGGTGGTGCTAATTTTCCTGGATCTTTACTTTTTCTTACTGCTCTGCTCTAAAGTACCACAAACACAGCAATCTAATGTGAGCTGAAGGGAGGAGATCTTTTTAAAGATTTATCTCTTTTGGCTCAGTTTGAAGAGTCCCTCCTCTCTTACAGCAACGTCTGCTCTGGCCTAATTTAGCAATTATATGTTTTTTTTTAGAATTGGTAAAAGCATTTTAATTAGTGCCTTTAGTAAAGCCTTAACACTATTACTAAAGTTTACCATTTCAGAGAAACCCTGAAATGAACAACTAAGCACAGAACCTCAGACGCTATGAGCAGTTTCGCTGTTGACTTATTTCAAATTTAGAAATTGAAACCATAGTTTTTTTTTTCTAAGCCTTGGTATACCACTGATGACACTACTAGTCTACTTGACATACCTAGGTTAAACTCTGCTACAGCTTTTTGATGAAAAACATGTTTTTTAAATAGTGCAGCACAGTTATAGCTGGTGGTTTACAGGTGCAATTTTCTCAAGGTTGATGTCAATCATTAATGAAAGTATTTTCCTGCCAGGTTTGAGTGACAAATAGAGGACTGGACTAATAAATTCATCCCAGACTAATTCCAAATCGTAAGGAGGGATGAGCTTGAAGATGGGAGAAAAATGTGGAGGTTACATGAATGGAGATGACCACAGAGATACAAAGCCCCCATAGTCTGTAGCTTGGACAATCTTTGCCAGGAATCTACAGAGTGAGTGTCTACCTCCCCCTACCTCAAGCTAAGAGCAAAAGAGCTGAGTCTGCTTCCCCCTTTGCTTCTCAGCAGTATTTAACGTACATAATATGTGACTATAAACCTTTACACAGGGCAAAGGTCTTAATGGACTTACTGGGATTTACTAAGGGATTTTTACAGCCAGCATAAGTCACTTTTCCTACTCTTTGCCCCCCAACCATCCTCTACGAGCCTCTGGTTGCCCTTGAAAATGTATTTGCAATAGTCTGCAGCCTCAGTGATGAGTTAGAGATTTAAATGTTTGCGATCAGAAGGTGGTGTTACTGAGATTCTTCACTTGCCGAACAAGATGAGTTAAAGTGTTTTTTCTTGGTAATAAAAATAGAGCATTTCGCTGCAGTAAACTGAGGGACAATAAATGTCCAATCAATTAAGAATTCCAGGAAGATGTCAGCCATACTGATTACTGATGCTATGAGGATTTTCAGAACCAAAATTTTCCACTTTTTTGTTTTTATTCTCTCTGTTCTGTCAGATTGTACGAAGCCCCCTCAGTCATGCAGGGAGCAAACATTTATAATCCAACAGAAACAAATCCCCCTCCATCAAACACAGCCCAGCTTTTAAAGCAAGCCCGGGCGCCATGGCGCAGCACTCAGGCCCTCAGAGATGCTGTGGCGTCTGCGATACAGCAACACCCTCTACCCCCCTCCCAACCACCAGAACGACCACTCAGACCCTGCTGTCCTCCCCTCTGACGCCAGCCAGACAGCCTGTCCTAACCTTCGGTTTGTTTAAGCGGCACTGAACCCTGTTGGCCCCGGACGGGGGGAGGAATGGTGGGCTTTAGATAATGACCTGCCATATGCCACTCTGCCTCTGCAGCTGAGTGAGCCGTGGCTGGATCAGCCCAGGCAAAAATCTATTTGAAATTTAATTCTATTACCCTAATATGAGCTGAGCGTCCATTGTCCGGCTAAGGAACAGAGGAGTGGAGCAGAGTAGCAGGGCTAAGATGCGTGCTATCAACAGGAGCTCATTAATGTGTGTGAAGGAGAAGAGGGACAGACAGTTTGGAGCCTGTGCTTCAGAGAAAGGTGATGGGGGGGATGTTGGAGCAGTCTGAATTCAAAGAAAAGAATTGAAACTAATTTATGCTGCCATTTGCAAACTATTTCGGAGAATTTTTGGCCTCTCCAAAATACTTTTTGGCAGCATTATGATGTGGGAATGTTTTTCTTTGGAAGGGATAGGGAAACTTGTCAGAGTTAACTGAGGAGATGGATGAAGCTAAAAATAAAGTAAGGCCTTTTAAACACACTTTTTTGATTGTTATTTTTGTACAAGTTATAATTATGCATTATTTTCTATTAGCCTATCAAATAAAGCTCCAAAACTTTAGCATATAACACTACAATTATCCATTGCTATATGACAAACAAAAGCAAACACAAAAAAAATTGATCTAAATCTTTTCATCTGAATGAATCTCCTTGAATCGTGATTTCCAATACCCAATATGTCATTCAATATTTCATTTAGCTGAGAAGGCCTGTTGCCTCAGATCTCCACTGGTGAAGGGAAACTCCACTGCCTTAAACGCTCTCCTTTCACTGCAACATCATCTGACAGGGTCTAATGCTTGGATGCAGAAGCCAAATGGAAGGGATTTAGGAACGGATGTTTTTTTTTTTAAGTCTGTCAACTTAGTTCTACCACACATAAATATGCCTAAACAGGCCCTGGCTAAAGCATTTGGCTGCTGAAACAATGCGTCTTTGCATTGTTGAGGTTTTACAAAGCAAATTTAGGCCAAGGAGGCTTTGACTCTTTATGCTGTCAGTCATCAAAGACAAATTCAGCCTGTGCTAAACATGCATTCTTTATGGTACGAGTGGCTATATGTGAAAAGTAACAATTACAGGATAATAAGTGCCTATTTTCTAAATTTCTCTCCAGACAACACACAATTTGGATTCAAGGATTTATTTTAACTTTATCTGTTTCTCATTGTTTGCTTGAATGGTCAAAGTCTAAACATTGAGATAATCAGCAATACAAGGTTCTAATCAATAAAAAAATAACAGGTCAGATTACATAATGGATTTTGTAGAAAAAAGCCCCATGATCCCACTGACTTCTAGAGGGCAAATGTGAAAAAAATAATCACAGACTTCATAGCCAAAGCATGGCTTCTGAGTATATTCTTAAAGAAATTTATTTTACACCTTAGAACAAATCAAAACAAAGAAACCAGAGATAAAGATTAGGGATGTGGTACATTGGGAATGTATTGACAACTGTAGTTTACATTTTTTTTGGTGTAAGCTCAGAGAAAAAAATGTTAATACAGTCATTATAATTGCACTTCATAAATCTAGACCGATGCCAGTATTTCTCCACAGCAAAGCTCCCCGTTCTCCTACTCTCCGGTTAATAAATTCAATTTGCCGCTGAAATTTGACTGACAAAAGAAATGCTAATATAAGACCAGAGAGCTGCTGCACTGATACAATATTTCTCACCCGCTAGAGTCCCACAAGGCAACAAAATATCGTGATAATTTAAGTGCAGTACATTCGAGGGTATCTCACAGTCATAATGAATATTTCACTGCTCTGAATCATCAAGTTAAGACTGGCCTGGGCTAAATGCATCCCCACCCAGAGCTGAAATGGAAAACAAATAAAAAAGAACGAAGCAGTCAGTCTGGTCTTTTTTCCTTTGACGCCAAAAGACAGGGCATGATTGTTTTCATTTTGTACTTGTTTGCAACATCAAAGTACCCCAAAAAGCATGATATTATTTGTTTTCAGCGGCACTGCCAGTGCAGCTTTAAAGGAGTCAAATGACTCCGACTGCAAAAAAAACATCTAAAGCCTCCATTAAAAAAGGAGCCAGTTATCTCCTGTACATAACTCCGTCATAATGTTTATGGGACTGTTGAATCAGTGGGTCAATCTCACTGGTAATATGAAGAAAATCATAAAGTCTGAGGATTTTTGAAGAACACAAACTAAGAAGGTACAAACACACATGCACTCTGCCGCATACACGCTTCGACATACAGTGCTTCGTAAAAGTACTCCCTATGACATTTCAACAATTTGTCACTTTACAAACACAAACTTTAAAGTGTTTTATTGGGATTTTATATGACACACCAACATAAAGTAGTTTATATTGTGATGTGGATAAGAAACATTAAGATATTGTTCTGTCTTTAAAAGACATCTTAACAGTAAAGACAGGTCCCGTGTTATTAATTCAACCTTCCTATAAACCCTATTATCAGTCAGGACAGGATGGAAACAGTTATTGATAGAAAGCTAAAGGAAATATATAAATGAATCCCATCAAATCAAGTTTATATGTTCCCAATATATTAAAGTTGAAGCCTTACATGCAAACTGATTATCACTATAAATAAACAATTCTTATGGTGAAACAGTGGTGGCAGCTTAAGGATGTAAGGATATTATTTTCCTGTAAAGGAACAAATTGGTTATGATTTTTTACTTCTAATAGGATGCAACATTTACCATTTTTGACCCTGTTCACATTTTAGCACTACTTTATGCTGGTTATGACACATAAAACTAAATAAAAACACTGACAGTTGGGGTTGTGCAGTGAAAAAATGTAAAAATCTGGAAGGAACGTCAACACCTTTACAAGCTACTGCACATTTAAGGTTATTCCTATAACCCCATAGTAACATTCTTCACTGTAACATTTCTTTTTCTTGTATTTTTTGCAACATATTTTGTTTTAAATAAGTGTTTTGAGATTTAATGTTGGTTCCAGTGTTGGTTAGGAAAACAAAAAGAGCTCCTCTTTTAGGTTCTTACAGAACCAAAGCAGCAACTCTGCCTTGCGTCAGAACATGACAGACTGCACTTCAGCTTAAAGAGGAAAATTGAAATCATAAAAACACAAAAAGGGAAAACGATAGAATAAGATAATAAAAAAAACGTTGAGACACTTTTCCTTGTAGCAGCCAATACATATAATATACCTACAAATATATCAAACAACAAAAATAGGTTCAAGTTTTTCAAGTTTCTTAAATATATCATATCCAACTACCCAATTCCAAACTTCAAAGTTAACAAAATTCAAGCAGTGCAATTAATTCATCAATTATAACAGCAATAACTAAAATTGTACTACCCTTTTAGATTCAACCTTGTGATCCTTGGACACCCTAGAGCTGCTAGTAATATTCTTATTATTTTCAGCACACTTCTGGATGTGTGTACTGTTACTTAGTTTTGGGTTTTAGAAGCAGCCCTAAGCGCCGGCCCTTTAAGACCATTTCAGTGACAACCTACACAGTAGCTTTATCCTTAGTATTCGGAGAGGAGAAAGAAGTGGTGTACTCACTTCATGTCAAGCTATGATTCTCATTTAAAAAAAAAACAGTTTAAAAGGATAAAACAACAACCCAAAAAAACAAAAAAAACATTAATAATCCAAAAATCCTATTGGCAAACCACACAATGGAACATCAGGAGAATCTTGGAATCCCTTTTCCATCCCGCTGGTAGTAACTACTACCTTTTTGTGTTAGGGATCCCCACGGCCTGCTTTGAAACCAGCAAATCTAAGGTCACACAGCACAGCAACTGCTCTTCTCTAAGCTCCCACGATCCGTAAAGCAGTGGCACTCTTAACAGTCCCGTAACATTGCCGTTTTTCTTGATTTTCTTCATAAATTCACAATCCTTGATTAATTTCCTCCTCTTCTCTCTCTCCCCTCCGACCGTTCTATCTGTAAACAGGAAGGCGGATGTGTGCATGCTGGTGGTCCAAAAGCCGCGGCACAGACACAGTCTCATAGCCTTTACCGAGCATCTGCTCCTTGATGCAGGGCGGGTGGATGTCATTGATCAGATACTCCAAAGACTGCAGGCTACTGCTCAGCACTGAGGTGTTGCACAAGCTCTTGCTTGGCAAACTGCAGCACAAACCCCCACCGCTGTCAACTGCGGGGTGATGGTGGTGGTGGTGGTAATGGTGATGGTGGTGAGGATATCCCATTTCTCTGTGACCCGTTGTTGGACCTCCCGTTGAAGTGCCTAGGAGTTCCTGGGGGTTGTAGCAGTCACTGTCGGGTGTAACCAGCACACTATTCCATGGTGGTGCAAAGTACTGACCCACTGAGAAATTCCCATGCATACCCACACAGTTCAAAGGGGAAGAGCTCACTTTGTCCAGCCCACCTCCGCCGCTGGCACTGGCTGTCAGATGGAAAGGTCTGGAGGAGGAGGAAGAGGACACCTGAGCTGCCATAATCCCCCCACCAAGGACACAGGTTTCAGGCGACTTGCTGATGGCAGCCCCTCCTCCGCTGCCTCCACTGTACATGCGGAGGACGGCCTGCTGTTGCTGCTGCTGTTGATGTTGTTGTTGCTGTTGCTGTTTCTGCCACAGGATATAGTCCATACCCTCTGTGTATACACCACTTTTCATTACCTCTGCGCTTTGAGTGGGTAGCCCCGATCCTGTGTACACCATGTTAGCCTGAGGAGCCATGCCTACAACGTAGCCTCCACCAGAGGAGCTTGAACCAACCCCCATGACTGCTGTGACGTGCTTGGAGGGGCTGGAATTTGTTGGTGCGGTAGAAGTCCCCTGACACACCTGCTGCAGGGCCTGAGCCTGGCAGTGTTGGTTGATCTGATAGATGATACTTTGGATGGAGGGGAGATTAGACTGTGCAGGCAGGGACAGGCCTCGGCCCCCTGTTACAGGAATCACAGAGCCAGCCAGAGTGACGTTTGGGGGAACTGAGAGTCCGGGGCCTTCTGGAGGCTTTGTTGGCCCAGAGTGGTAAACCATTTGACCATGACCGCTGGCTAAAGTGCTACTATTAGGGGGTGGGTATGGAGCCACAGCAATGTGAGCAGGAGACAGTTTAGTCCGTCTGCCTTCTGAGTTCTTGAGAACACCTTTTGAAGGACCAAAGGTAGATGATGAAGATGATGATAATGATGATGAGGACTTGACTATGGCGAGAAGACCCTGGTACCCTCCTGTGTGGAGATGGGGGTAAGGGCTGTAGCGTTGCCCTGTGGTATCATATCCATTCACAGTCCGGTTAAGGTGCTTGTGCTGGGGAACCCTGATGTTTGTGGGGAAGATCTTGATGGACAGTGGGCTGTTTGCTGTCTTCTGAGCGTAAGCATCAAGTTCTGCTGCTGTTGGGTACCGAGAGGAAGGTGACGGTACCACCAGGTCACCTGAAAGAAAAAACAGATAAAAAAAAAGAAAATGAACCTTAGGATTAAATAAAAGCAGAAAAAAGGTGTAGTGAGGTTTATTTGAAACAAAAATTCCAAACTTTTGAACATTTAGGAAATTCATAAGGCCGAATTCCTAGTGGTTGTACAAGAACTTCAACTGAGCCAATGAAAGGGGTATAATGAAAACCAAATAGAGGTTTCCTCCTATCAAAACAGACATGCCTTAAAACTATATCAACATGCGTTGTCATGCATACCATTCCAATGCTTAAAAGTAATTTTTTTAGATAAAAACATCCAATAAACCATGTTCTCTTATTAGTATAAAGCAAAGAGCGAAGCAGTAATGCCCCTTACCCTCCTGTTGCTGCACATTGCTGTGGTGATGGCTGAAAACATTAGCTACCCTTATACCTTGCTTCAAAATAAAACAGATGTATCAATCTGGAAATACTTCTAACTACAATTTATATATTTTTTTTTATTTTTGTGTCAACTTATGGAAAGTCACCTCTTACTCATCTTGTAGGTAAAAATAGCCCCATTTACACTACCATTTTGAAACCATGCCGGGAGCTGTCCGAGCATGGTAACCAAGATAACTGCTGATTGTAAATGGAACTGGACTGTGTCAGACTCAACCGAACAGCGCTAAATCTAGTACTAGTTCAACAGTAGGGCTCGGCACGGTTCAGTTCAGGCTTGGTTCTCTGATAACAAAGAGCGCATGAATAGACCGCGTCACCTCCTTACAGTCAGCTTCCAGTAGTTGGCAGTAATGCACATCTGTAAGTAACTTGCCAATCAATAATCGAAAACTGCTCAATCTTCTTTGTCGTATCCACTTCCCAAAAGCGGACTCTGTCAAGTAAATTCACCAAAGGTTGCCTTCTTTGTCTGACTCTCCGCAAAAAACGAAATATCAATGTTATGGGCGCCGCCATGTTGATTTGCTTGATTCCCTCTAGATAGCAGTAGTACCATAGATCGTCACTAGGAAGCGAGGAACTGTGCTAGCGTGACGTGTAAATGGTCGTAAGGAACTAAGCTCGGCACAGCTAACTGATCCAAGCTCGGTCCGAACTCGGCAAGGATCGGTTTCAGACGTGTAGTGTAAATGGGGAAAATGTTTTAAACTACTGTCTGCCAGCGGATAATAGCAGGTTTATAATTTTTTTGAAAGAGAAAGTTACAGTATAAATAGCTAAATAGAAAATAAAAGTTAAAAACCTTGAAAATTAAACTTTTTAACTTTTACTTTTTAAGCAAAACCAATTAGACTTTGTTGCACATTTTGGGTTATCACTTTCTTCTGTGATAATTTATCACTTTCTGACTGTCATCATTTTTAGTAAAGATTATGATGGAATCTTAGACTCAAAGTAGCTAATTTCTGGTTGGAATCATAGAAAAAGGAAATTTGTGAGGCATGAATCATCATATTGTGTTAATTACAGATTTTTAAAAAGCAGGTGCACAAGCAACCACTAGGCTGCAAAGTTTATGAGGTGCAGCATGTTTTACGAGTTTTCAGATCACCATCTCTAGAATTTTATTTGGCAGTGCCTAGTTGAATAAAACCAAGCCGATACACTTTAATAGAACCCAAACATAGTTAGAAAGCTGTATATGCGGACCGGTATTCATCCATCTGCTTTTCTGCTCAGAGCCTTCTTTCCATCTCATTTTCTCACCCAGATGTGGATGAACATCCCTAGACAAATGAATCTTTTTAAAAACTCATTCTGTCAGAGCCTGCTACCTTAGGCGCTGTTAAATCAGTGCATTGTGAAATTAATTCGGACTCTCTTCAGCTCTGAATTGGGTTAGCCTTGGTACCAGGCACTGAGGGAGGAAAGGGGAGGGAATAAAAGCTTGTTTAATTGAAGTGGCACATTTTAGATTTATAAGTGGAATCACTTACTGGGTCTTACCCTTGGCGACTGAATTTTCAAATTCATTCAATCTAGCAGAACTGGGCAGTGAGACCCCACAAAGAACCAATTAAAGGTCAACTGGGAATTAAAAGCTTGGTTAAGATAGATTTAACAAAATAGAGCCCTATAACAAATGCTCAAGAGATGCTTTTGGCATAAAAAAGCATAGATTTAATTTTAAAAATAGAAATAGATTGTTATGTGAAAAAATTGTACACCTACCTAAATGCTCAGCTTTTTACAATATATTTTAACTAAATACTTTCAAATTAACTGATTATTGATGAGATTAAATATCTTATCAATAATGTTTATCTGAACTGTGAAAGAATCTTGACACCCTATGCCTATTATCTGGTGTTGCAACATTAAAACACTGCTTGTAGCAATACCAAAGTCTGACATCGTTTACTTTCAGCTGTGAGATGTTTGTTTGGGATCCACAGCCCATTTCAAGGCATTTTAAGCAGTTTCCATTCACTGTAGCTTCATTGGTTCAGTTTTGTTCAGGATTAAACCTTTTTTTTTTTTACAAATAGCCTCACATTTTTCTCAATCAAGCTCTGATAAACAAAATGATTCTGCAATGGTGAGCTGACCAGATGCTGCTACAGCAAAGCATTCCTAAAAGATGCCACTATCACCCCCATGCTTTACAAGTGGTATTGGGTATTTTCTTATTTTAAAATAGTTCCTTAATTTCACAAACAATGAGTGCAGACGACCAGAGATTTTAGATGTATACTCATTTGTTGCAAGAACATTATTCTGGAGGTCCTGGTCTTTGTCTCTGCTCTTTATGGCAAACTTTAATCGTAATGCTTTTTTTGAGAGTCAAGGTTTCTGCACATCTCATGAAAGTAAGATTTGTGCAGTTTTTTCCTGGTGGTATGGGTGTAAACCTCTTGTCCATTGAAGACATTTGAAGGTCATTGGAGACTCTAGAAGTCTGCTTCCAGATCATGCTCCCTTGAAGGCCAGACTTTTTCATATTGGTAGTTTCTATAAATTACCTTCAGTGAATTATTTAATTTTTTTTATATCAATCCAGATTCTGCATCAGATTCTCCAGATCCTCTCACCACCACAGTCAAGAAAACACAGTAGAAAGTGTCTGCATTCAGAACAAATGTAAATCACCAAACAGAATGACACATACCAGTGTTCCTTCATGTGGAGGTGATGCGAAAAGCCATTTCAAAGATTTTAAGTTGAATAAATGAAGCACCTCTCCCAATTGCTTTATTACCAGCCATTCCATTTGTATTACATTTATAGAACATATTCAGTTTAGTTTAGTTTAGTTTATTTAGGATCCCCATTAGCTGTAGCAAGCTACAGCTATTCTTCCTGGGGTCCAACAACAAAACATGAAATAAAAAAAAAATTACAAATGAAATAAAATTATGTGGACATTAAAACAACATCTCCCATAATCTATACATATACATATATACATACACACATATACACATACATATATACCTATACATATATACCCATATACATAAACAGAAACAATCCAAACTACCGTAATCAAAACAAACTACAAAGCACAGCAAGTGAAGAAGACAGTCCTAATCATGTTTTACCTCTATATTTAATAAATGTTCTTTCAATGATTTTTTAAATTTCCTTAAATCAGTTATCAGTTTAATGTAATTCGGCAGTAAATTCCATGCTTTCATACCTCTATACATAACAGTTCTTTTTAAGGAATTTGACTTTACTTTAGGCAAACTAAAGTTTCCTTCAGTCGCATGCCTAGTCCTATATTCGTGATTCTCTGAACTAAAAGTAAGGTTTGTAAATAACATATAAGGTGTTTTTAATACAGATATGTTTCTAATCATAACAGTCAATGAGTATGAAAGTCTGTCTTTAACTAACAACCAGTTTAACTTTTTATGCATTGTTATTATATTTGTCCTTAAATCACACTTCAATATTATTCGGGCAGCTCTATTTTGTACATGTTGTAGTTTATTTAGCATCTTTTCAGGATCATTTGACCAGACGACTGGGCAGTAATCCATTTGAGAAAAAATCAATGATTGGATTATCATTTTAAGAATATTTGGGGACATAAAGGTTGCATGTCTTCTTATGACTGTGATTCCTCTACCCATCTTTGCAATCATGTTATTAATATGTTTTCTCCATAATAACGTGTTATCCACCGTCACTCCCAGAAGCTTGGACTCATGCACATTCCTTATCGAGACGTTATTGATATTAATATTCAATATATGATTACTGTTTACGTTGTAATTTGACCTCACAATCATGCTGTTAGTTTTTGCTGTATTCAATACCAGCTTATTTGCTTTCACCCATTTATCCACTCCCACTAGTTCGTTATTCATAATAATTTCTAATTCATTATTTGTTCTTGCTGATGTATATATAGTGGAATCATCTGCATACATAATTATTTTAGTTCTTTTGAGTATGTATGGTAAGTCATTTGTAAATATTGAAAATAATAAAGGACCCAGGCAGCTCCCTTGAGGTACACCACATGTTACAGTTTGTTTTTCAGAAAATGCACCATTAAAATATACCGTTTGCGACCGGTTAGTTAAATAACTGTAAAACCATGCAAGTGCAGATTGTTCAAAACCATAGCAGGAAAGTTTTTCTAATAGTAGATGGTGGTCAATTAAATCAAAAGCAGCTGAAAAATCTAGAAACACAACTCCCACCATATCTTTCATTTCAATACTCCTAAGCCAGTCATCAGACATACTAATTAGTGCTGTTGCTGTAGAATGAGCCTTTCTATAAGCATGTTGAGAGTGACAAATTATGTTATTAATCGACAGATAATTATTAATTTGTTCATATACTATGGTCTCTGTTATTTTTCCTAACACAGGTAGTAGACTTATCGGACGACTATTTGAGCTGGAAAAGGGCAGTTTCTTATTTTTCTGTAATGGGATTATTTTGGCTGTTTTCCAGGCTTGTGGACACACTGAAGACATAAAACTTAAATTAATAATGTGAGTAATTACAGGAGCGATTTCATCAGCAACCAATTTGAGAAGTCTGACATCC